TCATAACGCTTCGAAGTAACTGCTGTGTGAAGCGTATAAATATGATAGTACAATTTCTTTTAAAAATCACCCTGTATCAGGCTGAGAGCTTGGTTGGGGCAGGGGTTGGGGGGAGTTTGGATTATTCTTAGGTAATCGAAGCCCATCTGTGTGCGCACACACACCAGTTTGTATTTGCCCGGGAGCTCTAGGTGAGCGACACGTCCTCTGTTTTGGGGTAGATAAGGTTGAGTCCAACAAGCAATCCAGTTTGCTGATGAACTCCCAGCGCCAAGGAATGAGAGAAGATTTGGGGGAAACTCTTTGTAAGAGAGTTTAGTCATGGGCACAGACCCTGCATGTGAATACAGTGAATATTTTGTTGTACTGACAGCAGATCACGCCATGATGATTGCATTTGGCGTCCTGGTCACTTGAACTTAAGTGTTTTTTAATAAAGATATTCAGCATTCTTTAAGCAAGCACTCTGGTATTTAATGTTAATGGATAACGACCTTAATAGTCCCATCGTAACTTGAACCAAAACAAAGATGCGACCATTTGTCAAGAGCACTTGTCTGGTTCCTGGGAATATTTTCTCTGGTCCATTAGGATGCAATGACGATTGAAGCTCTCATCACGAGAGCGTAGGAAGCCAATAAATCTGAGGCTGAATCTTATCACCCTGCAGTCACACATGGCAAGTTACAGTTTAGACTGCGGCAGTGTCCGTGCACTAGTTTATTGCGGGAAGTCTCGACATGGTGAGAATTCTTAAAAACTCATTTTGGAGAACCGCTTGCTCATTCCGAGGGAAAAATACTGTTTTTTGTCACTGTTCCGAGCAGCAACAACAACAAAATTAGTATTGCATTTCAGTTTGGAGTACTCTTTTAAAACAAATTAACCACGAGTTGACTATTTTGATCAGAGACACCATCCTGGCTTCATTTCCAAGTTTATAGGCATGCAAGTCTTGTTCTGTCGAACTCTGCACATAACTTATTATAGCCCAGCTTTATGGAGGGGATTAAACGAATAGAAATTGTTTCTCTGGGCCGCTACTCTGTGTGAGGGGTGTTATATAAATGCAACTCATTTTGGTTGTTAATTACCTACCTGCAGAGCTGTTTCACGTTAATAATTGAGAATATGGGCATTGTAGGGACTTCTTATTTAAATCAAGCGCTCACGGACGCTATCCCGCGTGAAGGGGTCGCTATATAAATGCAAATTGTTGTTCTTCCTGGACTTCCTTACCAGTGTGATGTACAACAACGCCTTACTTTGTCCAAGTCATTAGAATGTCTACAAACGGATAGTTTGGGCCAATACCTATGTTTATCCTTGTTCACGGCTTCAAGTTTTCTGAGCTGTTTTAAGAGGAAGGAAAGATTTTCTCGCTTTACTGTTAATATCCATATCATTGTCCTGATTTGGATTTGAACTCGGTTGGAGATGAGCTCAATTGTATCTCTCCCCCCCACCCCCCGCCCCATCTGTAAAGTGTCAGGAATCTGTGCATTATTGTCCAAAATTGGATAGAAGTCATTATTGTAGAGTGCGTGTAGTCTTTGTAGGGCTTTGTGAAAGGTAGACTGGGATCTGCCGAAATACTTTCCATGGACTTACAAAACTGAAAACACCTTGACCCACTCTTCAACCTGCAACGCCCTAGTTTTAACAAATTGCATATTCAAACTACTAAGCCAAAGTACTCGACTTCATTCACTGGTGTTTACTTTCTATTTCGACATTCTGGAACTTTTCATATGATTTCATGCACCGAAGATATCCACAGCCAATGCCGCAGGTTCTGAAAATGATGGTCAAAAGCTGCGTTAGTTAATAATAATCCTTGCATCTGATATAGCGCCTTATCACATCGTTGAGACGTCTCAAAGCGCTTCACAGAATATATGGAAGTGGATATAAAGTGGATTGAATGTGGATTTTAGTTATGCTTTTCAGACAATTATTAACCTTTAAACAGCGTTGCTTTAAGTAAACTTCAATTGAGAAGCATGTCCTAATTCCCCACAAAAGTGGTATATAAAGGAAGTACGTTAGGAATCGAAACCTGTGAGTCTTTGGTGTCAGGAGAGCTGAGATTAAACACGAAATGGGAGGGAGAGTGGGAGGGGAAGACAGTGAGCGAGAGAGGAATATAAGAAACAGCACTGCTCAGAAGAAGCAGCGTTGCTCAGCCCCTGACCTCTTTGCGTGTATCTGCGACTAGACAGAAAGCAGTTGTCCCAGTTCCGTTCTCCTTGACCTACATGAAACTGAATGGATGTCAGTTGCCGAGAATGCGAATAGGAAATCATTTCAGAGCAGCTCTCAGCATTCTGAGAATGATGTGTGATGCCACAGTCTCGATTACTTACTTGGAGCACAAGTTAAATCACAAAAGACCAGTTAATCCCAGTTGCGCCAAGTTATATTTTTCCAGTGTTGCCAAATGTCAATACTATCGCTTTGATTTTGGAGGGGTGTGAGGAAAGAGTTTTTTTTTGTTTGTTGTTGTGTTAAAAGATTTTCCTGTAAGATAATGAAAACGTGATAGACCTGTTCTGACCTGGTTCTCTACGTCATTCAAGTCTGAATGAACACATAGCATCAGATGCCTTTGAGGAATCTAATCCTCATTCGCATGTGTGTCAACAGTACTTGTCTTTAACAATAGTAAGGATGAGTGATAGTAGTATTGCCCTTGCCACTATTTATTTCTGTTGCCCTGGACAGGTGGACAAGGGCTATTTTGATCGCTGCCGAAGACGTCTTGTGTGACCTGGTTCACACTTTCCTAGTTCCATTCCTATTTAAAGGTGCTCTTATCGTAATGACTTGATCACCCACCAAAATGAAGCCCCCCATATGGCTCCCCCCCCTTAGCCAGGTTTCAACCACACGCACAAAACCACTGTTTCAATCTTACATTTGCAATTTTGCATCACCAAACTGCATTTGTTTCATCGCCCGCAGCTAGAATGCACAGCGCTGGGTATCATACTGCCCACAGCACCTAAGAATGCACAGAGGCACATACAAACGGACCAAGGCATTATTAATAATCTTTCCAAAGAGAGAAGCACAAGAAGCCTGCTTTGATATTGCCTTGCACAATAACTGCAAAGCTGCGCTACGTGGGCTTGGAATATATCCACACGTCTTTTGCAATTGATTGAATAGCTGTTTATTTTTAGTACCAAATGCTCCTGGTGAGTGGGAGTTTTGACCCATGACTTGAGAAGAAATTGTTCCTTTACTTTTTATTTAAAAAAAAACTATTTACATGTAGTTCATATTTTCCATTACCGCCGTCGTTGAAGCTGCCAGATTTTTGGCTCTGTGGCTCTGCATCGTGTAACCAGGTTCCCAGGATTGGTTTGGAGCAAGTGCTATTTTTTACTGGGTTCTAAGGACCTTTGCAATGCTACATTGCTCTGTGTTGCTGTACTGTATGTGTCTCTTCAAAACTGGGGCACAAACGGCAGCCGTTCCAACACAGCACATTTTCCCTCACCCTTGTCTGCTGCGTAAATGCCACCGTAAGGGTTTCAGGGAAGAAAAAATCGGTAGAGCTTGAATCAGCAAGGCCTGTGATTTCCGAACCTCTGAATGTATTGATGTTCAGCTTGATGTAAGCCGGTTTACCGCAAGACTGAATTGATGGCATTTCATTGTTTTGGCGAGAAGAAAGCAACAGGTTGGTTAGTTTTAAAGCTGCCTGCCCGCCTCCCCATTGCACAATAACTTAGTAATTTTAGTGTTTATTGCGTGTAGAGTTATTCACAGCGAAGTCCAAAGCTGTCCTACCTGACTTGAACCCTGATTCTTGTGTCCCACGCGTGCCACTAACTCAGCTCGGCTGACGCCCACAATAAACTACGTGGGTGGACAGAAATGAATGTTTCTGGGAGTGTCTGGAAAAAGAAGCGAGATGCAGGTTTGACATTGCAGATCTCCTGGTGATATCCGGGGTGTAATCGGCTCGTAGGCATTGTATTCGGATGTGCTGAGTCATCATGAGTATCGTTTTTCAGCCACCGTTTGGGAAGCATCTTGAGGTTTTGTGAGGTTTAAGAGGTAGGGGATCCATGCCGTACATTGAGTGTTGGTCCTGACCCGCCTCTGGGCATGTTCAAACGGTTTCTTCTTTGGGCTTTTATCTGTGTAAGTGAGATGTTGAGCTTTTATTCTTACCAGTGAGGCTTATCTTGTTTTTAACTTTTGTTTTCAATTTTTTTTTTAAAAAAAGGGGTAAAAGTATGCGTGATCGGCATTGAAGTGAGCACTTCCTGCATTACCAAAAGTGTTTTGAACACTTCCCGTGACAATTGTGAATTTGAATAAATGTTGCACAAGTATTTTTTTTCTCTCAAATAGCTGTCGAGTTTTCAGTTGTATCTGCTGCTGTAAGTTACATTCCAGGACGAATGCTTATAAAACAGTGCCAGTGTTTTTTTTTTAAAAAGAGCAAAGAATTCACACAGGATATCTGGGGGGAAAAAAATCCTCTGCCACATTTTGAAGAATTGGTACCAATGCAGAGAGTATTGAATATGGAGCCAGAGTTTTTTTTGTTGCTATAGAATACAGTATACGCAATAGCACACAAACCATCCAGAGACGTTATTGGCTCAAGACCATATCTTAATTCAAAGAACAGTATTCCTGGGAATAATTGTGGAGTGGGAGGGAAATATCTTCACACCACTGGTTGTAATTAGTTGTAAATTTATACTATCACAGATTATAATAATACTTTACATTTGATATAGGGCCTTATCAAGTCGTTGAGATGTCTCAAAGCACTTCACAGAATACATTGTAAAGTGAATTGACTATATTTTTGTGGGGCGAAAGGTTAAACATTTGTTTTCCTCTCTGTGATTCTCTGGTTCTGTCCTTCATACTGATAAAGGTGGACAATGCACTTTACAATGATTTCAGTCTCCAGCCAGCAACTTGCCATCGGAGTATGATGAAAATATTTAAGATTTTTTTTCTTCCCGCAGGTTTGCGTGACAGAGAGTTTGCCGTGGTATGACGACTCCTAACAAGGGAAGCAAAGCCTTAAAGGTAGAGTGAACATTTCTTTAAACCCTCTGCAAGTTAGCTGCCTGGTTTGCCTACATAACATTCAATGAATTAGTCATTTTGTCAAGTGCTTTGAGATGTTCTTTTCGTACAAAAGATGTTACAGGTGATTCAAGAAGAGACCAAAACCATGGCTTGTCAAATTTGTCATCAGCTGCTACACAGAGAGAAATGGTGCACATGGCATTCATTTCCATTCAGTGCTTGAATCTGCTGTAAAACAGCTGAAGTAAGGGAAGTAAAACAGAATGTTTGCCAGTACAGTATTTTGGAAACTATCCGTGCTCTTTAGGATCAGTGCCAGGGAAGTTGATCGTTACTGTTTGACAGTCAGACAGTACCCTGTCTAATACTGACCTGGAAATTTTGTAGAATTGATTGAAGACCAGTCTCGATGGGCAAGACTGCAACTGGCTTTGTGCCACAGAACTTCTCGGATATGGAAAAAAAAAGCTTCCCCTATCTTAACATCGGAGTATATCAAATGTCTAATTTTTCTCATTCTGAGCTATTGTGGCACAAGTTGTGGAAATGGTAGAAATGACTGATGTGTTTATTTTTGACATTCACTGAAGTTTCGGTGGCCAAGAGGATTTGGGTATATGTCGGTCGAGTTCTGAAGCAATTCAAGGTCGCGTCACCCGATTTTAAAATGGGAACTTTTTTTTAAAACAACCAGTTGCTGTTCCGCTGTTTAACCGCAAGGCATTGTGGATTCTTCGATCCGACAAGTTGAAGCCCAGACTCCGCAACTAATTGTAGAAAAAGTTCTGTTGCACCTGGACAGGGATCTTGGTCCTTAATACTGTACTAAAGAAGTTCAGTGGGACAAAGCCTGCTGCGATCTCACCCATCGAGCCTGGTCTTCGACCTCTGATACTGTTCAGGAAATTCAGCGAGAGAATTCAGCAGATGGGAACATTACTGCCCCGTCACATTGTAAGACTTGCTAAACAGGTTCTGCCCTAACCATTAACATTCAGTGTTCTGAACATCAAGAGCAAGGGTAACTTCCAATTGTTTGTCTACAAATACACAATCTTTGAAACCTATTGTATTCGTTACTCTTTCAGCCATCTTCTCTTATCCCTGCTTCCCACAGCTCAGTCAGTTGTGTGAAGCACTTTGAGATGTCTTCCCTCTGTGAAAGATGCTCTATATATGTAAGGTGTTGTAAGCAACAGTTACCTGAAAAATGCTTTGAGTGACTTGAAGTTATAGGCGCTCTTATCAAATCCAATTTTTAAAACAAAATAGTTTACATCAATAAACATTCCTGCACAGTATTCCCACTGGTGTGACTGACATAAACCAGATACAGAATCTGGTTAGTCAGTCCCAGCTGAATTGTTTTTCGCTTTCCACAAATCTACTGAACTTAAACCTGTTGATGGTTAATTCGGGAGCAAACAGTCTTCTCGTTCGTGGCTTCTTTTTTACCCACAAATAAAGGACGTTTCTTTGTGGGCCAAATGCCTCGGAAGGAAGTCTCAAAGTGCTTCAAGATTTACTGTAAATTTCAGTAACTGTTTTGTGAGCAAACATGCAGCCAATTTGCTCAGAGCAATGTCTTGAAAACAACCATACGACAACAACAACTTGCATTTATATAGCGCCCTCCATGCAGGGTAGCGTCTCAGAGCGCTTAACAGTGGCGGAGCCTGACTCTGAGCCGGGGAGGTGGGGGAGAGGTGGCCTTATGCCATGGTCCAAGAGAAACCACGAAGTGAATGATCAGTTTCATTTAGGGGATTGTTGGCCAGGAGAGGGAAAAACTCCCTTCTCTTTTTGAATAGTGCCATGGGATCCTTATCATGCATCTGACCAGGCAGACAACATCAGTTTAACGTCTCATATAAGGGTGCCACCTCCAACAATGCAGCGCAACCCCAGTACTCCATTGGAGTGTCAGCCTAGACTACGAGTTCAAAGTCTCAATGTGCCGCTTGAACCCACAACTTCCTGACTCGGAGCAGAGAGTACAATCGACTGAGCCAGGCTGATTGAGTTGCACAGACTCAGGCTGGCGATTCTGCTCCAACGACAGCTCTTGGTAGGGCTGTCGACTTCTTAACGACTCTTTATGGGTTTTTCCCCCCCCCCCCAAAAAGCCTCTGATCCTCTTGATCTTTATGCGATCCTAAACTTGCACCTCTTGTAACCGAGTCACCGACCACTGCCACCTCTCTGGATTCCGCGTAGCTGGCATCTCTCGTTGACCAAGTGAACTCAGTGACCCATTGACAGAACTGGATAATCTCCCTCCCAATCCTAAAATAGATCCCAGTTCCCAAAATTAAACTCCCTCTGGCTGAAGCATTCGTACAACTCGCGGAGGAGGCTGCATATATTCCACTTACAGCTTCATCATTGAGTCGCACGTTGTGATTCATTTGGGAGTGCTCATTGTTTAAATGTCGCAGGCTTGGCTGACGCTCCAAAAGAGTACGGGGGGGTGCTCTGCATTGTTGGAGATGCCACCCTTTGTAAGACGTTAAACCAAGGTTGACTGTCTTTGTTTTGAAGTACCTTGCTCATACTGTATTAGCATTGCCTCCAATACAATTTCGCCCACACAACATACAGTCAATTCACTTTATAGTATATTCTGTGAAGCGCTTTGAGACGTCTCAAAGACATGATTAGGCGCTAAATGCAAGGATTATTATATATAGTATAATACTTGTGAAAACTATTATTAGCATTGCCTGCAATACAGTGCATTAGTCTGACAGCTTATTAAGAACCCTGTATTATTAAAGATTCTAATAATAAGTACTAATTACAAAACCTTATCCTGAGTTGGCAGAATCGTAGCCAGGTTTCCCACACAGTAACTGATGGGACGTTATGGAAACCTGAGGCAACCTCCTCAAAGTTTTGAACCAACATTTTGGAATTTACCCCAAATGCAATCGATTCCTTCTTTGCCTTCTAACTAATCATAGTTGCTGATCAAAAAGCAATGGTCCTTGTGTGTGAAATGAATGGATCTAGACACTTCCTATTAAAATTGCATTGTGCTTAAAAACAAAATTTGCTAAATTGACGCCGCTTTGGGGAAATCCCCAAACTCTTGCTTTTTATAGGTATCTGTTCCAGTCTAATTTGCTGCAGGTACCAAGTGGGACTTGTTTCGAATTATTTATTTTGGCTTGTTTTGAACATTTTTATTTAACCTGCAGTTCACAGAGAGGGAGACTGGAACAACGTCACAATTTAACTTGCTCTTTGAGGCTTTGAAGTCCTTTCACGCTTCTCTCTGTTGCCTGTTCTGCCTTCTATTGGTTGATTTGGAAATTGAAAGGCTCTTTATTATCAGGAATGCATGGGAGCTGATTGCATTTTAACACAGTTTTATACGATGGACCCTTTTCATGATCTATCCCAAAGTGAAAATCCATTGAAACGCTCAAAGAAGCTAACTGTTACATTTCCATAATCATCACATATACTGATAATAATAATAATAATCCTTGCATTTGATATAGCGCTTTTCACGTCAGGAGGACGTCCCAAAGCGCTTCACAGAATAGACTGTAAAGTGAATTGACTGTATATTTGTGGACAAAATGTGGCAGCCAATTGCGTATAGCAGTGTCCCACAGGCAGTCGTTTTTTCATTAAAAAAACCACGAGCTTTGTTCCTCCGAGCTGATGTTTGTTTATTTTGCCCGAGCGGAGGAGGGAGGTTGGTTGATTGCGAGAGTCAATGTACAGTTTCTCCAGTCAGTCAGAGCCACAAGAAAATTTAACTGGTCAAAACGACGAAGGGCTAAGGTTGTAGTAATATAATAATACTGCATTTGATACAGAGTCCAGTCGCGTCTTTAAGGCGTCTTAAAGTGCTCCATAGAATATACTGTAAAGTGCATTGACTGTATATTTTGTGGGTGAAATATTTTGTTATGTATTTGACTCTATTTTGTTTTGTGTCTTGTTGCAGTAGCAGGCTACTATCCCTAGAGGCCCACGCTAAGCTAAGTAAATACTGTATTATTAACGATGCCTCCAATACAGTACGTTAGTCCGACCGTTCATTAAGAACCCGGTTTTATTAAAGATTTTTGGAATCTAATGAGAAGTGCTAACTATAAAACGCTATTCCTAGTTGGCAGAATTGTCCTGGAAGAATATCCCAAATGTAATTTCTCGGAAACGCTATTGGCGTGCTTGCTAAAAATAATTTTGAAAAATAAGTCGCTCCACTAATCCGTTGAGATTACAGCTAAAATAAGGCTTTGAAATGATGTGACTCAGGAATTTTCTGCTGTGTGTATTTTAGGGAATTTGGTTCCTCGAATTTGGTAGAAGATTTCAGTTTGCTTCTAACCCACCCATGCCTTTCCGAAAAAGCAAATCCTGTGTACAAACTGTTTTTAGAGTGTTAATATAGAAACATAACAACTGTGACTTGGCAGTTTGCGGTGCAGAGGAAAGATCAAACCTTTTCCATTAAAATGTTTTGTCGGACAGTGGTGCGTGCAGTTGACTGCCGTGTTTCGCCCACCAAATATACAGCCGCTACACTTTCAGTATATTCTGTGAAGCGCTTTGAGATGTCTCAATAATAATAATAGTAATAATAATCCTTGCATTTGATATAGCGCCTTATCACGTCTTCGAGACGTCTCAAAACGCTTCACAGAATATACTATAAAGCGTAGTGACTTTTTTTTTGTATCAATGAAGTGCTAAGGCTCTATCAAATGCAAGGATTATTATTGCCATTATTGTATACAGCTGAGTCCTTAATGATGACCCTTATGGTTCATCCCCAGGTGAAGCGGGAGCCGGGTGAGAATGGAGCCAGTCTCACTGACCAGGAGCTGGTGTCCATGTCTGTGCGAGAACTGAACCAACACCTTCGCGGCCTGTCCAAGGAGGAGATCATCCGGCTGAAGCAGCGACGCCGGACGCTCAAGAACCGCGGCTACGCAGCCAGCTGCCGGGTCAAGAGGGTCACTCAGAAGGAGGAGCTGGAGAAGCAGAAAGCCGACCTGCAGCAAGAGGTGGAGAAGTTGGCCTCCGAGAACGCCAGCATGAAATTGGAGCTGGACGCCCTGCGTTCCAAGTACGAGGCCTTGCAAAGCTTCGCCCGGACCGTAGCCAGGGGACCCGTCATGCCAGTCAGGGGACCCATCTCCTCCGCTATGGGCCCCATTATGCCGGGCAAAGTGGCTACCACTAGCGTCATCACGATAGTAAAATCCAAGACGGATGCAAGATCTTAGTACTTACTGCTGTAGAACGAACACTGGCTAGAGTCGAAACCCAGTTTGTGGTTTAAAAACTGGTCAGTTCGTGAGGTTAGGCACAAGGCTATTATTTTCTTTTTTTTTCTTTTGGTTTGTTTCCCCCAAAATTCAAATACTAAAAGCACTTTGGAAAACACAGCAACTAAATGTAAGAAACGAGCAAAGGGCTCATGAAAACACTTAACCTAGTTCAACATAAGTTGAGTGTTATGGAAGCCAAGACTTTAGATGACTGGGTACTTGAAGTTAAGGTTATTATTATTTCTACCCAAACCCCTCACCTTTCCCCGGTTTCTACAGAATCTACTGTAAATGTCTGTGTTTTAACTTTTGAGTTTTCTATTCAAGCAGAAATGTAAGTTAAAAGAGAGGTTTTATTTGGGGTGGAAACCTTGTGGCTAACCTTTTGAGCGCCGACCAATGTAACAGCCTCTCATACTCATGCACATCTGAACACGGTGTACCGTATCACCATGGAGTAAGGTAGTTCAAATGACCTGTTCATATGGTTAAGTATTCCTTTCTATTCACATACCAATGGGTCTTTCTCCACAAATTTTCTAGTACAAATTTAGAATGGTGTGATTTGTCCTTTTATTTCTATATATATATATATGTATATATATAAATATATAAAACTACATAACAAGAAATCAAATGTCTGTGACTACAGGCATTTTAAATTAAAGGCTGTGCATAAATCCAGTGAGAAAGGGAAGAAGCACAATTATTGTAACCTCCTTCAGCACACTGACATCTCCTGGGAGCTGACTTGAGAAGGTGACCGAATGTTGCAGCCTTCAAAATACTTTTTATTTTGAATAACTTCAAAAAAAATTGCAATCTTATTTCACTGTTGCATTCCTAATGCTGCCTTCGATACTCCAGAACTGGTAATAATCCCTAATCGAATATTAATAATTTATCATCACTCAATCCCCTGCTGTTTGTGGGACACTGCTGTGCGCAATTGGCTGCCACGTTTCGCCCACAAAATATACAGTCAATTCACTTTACAGTATATTCTGTGAAGCGCTTTGAGACGTCTCAATGACGTGATAAGGTGCAAAATCAAATGCAAGGATTATTATTATTATTAACTGGTGACTTTTGAGATCCCAGCTCACCCCCAACCTACACACCAACGCAACACACAAATAATAATGTTCAGAAAAGACTGGTGTGATTTTTTTTTCAAACTTTATTGGTTTATTCTCCCTGGAAGGGGCAAAAAAAGTTTTATCCTAAAATCGTTAAGGGAATGAACTCTCAAGATTACAGGCAATGCTGATTCTTTTTTGGTCGATATTGTTTCTTTTTTTTTAATTTTCAAAACCCATTGAATCTGTGGGGTTAACACACATACAGAATAAATCATATTGGGTGGGGGAAGAGTGTGCTCAAAAGACTCACCTTTACTGACTAGAATCAGTTTATTCTTTGCTGGCTGTTGAAAGTCGGAGGTCTGAATTTCCACACAGTCTTATTCTTGAAGTCCCAAAATGTAAGATTTTTACAGAACTCTGAGAATTCTTAAATTTGGATTTAAATTGCCTCTCTGCAGGACTTAAAAAAAACTGACTTCCAAATTATGACTGGATTTTCATAATTTTGCACAGTTCTAGGCGATGCTGCATTTTAAGGCAAAATGATCTTAACGACTTAAGTGGATGTTCAGGACTTGGATTTGAGATTTCATGTTTCATTGCCAGTAACTGGAATTTGCTGCTACTTTCCTATTCCCTATTAAAAATAGTTTTTTATTTAAAAAAAACACAAAGTTTACAGCTGCATTTGAAGCGCAAGTGATTTGATACGTGTGAGTAGAAGGGGCTGATTAACCATATGAATGAAAATTTATTCAGAGAATCTTTGATAGTAAAAGTTCCTCTTTAGTGTATGTATACAAAGTATCTTTGTCAACATGTAAGGGTATTCGAGTTTAATTTTTATAAGTACACAGATTATCATAAATATTTATATAACAAAAACTACACAAAAAAATTGTTTGATAGCTTTTACAGATGTTTCTAGAGTGGCTTATTGAAATTGATTAGCTTTCCAGTGAATCGGCGTGTTATTTGGATCCGGGTGATGTATCTGTGATGTGTTAATATGCAGATTAGTGTTATTTTACAGTTGTTAGTTCTGTATTTATTTGTGTGTGTGTGTGTGTGTAAGTATGTTTGTGTATGTGTGAACACAATGGGTTATATGTTGTACGTATTTTTTCTATACTTCGACTTCATTTGCCACACATGTGAAATCAAAAAAATCCCAAGAAGGTGTGTGAAATACAAGTTTCATCGGCAGTTTGAATTTCTGAAGTATCTTGACCAAACCAAGAATGTCGGAAGTTTCTGCAACTTCTGATATTAACCCCTTCACACCTGTACTTGTTTTTGATGCATCAAAAACAAGAAAAACGTACCACCAAATATTTGTTTTTAATCATTTTCCGAGGCTGCTTAAACTTTTTGTTTTCTTCGAAAATTGCCAATCTCCCGAAGCGTCATTTATTTTTGAGTTTCTGAACGTTGTATTTTTTTTTGTGTGCAAGCTTACATGGTCAAAGAGATGGATTCTTTTAAAATTTGGGGATAGCATCTTATCCAGTAAAAAGTATTATGGTTCGGAAATTTAGAAATAAACAGTGTCCAGTGTAGTATTGACTAAATATCATATGGAGCTCTATTGCTGAGCTCGCCTTGATGTTGCCCAATGTGCATTGTTACCTGTTTAATGCTTGCAGTTTGGTCTGAAAATCTAAACTAAATTTAGCTCAACTGCAGGCTGACTTGGTTTCTCACACACTTCCATCAAATTTAAGATATTGTAATTGCAGACAGTTTTCGCTTGGTAAGAAAATAATTTTTTTATTGATCAAAAATGATTTGTATCTGTGCCATGAAGGGCAGTGCAAATTGCCCTCAGCATCTCAGCTCAACCCATTCACCTCCTCTTTTACCAAAACTACTGTCAGAATCCTCACCAATAAAATAATAAATTCTGTAGAAATTTTAAAGCTCTTCCTGTAGTTGATCATTGCTATTGACTTTTCGATTTTTGTATGAATCGTGTAGGATTCCTACTAAAAACCAAAATGCAAATAGGTTAGCATTGGTTGTTATCCTAGAACGGTATTTTCTGACTTTATAAATGAAAAGCCCCATGATTGGGTACATATGGTAAAGACTGCAGTTTGCGGTGTTGGTTGTCTGATGCTGAGAGTTGCCTGCCCTTTGCTCAGTTCTGGTGCCATGTTTAGATGTCTTGAATAATGCTTAAGCTGTGTTGTGAGTGGTTATANTTTTTTTTAGTGGCCACATTTAGACACAGCAATTTATGGGTATTAGAAATTAAGTTGGAGTTGAGTCTTCCGGCAACGAGCATATCGAAAGAATGTGGAATCATTGTAGTCCAGCGTTGAGCAATTAAACAAATGCTTAACAGTCTTCAGTTTTATTTTGTGTTTAACAGCAGCGCTCTTTGCTGTAATACAAAACCAACCGCCTGATTCGAGAAGCCTTTGAAACTCTGAAATATGCTTTCAAATTCTTAAAATAAAAAAGTTTCTGATGTTCACTCACTGTGCAAAACGTGTAATTACATTGAACCAAATGTTAAGTTTATATTCCCTTCCCAAAATAAACAAACATAGGACTTGTTCCGATCCGCATATAAACCAACACAATTAATTGTGTTGTGTGAGCAGAATTCAACATGTAACTTTGTGATACAGTGCGACTTACTTTAAAATCGCAAGACTTGATTGAAAAGAAACAACATCAGTTTGGATCTGATATCTGCAACAAGGATACAATTTCAATACTTTCTGTAACTTCTTTTTATAAACAATCATTGGATTTGGAACACCCCAGATAAGTAGACACTCTTAGGCAAAAAAAAAAGTCTTATCTGATTTCAGAGGTAATTGTTCTGAAGCTGCAGGTTTGGGGGAAGTATAATTCACAACAAGGTTTAAATGGAGATTATCAGTGCAGAGCTGTATATTCAAATGCTTTCTGTCATGGCGCTGGCAGTTAAAACAGGGAGAAGCTATACAGTAGTTGAATGCAATCAGACAAACTATTTTTGTGTTTTTTTAAAAAAGCACAGATGCAGACAGGTGTATAGCAATATGTGAATGTATATTCTTTCCCTCTTTCAAAAAAACAATACAACATAACGCGTATATTAACTGAAGACTTCTTAATGATTCCCATTCAGCTGTCAGCAGAGATGTGGATTTTTTTTCCCCCTCTCTTCCCCCCCCCCCACCCCACTCCGCGTTCTTGTTCTTATTCTTTTGTGGTGTCAAGCCTGTGGTGTTTAATTTGTGAACAAAGTGTAAGCACTTGTTTCACCAAGTGCAAATGTACCCAAGGTGTGTGACGTACCCATGTACGTCCGTGGTGACGGTTGTAAAAGTGAGGTTCTCAAATATGCAAGCAGCAATCCGTGTCAAAGACAATAGTGTTCGGAATAGTGCCCTGCAGAGAGCAAGAGTTACTACCCGTTGTACAAAAAATGACTGGATATAAAGGGCTAACGTAATACAGGAGGTACTTGTGTGTATGTGTGTGTGTGTGTTTATACAGTAATATTACATGCTGAAGGTCACTTTTGTTAATACCAGCAGATTAGCACTTATTAACATTGTGATCACTATTCGCTTTCAGTTCATACCCTCGGGCTTACAGGCAACTGAACTACATGAAAAGATTAGACCCTGAGAGCACTTGTGAGCAATAGTCTTGAAATAGCTGAACGTGGGCGGGCAGTCAAGCTCGCCAACGGCAGAACATATTTTGTTGAGGACTATTTGAATGGATGTTCACCTTCAAACCAAACGGATCTTCACATTTGACGACCAATTGATTTCTTGCAGTGTATAATATTAATAATGCAGTTGTCCGGAACCAATCTTCCTTCACTTGTGTTGCCTCCCCCTCTCTTAACTGAGAGGGGAGGCAACACTGTGTGGCAGGTCTGTTGGAGAGTTGCCATCACAAGAGAGAAAATGATGAATAAGGTCCTTTGGGCCATTTGATTCCAACTTCCAGAATACCAAACCCTGACGTCTTCCCACTGCAGCGTCTGGCTTTTTTTTAAACTAGTCCAGCGACCTGGCTTCCACAGACGTTCCTGGTGCTCTGGCACTCTGGATTCCGATGGGCAGATATTATATTATGTTATTGTGTTGCAGCCAATTTTGTTTCTGGCAGCTCTTTGGGCCAGATTCCAGTAAATTTTGGGAGTCATCAAATGGGAAAAGGGGAAGGTAGTTGTTGAATGTTATTGGGAAGTAAAATGAAAAGACTGCGAAGGGATGAGGATGCGGAGATCGCGTGAGGTGTTTGTTCCCCCTGGACACTTTGAGCAGCACTTGGAAGTATCAGAAGGAAATGGGCCATAGAGATTAAATGGGATTTGAAGGCCTATTGATGGAAACCGCAAGGTGGGGGAAAAAATCTGCGTTAGGCGAAAATGCTATTGGGAAGGTTAGTTTTCGGAAGGGATAGATGGTTTAAAAATGGAGCAAGTTGTTGGCAAGAAACATGGTACCCGGGCTTTGGGTAAAATACTGCTGTACGGATGGATAGTTTAGCACAGGGTTACTACAGCTATTTCAAGTAATGCCTATTTTGCTACTTGTTCAAAGCTGGGTACTGGTCAAAGTCAAAGCCTATGTAATTTTTGTTTTACCCTCCTTCCCTGAGACCAATCCATCTAGATCTTTGTAGCCAAATGTATTCACAAAGATTCTTCTACCCCCCCCCCCTCCCCACCACCCACCCTCCCCACTCCCGGGGCTGGATGCGTTTACAGCAAGGTTGGACGGTTCTGCACAAACAGCAAAGTGACATTCTTTCGCTAGCTGCGGAAATTGGTTGATGAGAAACAGTAGGAGAAAGTCATTCTCCCCGCTTCACTTCCTGGGAATTTTGCAATTGGTTGGTGGAGGACTGAGATGCTACTGTGAACAGGTTGCATTTGCAACCTACGCCGTGGTGTCTTGTAAGCAGTGCGATTTGGGTGAATAAAATTAAACTCTCTGTATCAGATTCTGGCCCAAAGGGTATAATGAATTATTCTGTTGTACTTTGTATAAAAAGTCCATTTAATAAGTATTTATTACCTAAATTATTGTACTTTTTGATCTGTAGATAAGTATGTACTCATAACCGCCATGAAAATTAACTGTATCAGTTTCCATTGGACACATCATTAATTTATTTCTGTATATACTGTATGTTTGTTGAAATACAGCTTACTTTATTTTGTATATGACCAATAAACACCTTTTAAAGTGACAACTTAGTTTTAGTTTTTTAGTGCAGTAACTATCGCACGATCTACAGCACTGGAGAAAGTGGATTGAGTTCACTGTATGACCCTTTTGTGGATATCCAGGACATCTTTGTCTGTCGGGGTTTAATATATACATTTCTCTGTTTCAGTGCTACCACTTCAGTCAGCAAAAATGTATTGCACTGGAATAAAACCATAGCCATCATTTCCTACTGCTCCGTAATACTGTGGAGTCCTGTAGGTTGGTGGTTAGAGCACTCGCCTCGCAAGCGAGAGTCCTGGGCAGGGCGAAACGTTGGGCAAGTTTCCTTACTCCACATGCTTCTGTTTACCGAGCAGTAAGTAGGAACCTAGTTGTTAGTTGATTGGTGGATTGCTTTTCTGGGGGTACTAATACCTTCAATAAATAAATAAAAACTTGATCACTTCAATCCACGACTGTCTGTGGGACACTGCTGAGCGCCATTGGCTGCCATGTTTCGCCCACAAAATATACAGTCAATTCACTTTACAGTATATTCTGTGAAGCGCTTTGAGACATCTCGAAGATGTGATAAGGCGTATCAAATGCAAGGATTAGTGATATTATTATTGTATGTGTACTCCCAAGGATTGTGTATGCGTTCATGGGGTTGTGTGTTCTAAGGTCTGAGTCACTGGACTTCAGTTTTGGTACCAAGTTCGATGAGGGTAAGTGAGTATTTTGAACCCTGTGTTGTACCATCTTAAAATGCTCATAGGCAACAAACATTTTTGTTCCAACCCAGTTCTGCTTCTATAAGAGGGGAGTGGGGTGGGAAATAGCAGATTACCAGCTCTTATTTCCAACGCAGAAAAAAAATGTTGAAAGCAAAGTCTGATAACGTTCCTTAAGTGGCAGCACCCATTATTAAACGGTTGCCTGAGGAATATTACCCAGATTGTTTTTGCAACTATTACAGTGACGTTCTAAAGTTAGTGCATCGTTCACCAATTTAATCCGATGTGTTGTTAGGTATGATACGTTTATAGTTGTATATGACCTATAGACAGTAATGAAGTGTATCTAATGGTTCAGTATTAACTCCACAGTGTCAACGCGATACTATTTATAGCTATGCTGGGTGGTTCCAGTTAATTACTTTCTTTAGTTACATACGTTTCAGTCGATCTTGATCACACAGGCTGTTAATTGTTTACCATCGGAGAGATTTGGATATTGGGGAGATATGGAGTCCTGAAGTGTATTGTTTATTGCCTTGCAAGTGAGAGGACCCAGGTCTGATTCCTGGGTGGGGTGAAATCTTAGGCAAATTTTCTTACTCCACAAGCCTCTGTTTGCCTAGCAATAAGTATGAACCTGGTTGTTACAGGATATACTGTAAAGTGGATTTTGTGGGCAAAACCCTGCAGCGAGTTTGTGCACAGCAATGTTCCACAGCCACGGAGTGAGTGACCATTTTTTTTTCTATTTGGGGGATTGTTGGCCAGGACACCAGGAGGAACTCCCTTCTCTTTTCGAATAGTGCCATGGGATCTTTAATGTACGCCTGAACAGGCAGACAGGACCTCGGTTTAATGTCTTACCCGAAGGACAGCACCTCAGCAGCGCAACACATCCCCACTGCGATGGAGTGTCAGCTAGACTTGGCCTTTGATTCCAAGTGTTGATGTGGGGCTTGAACCTTCTGACTCGGAGGCAAGAATGCTACGACTGTGGCATGCTAGCACACGATCAGGTGAAAGAAACTAATTATCCCGTAGAACACAATCACAACAGACCACATTGAAAGGAAAAAATCGAACGCCCTTTTTTTTTACAATTTTTTTTAAAAAAAACAAGCCACAGGTGTTTTTTATTCCATTGTCAGTCCCCTGAGCCCTCTGGACAGAAGCATAAACACACGAAATGTGAGCTGTTGACTAGTCTTACGGCTGAGAGCGGTGCGGTGGTGAGTATTACCGACCGGGGAAAAATAATTGCTCAATTGGGTAGTAAAGCTGAAATTTTTAAAAAGAAATAACGAAGTTGACTTCTGTTTTAGCATTAAAAAAAAATTCCTACAGCTATTGCTTTTTCCAGAAACAACACCGAATCACTTCACAACACATCCATTCCAAATGGTTTTCTCGGGAAAGTATAACCTCGAGAGTTTGGAAAACTTTGACCCCTTTATGAAAGCTCTTGGTAAGTTTGTACTACGCCTTACGTTACTTTGTGTTTTATGTGTACAACAGTCGAAAAGCTGCTTAACGAACGGTTTCCGTTAAGGTGGAAAAAAACTTAGAAACGTAGCTACTTTCAGCACACAAGGCTATCTGATTCCTTTGTGTTTCTGCCACTGGAAAATTATTATTAATTCCACTTGCGAGTACATTGCCCAAGGATTTTCTTTCCTCTATTTTTCCTCTTCTGTATCAAAAGATCCTGTTATATGTTTGAACGTTCACCTACCTCCCTTCCAATTTGTTTGCAGTAAGTCAATAATAATAATAATAAGTTGTGCCGCATCAGATGTATTTACTGGAAGTTGGAACGTGGAATTTTGCCTGCCTTGATCTTGAACTGTACACTGCCACTTACTTTGCAATAGTTTTTCCTACATCTACTTGCTACTAAATGCATGGATATACTGTAATGCTGATTTGATAGAACTGTAGGATTGTATGTAAAAGCACTCTAGGATGCTCCTCTGCACGAGAGGCGCTATATATATAAATACGAGTTGTTGTTGTCATTTAGTTGTATGAAAATACTGTCCGCCCTAAAATTCTTATTGGGCAAGATTCAGAAGACTTGAGGAAAATTGTTCCCAAGTCAAAAAAAAAAACCCAGGCTAGAGCTTGGGATTTGATTCCACACACTTCCAGACTGAAATGCAAAGAGTATCTTTCTCAATGAAAGGTCCTGTAGCTCAGTGGTTAGAGCACTTTACAAGCGAGAGACCCGAGTTCAATTCCCGGCAGAGGGAGAAACCTTGGGCAAGTTTCCTTACTCCACACACAGCCTAATAATAATCCCTCCAAAACCAAAAACAATAATAAATTGGTCATTTTCAATCTCAGACTGTTTGTGGGACATTGCTGTGCGCAATTGGCTGCCGCGTTTGCCCACAAATATATACAGTCAATTCACTTTACAGTGTGTTCTGTGAAGCGCTTTGGGACGTCCTCCCGACGTGAAAAGCGCTATATCAAATGCAAGGATTATTATTATTATTGGTAATATTTCAAAGAGATGGGCTAGAACAGGCTGGCGCCTCTCTCTCTCTCTCTAATGTTTATACACTGGCTTGTTTTTAAGTGCTTGACTTCCTCTCAGGACCTTTCCCCAGTGGAACAGCTGAAAACAGATTTGTTTGCGTGCACGTGAGTCAATTGAAATTAGAGAGCTATTAATTCATGAATCATTCCATGCTAAACCATATTCAAGCATTTAAGGCTAAACAGTCTCAGGACATTTTTCTTCCTGTCTAGGATAACACTGAATTATTTTCTCTGCGTCCCACTATGCTAGGAATTCAGGATGAAGTCATTAAGAAAAATAAAGAATTGAAAACCATAGTTGAAATTGTTCAGGAGGGGAACACGTTTAAAATTACCCACTATATTGGCTGCAAAACAATTCAGAACAATTTTACCATTGGACAAGAGACCACTTTTCATGGTCCCACAGGCCATGAATTCAAGGTAACCGTTCTGATCATTTTATTTCACTGCAGCAGAAGAACGTACAGAATGAAGAAAGACTAATCAATTGCTCATAGGTATTGCAATAAATAATAATCCTTCCATTTCATATAGAACCTTATCACATCACTGAGACGTCTCAAAGCTCTTCACAGAAAAAATAGAAGCTCCTTAAAAAGAATCTCACATCCTGTGTTTTGTTTCAGGCTGTGGTGAATCTGGAAGGTGTGAATAAGCTTTGCATCAATATGAAGGGATTGACTGCAGTGATAGAGCTGAATGGAGACAGATTGATTGAAGTAAGATGCTGTTATTTCTAGCATTACTGCTGCAGAAGTTGGAACTACCTTTCGGGAGTGCTCAAGTGCTTGTCAATGTTATAACTCTGGAGTTGCTAAGAAATTTGAATCCATTCAGGCAGTCCCATCTCCCTCCAGATCATGATCTGAGTTTGCAACAATGAAAAATTATTTAGTTAGAAGGTTAATTAAGCGCATACACCGATAATTAGTGCACTCAATTTTTTAAAATATAAAATAACATATTATTGCATGCATTCATGCGCTTGTCTGACATAGGATCTTTTGGGTAGCACAAACAAGAATAGCATAAGGTTAAATACCTCCCAACTAATGCAAACTGATACTTGTACTTTTTAAACTGTGAAGATGATTTGACTTTAAACACGAGGAAAACTTCTCATCAACCATCACTAGTGGCAACTAATGCTCATCTCATAAGAGGGTACTCATGGCTGTGCTTTGCTGAGTAAATGCCAACCCTTTCACATACACCGAGCAAAATGTTCCACACCTTGACTTCTGATCCTACGTAGAGACTGAGAGAAGTCAATACACACGTGGACAGTAATCTCCAGCCGCTCTGTCAGTATTGTAGCTTCAAACCAAAATCATAACAATCCAAGAGGGAAAACAAGGCAGATCTCAAGTGGAATCTAATCATGTGTAAAACTGCAGTGCTTACAATATAATTTTGAGATTTAAAACAGTATTCATTTTGTTTGGGATATGATTATGTTTTAACATGTTTGATTAAATATGATTTCAGACTGAGTAACTGAAAAATTTATTTAGAAAAATTACCTCAAAAGCACTGCGAGTGCAATTTTGGGTTTAAAGCAAGAAATGTTCATTATCTATAGCAAGCAGAGGTTTGCTCAATTTTGCAACAACCCAAGGCAGCACTGCTTTCTGGCCCATACTATTAGTCAGATGTTGTTAACGAGTTTCTAACAAACATTCTCTGATGTTTTATTCCCCAAAATACGTATACAATGCTGTTCTGAACTCTTAGTTTTCAGGCTAAGTTGTCTCGCTTAGAGTTTAAATTGATTTACATCAAAGAAGTGAATGCTAAACTGTATCAATATGCCTTACATCTTCAAAACAAAATTCCATTACTATTTAAAGCAAGATCAAGAAGAGCTTATTATAATTTAAAATTTCTCCAGTATTTATATCTCCAGTCTTAGACGATAAGACATAAAATGAATAGATTTCACGCCAAAGGACATTAAGCATTTAAGTGGATAAATAGAACTCTATTAGCTCCTGTCTCAGCAATACAGATACTTTGTGATTCATCTCTGGAACCCAACAGAATGCTTAATTAAACAGTACTGTGAATATTTTCATGAAGTGAATAACTTTTACAACGGTAATTATTTTCTTTTGTGTTTTTGTGGTTGTTTCAGACCCTGACTACTGGCGAAACAACCTGTACGAAAATTAGCAAAAGGATTTAAAGCAACGGGAAGTCTGATGTGTAAAGATAGAAAACTTGTCTGAACTGTAATTTATATTGTACTGCAATAAAGTTGGCTTTCTCCAAGTGATAAATGTGAACTGATTATTAACAACCCAATTTCTACATAAAGGCTGATTCTGTGATAACCGGAAGCTGTTTCATTGTGAAAATCTATTGTGTCTGAATAAGTAGTTGGAGAGTCCAGGGACAAGGAACACGAACATGGACCAGTTGGGCCGAATGGCCTGTTTCTGTGTTGTATATTCTAATGTAATGTATTTGAATCCTGACTAATGTCAAGAAGGACAAATATTCGGGTCTTTCAATGAGATGGATTAATCTGAATGATGACGGGACTAGCCTGCCACCTACTGTTGAGGCTTGATTAAACCTTAGTTTAATGTCTTATCTGAAGACTCCTGCGGCATTATTGCACCGACATGTCAGCCTGGACCATAAACTTAATGTCCCAAACGTGGGGCTTGAAATAACAACTTTCTGACCCAGAATTGAGAGCGCAACCCAACTGAGTGAGGCTGACGTCTACTATACTTAACCTTACTCAAGAAGAAAGATTACATTCCTTGATCACTATGGGTAATGTTATTTAGGTCATTTTCATGATTAAAGCCATAATATCACACAAACCATTCCCCCCCCCCCCCACTCCATCAAAACTATGTTGTATATCACCATGCTAATGTAACAGAACATTTTATTTATTTTACTGGCAAAATATCATCATTCATGGCATAAAATTCTTCTTTCTTATCATCTTTCTTATCTTATTTTCCTATCTATCCCATTCAGCCGAGACCTGAAAATGGGAAGGGAGGGAGGAAGGCAGTTCCAGAGCCTCGGGGCGTAGTGGCTGAAGGCACGGCCGCCGAGGGTGGAGCGAGCGGAGGACTCGGTGGACGGGGAGGAGGCCAGACCCGGAGGAACGAAGGCAATGGGTGCTGTTTGAGGAGAGAGGAGGTCAGAGAGGTGGTCGGGGGGGGGGGGGGCAGAGGAGCGCAGGGACTTGAATACGAGGGACGTCCTCCTGACGTGAAAGGCGCTTTATAAATGGAATCTTGTTGTTGTTGTTGTTGTGAGGATCTTGAAATCAATCCTCTCTGGGACAGGCAGCCGGTGCACACGCCTCTGTTTACCCAATAGTAATCACATCTTCGAGACTGACGTCTCAGAGCGCTTCACAGATGATACTGTAAAGTGAATTGACTGTGTATTTTGCGGGCGAAACGCGGCAGCCCATCGCGCGCAGCGGCGTCCCCACGAACAGCCGCGGATTGAAGTAACAAATTTATTATTATTATTATTAGTTTGAAGGAATTATTACCCCTGGAAAAGCGGTCCGCCAGTCGACTAACAACTGGGTTGAAGGACTATGATTAGTATTATTATTATTATTATGACTCCACCTCCAGTGTGGGTGAGTGGGTGGATGGGGGGGGGGGAGGGGGGGGGAGATGACTCCAGCTCCAGTGTTTGAGCTCAGCTCCAGCTCCGGGTTTTGAGTTTAGCTCCGGCTCCCGGTGTGCCAGGTCGACTCCAGCTCCGGGGTTTGGCGGTGACCGGCGTGCGCGTCGGAGGGGGAGGGGTCAGGTCGGGGGGGGGGAGGGGGAGGAGTTAGGTCGTGGGAGGGGGAGGAGTTAGGTCGTGGGGAGGGGGAGGAGTTAGGTCGGGGGGACGGTCACGTGCGACGGGTGACAGTTGAGCGCGAGGTGCGGTCGCCAACCGTCATCTCCTGTTTTGAACGTCGGAGCGCGAGGAACCGGCGGTCTGACCTAACGGTGGGGGAGGGGACGGGGGGACGGGGGGGAGAGGGAGAGAAGCCATCACAGCTCTGCCCGGGCCCAGGAGCTGAGGGGAAGGTGAGTTTGGTTCTGAGGTGGACCCTCTTGTGGCCGTGTTACAGGGAGCGGTGCTCAAGAGAACCGACAGACGGACAGACAGACAGACAGACGCTGCTCCTCTGCTCTCACCACCACCACCACCACAACAACAACAATAATAATAAAGTGTAGTGACTGTGTGTATCTTGCGGGCCAAACCGCGGCGGGCCGGTTGCCCACGGCAGCGCCCCCCCACCCCCACCCCCACCCCCCCCACCCCGCAAGCGGTCGCGGATCGATGATCGGAGTGACCCAAAACGATGGCCCCCAACAACACCGCGAAACCGGTGCCATTGACCGATTTCACAGCCGTGGATTGAGTGACCGACCGGTGTGTCATTGTTATTCGGATTATTGTTCTTTGTATTATTATTATTGCTCGCCTCGCAAAGCGAGAGGGACCCCGGGGTTCGAACCCCTCCCCCCGCCCCCACCCCCCCCGCACGGTCAAGGCGGAAAACTCAGGCAAGTTTCCTTAACTCCATCCCCACGCGCCCGCGCCCGCACACGCCTCTGTTTCCCGGTGGTTATCCGACTGGCTGACCCCTTGCCCGGCCGGGGGTCATAATCCCGGCCCAAAATGTAATGATAATAATAATTCGGGTCACTTCAATCCACGACTCGCTTGTGGGGCGTTGCTGCGCGCGACTAACCGGCTGCCGCGTTTCGCCCGCGAAAGGCATGCCAGTCACTTCGCTTCACGGTGTCCTCTGTGAAGCACTTTGAGACGTCCAGAAGACGTGATGAGGCGCTGTAGCGGATGCAAGGATTATTATTATTATTGTTATTTGATCAAGCGCCTTACCAAGTCGTTGGCCGAGGAAACTGGGAGAATCTCCCTTCTCTTTTCATAGAATATCACGAGATCGAACGCCCATCTGAACAGCCCGGACCTCAGTTTTAACGTTCATAGATAATTCACCAATGACATATTTTGCAATGATGCCTAAAATGATCATAGGAATAAGTTAAAATAAAGCGTGCAATTTTGCAGCATTTCTACCATCCTATGTAGGATGTTTTCATGAAAGTGTTTTTTTCTTACAGAATGGAGAGCTATGAAGAATTTTGCAAAGCTCGACTTGCTCAGATCAAAGCGAAGGTCAAATTGGGAAATGATTCTCCACTGGCAACCAAGCAGGGAGAGTCTTTGATCCAGTTTCATGGCATTGCCATACTGCCGCCACTGGCAAGTGATCATGGTCCTGTTCTGCTTAATTTGATTCAATTTGTTGAAACGGGAAGGAGGAAGGGGGAGGAGAGGAATAAATAGATAACCCAGACCTTAAACTGATGAAAATGTTATTGAGTGTGAAGAGTAGAGTGCGAAGCCAAAATAGACTAGGGATATTGTCGTCTGTCTGGTGAGATGCACGTACCACTCTTAAAATGTATGAGTTGGAGGACCTAGATTCACTGTACTGACAGCAGTACAATATCGATGAGCAACATGACTGATTTAACTGTCATTTAACTGCAATGGTTGCACTGTACATTTGCAGTTTGTAGCAGCTCTTTTGATGGATGTTTAGTATAGCAACCAACTTGCATAGATCCAAGTTAGTTACTGCTTCCGTCTTTTCACCATGACATTTACCAAACCCCTTTAAAGGTTAGTAATTGACTGAGCATCACAGTAAAATGTATTAACTAAATCGATTTTGGTGCTTTTTAGCTTACCCCAGTGCAAAGGAAGGAGATGCAGGAGTACCAGTTAAACACTTCAACGCCTGGTGAAACCTCAAAGAACAAACTGAATGAAACACAAATAAATAGGCGATTATTGGAGGTGCAGAATCTGCTTAATAGTGTGCAGGTGAGATCTAGCCTCTAAATAGAAGATGTATTTTTTATTATATATATCAGTGATGATAATGCAGCAAAAATTGGTGCAGCATTGGGTTCATCTGTCGCTTTCAGACTTGTATGCAGTGAGAATGTTTTCTGTCAATACTCAAATACTGTATCAGGATATCTTAATGACTGAGAGCTTTATCATTCTTCTCTGGTGTTACATTGTTTCTTGATAGATAAGGAAAGCACCATCAATACAGGAGTTTGTGAAAGATTGTTCACTTCTGATTTCACCCAGCAAGCCATTGAGTATGAGCAGTGGATTTATAGAAGACTGGAACTCTACAGCTGACCAAAGTACTTTGCACAGAACTTCACTCAGGTGCATCGAGTCTCTAATATGTGAGTCTATTAGCACTCAGGTATCTGATGCAATTAAACCAAACTCTGCAATGGACCCTGGCAATGTTCCTGGAATAGCCTCCGTTATAATTACTGAAGAATCTGTTCAAAAGAATAGTCTAGATTATAATGAAAGCTTCTGCACAAGTATTGAATGTGGGAAAACCAACGTAAATTGTCACATTAGTTGTGCTCCGATGCTAGATGACTCTAAAGATAAAATTGTTCATACTAATACAAATTTTACAGTACTTAAAGAAAATGGACCAAAAACAGAACAGACATCTATCAATTCTATCGATAAACAGGAGGATTCATGTCAAACGGTGAATGGTGACTGTACAGTTTTATCAACTGGGAATAAGAAGAACACTTATTCAGAACAAAGCCACTCCCATCATTATATTGATGAGGAAACTGCTCCAAATCAGGACTCCTCACCAGATCCTTATGCATTAAGTCTTCAAAACCTATTGAAAAAATCAAGGGAGTATCGAGATAGGCAGCGACAAGAGAAGCTATTGAAAACCTTGCAATGCAAAGTACAGTCTGACAAAGAAAATGAGACTAAAGATAGTAAAGATATGGAGGAAAGAAAACTTGTTTCAGGGAAACCCACAGTGCCTGATACAATATTGAAAGTTAATCAAGCCAGACCATCTGTTTTCCCACACTATTCCTGTGATTCCTCTGAACCACACCAAACTATTGCAGACGGTATTATGAACGAACATGAAAAGAATGCAAGTCGAAGCAATTGTCAAGCTTTACCACAAGAAAACACAAGTACCGAAATGCATGAGCTCAGTCTAAAGAATGTGGTCCTCTTCTCAAAGTCATCTAAACCAATCAATAAATCTCACTGCCTCAGGAAAAGCCAATTACAATCAAACTCCGTGGGCCAAAGGTCTCAATGTCAACAAGAAGGTAAAAGTGTGAACAGACCTACAAAAAGTCAGAGTAGAAGTTTCCGAGTGCCCAATTTACAACTGAGCAAAAGCCCAGTGCTTTCAAAAAAACAGGGCCGCCTGTCACAAAGGAATCTAGTGAATGCTCCAATTGTAATGGACGGTGAGACGGTGGAACAACGAAAGAAAGAAAGTAGGTCTGATGCATTTAGAAGTCAAATGAAAGTCAGTCAAGCTCAAAGAAAACATACAGCTGAATTAGAGTTTAGCAAACCCAAGTTGAAAGCCTTTACAGGCCTTGAGACTACATTAACTCCTTACTGTGAAGCGGTAACAAATGAGCTGTTGCTGGACAGCAAAGCTACTCTACTGAACACAGGAAATGACAAGTGCATAGAATCTGATAAAAAATCTATTGCGTTGTGTTCAGGCAAAACACACAGTGGTTTCGGGTCTCTGTCATATGGAAACTTTGTCCCGCAGACCATATATAGTTGTGGCACTACTGCATCTCGTATGAACATCTTGCAGTCCTTTGTGACAAAAAAGATCCAATGCTCCAGGCAATTATTTCCACCAAACATTCACTTAGCAGCAAAACCTTTGAAGACCAGTCCAAAACTCACCAGTTATACAATGGAAGATACGATCAGACAAAAGCAATATATTAACAAATCATATGATGTGGAGTTCCCTTCTTCACTTTTGTTGCAGGATTTTAAGTCCAAGCAGGAGCTTGATTCAAAGAATCCAACTACTCCCGAATTTGGACTGAACATACGGGACTCTAGAGTCAAAAGAAGATTAATCTTGAATTCTGCCAGTGATGAGCAAGAACAGCCGCCAGCTAGTATGCCTTGTTCTTCCAAAGTATCTTTTCATTTACATCACTTGAGTCGAGCTTGTGAGGAAAGTGAAGTTCAGTCAGTTGGTGAGTAAGGTTATAATAAAATAATCCTTGCATTTGATATAACGCCTTATTACATCTTCAAAGTATGTCAGAGCACTTCACACAATATAGAGTAAAGTCTTAAGGTTGGTAATTAACCTTGCAGTATTTAAAAGAAACCATCTTCCATATTTCCTTTTCACCTTTACGTAGAATGTACTACTTTTTGTCTTGTTTAGTCACCATTCCATACCTGCTTTTGATGGAACTGTTCAACATATCAATTGGGACTGTTTTGATACTGTAAAATACTACCAGTCATTTTGGGTTAAATTTACTTGATTTTTTCATGCCATTTATCATTAATGGATCTGCATGAATCTACATTATATTGTTTTGCTGCCTTAACTGCAGGTGAAGTGGAAAAACATCTATTAGCTCTTGCACAAAAGAGATGCCAGTTACAGGAAGAACACGCACAACAACTTGCAGATCTGTTGGCTGAGCAAAGAAAACGGAAGGAAAGTCTTCTCAAGGTTGGACGATTTTGTTGTTGTTACTTCTTTAGAGGTTTCTCCTCCAGCCCCCTTACGTCTCGTGCAGCGTTCCTTAGAGCTCTGTCCTTGGTCCCCTCCTCTTCAGTATCTGTATGCTCCCTCTTGGTGACATCATCTGCAGACATGGGGTCAACTTACACATGTATGCGGATGACACCCACTGCTGACCTGACAGAAGGTCTGGCAGACATCAAGTCCTGGATGAGAGCTGACTTTCTTCAGTTGAACGTTAACAAGACTGGGGCCTGATTGGCTCCCATCAGCGCCTCCTCACCTCAGGTGCTGATAGTATCACCATCGATGGTTGCACACTCCACCTTACTAAGCCTGTCCAGAACCTTGGCGTCTTGTTTGACCCTCAACTATCCTTTCTACCCCACATTCGTGCCATGACCCGCTCTGCCTTCCCCCAACTCTGTAACATTGCCCGGCTCCGCTACTGTCTCACCGCAGGCCGCCGAAACCCTCATATACGCATTCATAACATCCAGGCTCGACTTTGTCGGCCTCCCCAACTCCTCCCTCCATAAGCTGCAGATCATCCAGAACTCTGCAGCCGGTGTCCTCTTGCACCTGGCTCCGTGACCCAATTACCCCCATCCTCTCCTGACTCCACTGGCTTCCCTTTTGAGACCCTTCTTTGTGAACTGTTTAGAATGAGAAACAATGTGGCTCAGGAATGATAAACAGTTTCAACATCCGTTTCAATCAGTTGATACCTTTATTTTCTTTAGCTGGGGTTGGGTGTTCTGGAGAGATGGCCAGACAGATTTCTAGCACTGATTAAAGGATACCTGACGCGAAGAGTCTTACGTACCAAGAGGCTCATGCAACTGTCACAAACAATCAAGGTAGGTTTTTGTTTCTTTGCATTGGCTTTGCTTTTGTTGCTGAGGTGAAATGTATGTTAGATAACTTTAAAGATGAAACCATTGAAACCAATCAAAATGTTGCTGGAAATAAAATAAATGGAGCAGCGTGACGAGGTCTGCATGTATGACTGTCACACTCAGTCTATTTCATTTTATTATCAGTTTTTCTATTTAGATTTTAATGCTCCACAAAACAAAAGTAACATAACCATAATTTAGTAATCCAGCGAATGTTTTTGATATTCAAATTCACCTTTTCCAAATTGGGTTGACCATACTGTAAAACTCACATAAGTCATATCATTCGTGTAAAGAAATCTAAGTGGTTTTGATAGGAAAATGAATGAGGCTCAGGTGAATGTACAACTTTAACATTTATACAATTTATAAAGATAAGATTTTACTGTATAGTGACAAGATTTTTCAGAATGATTCAGGATGAGATTGTAGTTCTGTTTATTTGCTACAGGATACACAGCAACTTTTGCTGGCTCTTCAAACAGGAACGCCTATGAGGAATGGTTTGATATCAGCTCGTGATGCCTTGTTGAAGGAGAGAGTTCGATGCCAGGTAGAACAAAACAATGCAATTATATTTGTATAGAACAGGATTTTTTAATTAACTGGGCAATGGGGATTTTTCTCAATTTGCTAATCAAGGCTGGATACTTGTGGATGGTTACTTTGGTGATGTACTGAATAGCTGCTGGCTCCCGTGGGCTTCTAATACCTCAGCAAAAGTCATTTCTTTAGGAGAAAAGAAGCAAAGAGATAAAATTGAAGTCTAAAAGGAGCTGAAATATCTATTAAATGAATCATATTCGCTTGTTCTCAGTGATTGTTTCAACTATGCCTAGATCATTCAAACCATAAGTGCAAATGGCATTAGTTTTCCTTCTTTCCAGCTTCGAGCTGCACTATACGAAGTCCATGATATTTTCTTCCTCATATCTTCTGCTGAAAGAATGCAAATAATCCGACATGATCAAGATCTGCAGCAGAATAGGCTGAATCAGGTAGTCGTTTTAAGCATAGTAAATTCTTGTGACATTGATTCCTTTGGTTATTTAAACATTATGGATATCAAGTAGGGCTTTTCTTCCCTCTTTATTTTGAATGTATTATGGTTTTGTCCTTCACTTTTATTTTTTTTGTGTATTAACTGAGGCCTGTATGGGAGAGTTGCTCTAAGACAACCCCATTTTAATATAACAGTCAATTACGATATATTATGTATTAGGGTGTTTACAGTCTTTATTAGTATTAGGCTCCTAGAGCCAATTAATGTCCCTATATGGATGTAATGTGAAGTGGCAGGTACATCATGAAATAAGTCAACAAGTTTTGGAAATAGTGAAACATGTTTTCATGTGAATACTGTCTCATTGTTATGATCTCATTGGGTACAAGAACCTTAAGGGGAAAGTAATGGTAACCATACAGTTAGCAACAGAATATTTTCCTGACAACCTTACAAGCCTCTATATGAAGTAACATCAGATGTACTTCAGCAACTAATGCATACTTTTTCATTTGATGTGAAAACATTGATTTTGTTTCACTGTGAAATGTTTAATGTTTTTCTATGTTGTAGCAGGAACATGGGAGCGTTAAGAAGAAAATATCAGCAGCTACTCAGAAAGTACTAGAGAGGAAGAGAATGCGCATGTATGCCTTTCATTTCTATTTATTTATTTAACCCGTGTATGTTTCTTGTCTGTATGACTCAATCTTACATAAGATAGTGACTTTATCAATAAATCAAAGGTAAGTTTGTCTCCAGTTGGCTCAAACAGCGCTGGACCTCACTTCATGACTAAAGCACCTCATTGTCAAATTGTTGTGAATATATAGTACATAATGGAATAGTCCAGAAGAATCAGTTCACTAAATAACATCATTATCTTAGTATTGGATTTTGCAGGTAACTCTCCGCTTATTGTCGTCGTAGTTGTGGGTTCAGTCCTCAATTCAACCGCCCGCTTGGTGTGATCCACATGTTTTTAGTTGGAGGGATAAAAACATTTTAGCTAAGAGGTAAAAATGAAATGATATCAATAACAAACATCACAAAATATCTATCTACATATTCCTTGTCCAAAAAATGATCTGTGTGGCATGTTTTTGTTTTTTAACATGTTCAGTAAATAATATTTACTCTTATTTAAAGTAGATCTAAATTTTAATTATGCTGCTTTTAATCTACAGGTTCTCTGTTGGCACTATAGGTGAACAGAAAATACCAAAAAAAACACAGCCTGCAAGAAAACCAAGATTACGATGTCAGAGGAAACAGATCACAGCGTTTGAGTAATTCTAGATCATGATCTTGCAACGGCTTTGCATCAAGGTAAATCTCAGGTTAGTTGCATTGTTGTATGTCAGCTGTGTTTGACCAAAACATTTCACCTCCGAGTTAGACAATTCATTTCAGCATTAATTTGCAACTTCCTGTGAAGCTGCAATGATGTCAAACTCACCAGCTTCTAATTAGGGTGTGTGTTTCTTCAAACACTCTAGTTCATTATTTCACACTGTACCTTGAAGCATCCTCTAATGCTTTTTGATCTGTTAAAATTGTTCCCCCTTTTAGCTGCAACATCTCCATCTTGACTACACAATTTAATATATATTTATATATATTTATCTGTTTAGGCTTAACCCATTGTCGGACCTTTGCCGATGCTTGACCTTTGAAGATTCGTGAGGCTTGTTTTGAGGAAAAGCAAAATGTTGTTCCCTCCAGAAAGACTTCCTGCCAAGATCAGAATCTTCATTTCTTGGAATAACAGCAGTGACCTAAAGTCCCACCACTAAATGGTTCAGTGCTTATTATATCAACAAGCTGAAACACTGGTTTTATCTTAAAAGGGATAAAACTGTTCAATAATAAATTGTTCACTCGATCCACGACTGTTTGTGGGACACTGCTGTGCTGCCGCATTTCGCCCACAAACCATGTTTCGGCGGTTCACTTTACAGTATATTCTGTGAAGCGCTTTGAGATGTCTTGACGTGATAAGGCGCTACATCAAATGCAAGGATTATTTAACTAATTTGGGGTTATTTTTCTTGTCATAATTCCTAGAACTTAGCTGCTGCTTGCTCACCCATTTCCTGATATATCTCTATTTTTTATTTGAGAAAAATGTGTTGGCTGTCAATCGTTTTTAATTTCACTTAGAAAACAGACACCATGGTGTTAATGGTGCAGACAGAACGCCGCTAATTTTTGACTGGATAGTTGTATAAAAGCGCATTCAATATAATTTGTAAAAGTTGTGACTTTTCATACTTTTTTAAAAATGTCACTTCCTGCAGTAATTGCACTAGCTTCCTGATCGTGTGATGGGTTTTAAAATGATTCCAAAGCCTAAACTTTATTAGGATATTAGAAGCGTTATAGATAAAACAAATTCAAAAAGGCATCTTTGTACACCACTTAATGTTAGTAGTAGTGTACAAGCAAGCAAAACATTCATATTTATATAACTTGTTCTTTTTCCATGAAATCAATCTCTCAATGAAGTGGAAAAATTGAACATCAGATTTTGTTTTGTATGCTGTCTTTTTATGAGACCTATATTGTTCAGCATTTGTCTTTGTAAAATTGGAAATGTATCTGTAACTACAAATATTCTGTTTTAAAATCTTTCAATAAAATTGAAAAACACCTTTAACAGAATACAAAGATGAGTCCTTCAAGGAGTTTGCATCAAACAATTGATGGCTTAGGACAATTCATCTTGACATTCCTGCTTCTCTCATCAACAGAATTGTACGTCTTGAGTAATTATAATAATATCATTAATTACTCATTCAGTGAATCTGCCTAATTTATCTGATGTCTAATTTAGAATATATAAATTCTTTGTACCTGTATAAATTTGTGGTTTCTTAAGTCTAATTTTTTTATCTACTATTTTTACTTTTTAAATAGTAAATTATTTTGAAATCCTACAATGTATTTCAAGTTTTGTACTGTGTAATATGTCAATGAAAAGATAGCATGAAGTAGTCATTTCTTTTTTAAAGTACACACAATGAAATCTTTCAGATTTGAGAGTTCATTTTAAAAAAAGTTACAATACCAATTTAACTCTGTATAAACCTTTGAGTTAGGAGGCCATTGTAAGTTTGTGTGATGACACATTGAGTTCTTTATTGGTTATTTTTCAGATACATTCAATAAATACGTAAAAAGGAAACTACTGTTATACAATGCAAAGAATATAACATAACATGCAGGAGTAGGCCATTCGAGCCTGCCCCGTCATTCAATCATGGCTGATCTTCTAATCTAACTTCAGATGATAACCTAACCCTGCCTTATCCTCATAATCCCTTTTGTAATAAGAAACATATCTGTCTCATATCTATATGGTATTCGATTCAGGTTGATTTGAGATTTACCATGATTAATTTTTTAAAAACTTTTCTGTTTTCTAAATCATGATTGAATGTACTCTTTGATAGTTTTACTCTACAGAATCAGGAAAAAAATTTAAGGGAACTATTTCTAGGCAATTTAAATTGTCTGGCTCCTATGTTCCGAATTTGTTTTTCAAGTGGGTCAGTTTCCAGCGTTATGTTTTCTATGGCCTGCAAGGTTCCTCCGATGTGAGCCTTCGTGTCGGAAGAGACGGTCGAATCAGCATTTAGAAGTTTACTGAATGATTCACTTTCAGCACAATTACCATGGCTCCATGGTGGTTCATTTTGGTCCTCCGTGTCGTCCGAAGAATATTTTGGCTCATACACCACGTTTTGAAACATGCTGTGACACTTGAAGCATGGTGGTAGCAATTTGTCGTTTGCTGTTGACCTAAATTTCATTCTAACAGCGGTTGAGTGTACACCTGGAGAAAATTTTAAGTTAGCTTTTTGGCGCTGACAAGTGCTCACAACCCATCCTATAGCCGGGTGCCATGTCTTGAAACATGAAATGGCAATCATAGTTTTTGCTTCCATTAAGCCAAAACATGACAAAGAAGCTCCATAATAACACCGTCCACCTTGAGGCCAACAATAGGAGACAACAGTTGAAACAAAATTATTTATAATCTTTCCGTTCACTCTATTGTTCCATGTTCTCAGTCTTTCCAAAACATCGATACTTCCACTGTATTTCTCAACCTAGTACAGAGAATATACAATTAGAGAAATGTTTTTAATGTTTCCCATTGCTGGTGGCTCAGATCCTTTGAGTCAGGAGCCGACTCGAACCAGAAATTGTGCTTTTCAAAAATAAAATGGGATGGGGGGTAATAGTCACAAAACTTGTTGCAGCAGAGGACACGAGCTGCTGAGTTTTGAATGATCTGCAGCTTGTGAAGGGAAGAGTTGAGAAGCAGGGAGTTAGCCTAGTCAAACCTAGACATGAATGTGTGGATGAGAATCTCAGTGGCCTGAGGGAAGAGGCAGTGGTTGGGAAGGCAAAACAAGCCATGGCACGGTGTAAAAAGATAACATTTATATTCTGAAGTTAACAATAAGGTACATTGTTTGGGCAAAATAAATGAAGCGTCACTCTACAATTATAATAAAATAATAATCCTTGCACTTGATACAGCACCTTATCAAGTCATCTCACAGAATATACTATAAAGTGAATTGACTGTATATTTTGTGGGCTATACCTGACCTCGAGTGGTTTGGGATGACAAAATTGGAAAACATTTTTCATTCCCCAGCATTGAAATCGTTTGCTCTGACAATATAACTTTTTTTTCCTCAAAACACCTGGTTGGTACTCAAGATGGTTTCATTTCAGTTTTTAACTGATTAACACCAGAAAACAGAATTGGTCTTTAAACTTACAACAAAAATCGCACTTACATAGCGCCCTCCATGCAGGGTAGCATCTCAAGAGCGCTTAACAGTGGCGGAGCCTGACTCCGAGCCGGGGCCGTAAGCATAGTCAAATAAGAAGGTTTTCAGGCTTAACTTGAAAAGGGTGAGAGGGGGCAAGGCGGAGGGGTTGAGGGACTGTTCCAGAGTGTTGGGTGTAGTGGCTGAAAGCCTGACTCCCGATGGCAGGGTGGAGGGTTTGAGGGCAAGCAGGAGGCCGGAGTCAGTCAACCAACATAAAATAGTTGGTTCAATTAAATAAGTTACTGTTATTGTTAAATGCTGTTGGACTCACCATTTCAAGTACAATGGAATATGGGGTTTGCGTTGGAAGGTGGGTATTGTATTCCTGGAAGGGTTTGGGATAGTTCTTCTTGAAAGCTGTAACCATTTCACTTGGAAGAAATTCCTCTGGTTTTACTGGAAGCACATTAATGCCTCCAAAAAAGAAGATTGAGTGCAGCACCTGTGAACATGGAAAATATGACTTGGGAGAGTACGCTATTGGAATTATCTATATGACAATGATGCGTATTGATTAGGAAAAAAACATTGCATGGAGTGTCTGAGTTGATCAAACACATCAGTACAAAGGAATAACCCCCCAAGATAACACAACTGCTTAACAATATTGTCTAAGTGAGGTGAAAACACTAGATATGAAGAAAGTACTAATAGGTATCTATCATCTAAAAGAAGATGCTGCTTTCAATAATCTCTTTGCAGGGAGAAAACTTTTGTTAAATGATCTGTTGTGATGCTAATCATTATGTTCGGAAAATCAAACTGTATCGATCAACTGCTGTACCAGGTTACAATACCATACATTGTCTGAAGGATGTCTAAATTCCAGTAAAATTCAAAACCACAATTAGATCATTCGGATTTAAGTTTTGGAATTAAAACATTTACTTAAATTGTTTCTGTAACATATATACAGTATTAAAACATTCTTAAATAAAACAACCTTTTCCATGTATTTGTTTCTCTCTGCAGGTGGAACAATTTTTAATATATAGGAAAATTCTGAGATGAAATCGATACCACTGGAAACTAGGGCTTCTCTTTGTGCAATTCTGTTCTTTCTAAATAAAACAAGATAAAAAGGACTTATATATTATATATAATATATAAAATATATATATACACAAATATAAATAAAGTATCCTGGTATATTTGTAATGTGGACTAAGCATGAGAGGTGAAATGGGTTTGAAATCTAGCCCCAGGTAAACAAAGATTTGTACAGTAAGGAAACATGCTCAACGATTCGCTATGCCTAGGAATATCAAATATATTTTGTTGGCAAAACGCGGCAACCAATTGTGCACAACAGTATCCCACAAACAGCTGGGGATTGAGTGTCTAAATTATTATTATTTTTAATTTTGATGGGATTATAACCCCTGGAAAAGCGATCTGCCAATCGACTAACAACTGGGTTCCTATTTACTGCTTGGTAAACAGGCGTGCGGATTAAGGAAACTTGCCTAATGTCTTGTTATGCCTGGGAATTGAAAAATTGATGAGGAATAATCTTATTTCAGACCATATGATTTTCAGGCTGATTTTGGGAAGGTCAGAAATGAAGCACAGTCAAAATACAGAATAATACAGAAAAGCTAAATGGTGACAAAAAGGACAGATTGGCTAGAGGTTAACATAAAATGCAAAAGTTGCATTCTTCTATTAAAGTTTTCTTCTTAAGGAAAGAGCAAATGATGTAGCAAGGGGGCTGACTTCACTCTTTATATTTAGTTTTTCTTTAAAACCCTCACCCACCCTGGCTCGGAGTCAGGCTTGCAACAGTTAAGCGCTCTGAGACGCAACCTTGCATGGAGGGTGCTATGTAAGTGCAAGTTTTGAGAATTAACATTTTGCAAAGTCAAAAATCTTCCTGGAAATGCATTTAAAACATCCGTCAACTGAAAAGAATTTTAAAAATAATGAAAACTGGGTTTACCTGCCAATAACCTCAATAGCAGACCTCTGGAAAGAATGGGATAATAGTGAATGCAATGATTATAGCAAACTTAGTGCTTAAAATGTTGAATAACGATAGAGTATATATACACAGTACACGTCAATTCATGTTCCCAGCTACTAATCTGCAACCTACAATGTACTTCCAACAAAAAATAAACACACTTGGAGGAAATATTGTTACATTACTTTGTAACTGAATTAATATTTGTGGCTTATTTTCATACGTACAGTTCCCATTTCGTTTTGGCAGTGATTGACGAAGAAATATTATTGAAAACTGAAAGGAAAAGCACAGTAAGAATAGCTCTTTGAATCAAGTACAACAATTGTGTTCTAATAATCCCTCCCCCCCCCCCCCAAACACTAATAATATTTATAGGAACCAAATTATAGGAACGGAGCTCTGCAGTAGTCTACTTGAATCTAATTTTTTTGTAGAATTGGCGTGTACAGTATGAACCTCCGGATCTTATTCTGGATGAAAAGCAATATCATAGCACCAAGATGCATAGTAGTTGATAAAACGTCTTATCTTTGTATCTGTCAGGGCTCCTAAAATCCTAGCACCAAATCTCAGCGCTCTATGCATCCAGAAAATGGATTGGACTTCAAGTTTGACTGTACATCAAATATGGAATAATTTACTATTTAATGCAATGATTTAGAATACACCAACTCTTTAAAAAGACTTTGGAGGGTTGGGAAGGCTCAGAGAAAAATCTGCGATTTCAAGATCAATCTTATGTGAAGAAGTCCACAGAGCTGAGTTTATATTTATTAGAAAAAATTTAAAAGCTGAGGGGGCTTCATGATGCACAATTTCAAAATTACAAGAATCAATGTCAAAATCAAAATCATGAGGGAGATAAAAAGCTGGTTATTTGATTTAAGACAGTGGAACGAATCTAGAAGACATAGATTCAAAATTAAAAAGCCTCGAACTGGACTACAGAATGTAGATACTGTCAGGAAATAAAGAGGATGTGTTGCTTAATAATCCTTGCATTTGATATAGCGCTTTTCACGTCGGGGGGACGTCCCAAAGCCCTTCACAGAACACACTGTAAAGTGAATTGACTGTATGTCTGTGGGCGAACGTGGCAGCCATTTGCGCATAGCAACGTCCCACAAACAGTCATAGATTGAAAATGATCAATTTTTATTTTTTTTGGTTAGCGAATGATCACCTACCTGCGTCTAATACTATCCAGAAGTAAGTGATTAGGGTGTGTTCTTGAAGAGAGAGACAGAGAGAGTAAGCAACATTACAAATTAATCATTAGACAAATCTTATAATTTTCCATTCAAAAAGAGTCTCCACACACAAACGGCCGCCTTTCATACAACATTCAATGATTTCAAAAGGAACAGTTTCATTCGCTTTAAGCTTTTCAAATATTCCATAAACACATGGCAGTAAATTTGCTAACAAAAATACACACAAACACAAAATAACATACAAGAAATCACACATTTAGCTCATAAAACTATCAAAGACCAAACAATTTGACTTACTCTGGTTGCCCAGCCCTTTTTTGTGAAAACGAAACTTTGTCATCTTCTTCCTGATCATGTCAGTGAGCTTTTATTGGTTACAGACTGCTGGGTGATTAACCCTTTTATATGAATGTACAGAATTAGAATTACATACACATACAGCACTGAAACATACCATTCAGCCCCAAGAGTCCTGTTTTATTCCATACGAGCCTCAATCCCTCCTCATTCCTCTTATGTTTGCAACAAGTTTCTTCTTAAATGCATTAATGCTTTCTGCTTCAAACATAGCTTCGATTAGTGAGTTTCACATACTCCCATTCCGTCAAGAGATTCCACCTAAACTCTTTAAACCCTACACCCCGTCCTCCGTTTTAGAATCACCAACAAGTAGGAACAACCTATGCTCACTTTATCAAATCATTCCATTATTTTAAATGCCCGTACTTGGTCCCCTTGCAATCATCTTCTCTCCCAGTGAAAAAGCCTTACCTGTTTAGTCTTTCTTGATAGCTGTATTCACTCATCCCTTGATAACTCTATTCCTCTGGACGTCAAGCATTCTTTATGGCTACCAACTCAACAACAAAATTTACATTTATAGAGCGTCTTTCACGTCGGGAGGACGTCCCAAAACCCACAATGTATCAGTGGCATAGAATCCTCTGGCTTTGCTCTCCTCATCCTGCATCAGTGAGCTAGGTTAGGCAAAGGTTCCATAGACTGTTCAAAACACTATGTGAATGTCTAATTTAGAATATGATTAAATTCATATTTTACATGTATAAATCTGTGGTTTCTTAAGTCTTTAATATTTCTTTATCTACTATCTTAATTTAAATAGCAAGTTATTTTGAAATCCTAAAATGTATCTAAAGTTTTATACTGGGTAATTTGTTGATGAAAAGGCAGCATGAAGTAGTCATTTTTAATCACAGACAGATATTGTGTTTATTTTCCGAAGTACAATGAATGACATTTTATAGATGAGTTATTTAAAAAATTTACCAATTTATCTTTATGTAAACCTTCCGAATCAGAAGGCCGTATCAAAGTGCTTCACACAATATACAACTTAACATACACTACAAAATTACATTTGTATAGCGCCTTTTACATCAGGATGTCCCAAGGCACTGCATTTTATAGTACCCTTCACGTGGGGTAGCATCCCGGAGAGCTTGGTAGCGGCAGAGTCTATCCTGAGCCAGGGGGAGAGGGCAAGGGTAAGCTCGATCAAAAAGATCTTCAGTTGGAAGGGAGGGGACAAGGGGAATGGATTGAGGCAGAGTTCCAGGGTAACAAGTTGTGCGATGACCCATCGATTCCTTGATTGGTTATATATATTCAATAAAAAAATATAAGAGCTTTTTTTAAAGTGTATTGAAAAGTCCTACTCCTATTTCATGAATTTATTTCTTAAGCTGGCTGGTTTCCAGTATTGTTATCCATCGTCTGAATAGTTCCATTGAGATTAGCCTTTCATTTTGGAAAAGACAATCGTCTCATCATTCAGAAGTTTGCCTTCCTTGAAGGAGGCAAGAAAGATCGCCACCTCGATGAACTTTACCATAGAGTAGAAATGATTAATGAAGCATTAATTTCTGCAGCTCCGCTCAATTCAGAAGGTCAAGCAACATCCTGAATTTATCTGCTTTGCTGTCTGCGTAATTTGTGACTTTAAGATACTTTTATTCAATTGAATACCTTTCACCATACGTAGGTTCTCTTCAGTAGTCTGCAAATAAAAACAAGCAAAGTCAATCATACCGAATCAAGTAGCTCTGGACAAGTTGCTTGAAATGAAATAATTAAAATAAGCATAAGTACTCTGCAAGGCAGGCAACTCCCCCCAGTCAGAGGTATCACCGAATCAGATAAGCAGAGCAACATGCAGACCTAGAATCTGCAGTCTATAACCTGAAGAATTTCTGGTATTGTTTAAAAAAAACACTATTTAGGTAGAAAAGTACTTTGAATATAAAACATTCACATTTCATTTGCTTTTGGCAAGTCTTGAGTAACTCTTCCTCCGAAGCCACATTCATATTAGCCCATTTCCTTTGTTCTTTCAAAGTTCCACGACTTCATAGGATTATATTCAATACTTGATTTTTAAAATTACCTTGCTATTTCCCTTCATTAACTAAAACAGAATGGTCCAACCTTTTGGCTGCCGAGGGCTGGATGCCGTATTTGAGAAATGGACGGAGGCCGCCAGTTGGATCACCCTTCTCTATTTCTTCTACTCCAGTTTTCTTCGTTTTTATTTCATATTGAATGTGTTCTACTCAGTTTTATTTTATTCTTGATTAAATTCTACATTGCATCAAAATAAGAGGATATAATTTTTAAATGTTTACCGTTGGCATAAATCCTTTGCCGTATCTGTAGACTTTCTTGCCGGGAATCACACCTTTCCCTTCAAATAGCTGAATTGCATTTTCAGCAATTTTGTGTAGTACTTCATTTTCATGAGCATACACAACACCATCTTCTGCAACAAGGATAATAAACTGGAGCCAAGGTGCTAGGCAAGGCAATCCATTTAGGACACCCAACACCTCTAGCTCTGTGGATTTGTCCAGGTACAGATGTTTCCAAGAGTCAAGCATATGCTTTCTCCCAGCATAAGCAGTATTTTCCAGGTCGCCAATTTCAAGAACCACATCACGTGGCTTTGAATGAAATGTCACTTTGAAAGGCATCTCCATCCCTCTGTATTCTTTTACAAAGTTGCTTGTTTCTTGCAGAATATTTTCACCTAGAGACATTAGAATACATTAGAATTTACAGCACAGAAACAGGCCGTTCGGTCCAACTGTTTATGCTCCACATGAGCCTGCTCCTGCCTTTCCTCAACTAAGCCTTCAAGTATGACGTTCTATTCCTTTCTCCTTCACGTACCTATCTAGCTTTCCCTTAAATATATCTATGCTGTATATGCTATTGTGGAGTCCTGTAGCTCAGTGGTTAGGGCACTCGCTTTGCAAGTGAGAGACCCGAGTTCAATTCCAGGCAGAGGGCGAAACGTTGGACAAGTTTCCTTACTCCACACACAGCCTAATAATAATCCCTCCAAAACAAAACAATAACAAATTGGTAATTTTCAATCTACGACTGTTTGTGGACATTGCTGTGCGCAATTGGCTGCCGCGTTCGCCCACAAATATAGTCAATTCACTTTACAGTGTGTTCTGTGAAGCGCTTTGGGACGTCCTCCCGACGTGAAAAGCGCTATATCAAATGCAAGGATTATTATTATCTATGCTTCTTAATCTTGCAAGACAAGATTAAGAAGCGATAAGAATACATCAACAACAAATTACATTTGTATAGTGCCTTTCACGTTGGGAGAATGTTCCAAGGCACTGGACAGTCAGGGATTTGGACCCTAGCAAGGGAGTTGGGATGAGGGGTGGTGAAGATAGGAGTGTGGCCAAAGACGCGGCCAAAGAGCAGGGTCTTGAGACTGTGGGATGGAGATGTAACAGGTAGGAACAAAGACTGAAGACCTGACCACCAATTGTGGGGCAGGCCAGGTGGGGGAACTTGGAACAGGCCGGAAGGCCTGCTGAGAGGACAGGTTGATATGGCGTTAGCAGGTTAGAGATAGGAAGGAGCAAGGCCGTGGAGGACTTTGAAGGCAAGGATGATGATTTTGAACCCTGTCCTCTGACTGAATGGGGAACCAGTGGAGCAGAGCGAGGGTGGGGGTTCTAGGGTCACGGAGCCTAGTGCAGAACACGACACTAGTTGCAGAATTCTGGATGATCTAGAGCTTGTGGGGGGGAACAATTAGGAAGGCCAATAAGCAGGGAATTGGCATAGTTGAGCCTAGATGTAGCCCAGCCGCCCACGCAGAGCCTTGGGACCTCCTCCCGACATGAAAGGCGCTCTATAAATGGAATCTTGTTGTTGTAGATGTAATAAATGCGTGGATGAAGGTTACGGCAGCCTAAGGGGAGAGCCAGTGGCGGAGCTGGGCAATGTTGCAGAGGTGGGCGAAGGCAGAGCAGGTCATGGCATAGATTTGAGGTAGAAAGGACAACTGAGGGTCAAACAAGACGCCAAGGTTCCAGACCGGCTCAGTAAGGTTGAATGTGATCCTACCAGTGCCTGAGGTGGGAAAATGCACATTGTATTCTTGTAGTAAATGTTTGATTCATTCAATCAGTTTGCATGTGTACATTTTAGCACTGCAGCTAATATTTTAATGGGAAACTGTAATCACATTTTAAAGGTAATACACTTTAATTTCAAAAAGCATCATCTTGTACAGTATGTAAAAATATGTCAATATGGGTTAGTGTTGTGGTTGGATTCCGTGAGATTAGACTTAAAGCAGTGTGATAAAAATGTTTATTTGCAGAAAAGTTTACCTGATCGCATTCGAATGAAGTCATCCATACAAGGACCTTTCATCCTGCTTCTAAAACATAAAAAAAAGATTTACAAACCTCCAAAGCATTCATGCATTACTTTATACAGTAAACCTCGCAAGTTGTATCAGGTGGGACCATACATTTAATATGACTTAGATAATGTATGAGTTATGTCAAACCTGCATAGAATATAAACTCTTGAACAGGACTTGGGCAGATGTACGACCATTCACTGCCTTGCTCCCTTCTCTGACCTACTATCCCCCTACCTACCTGCCCGTACCCTCCGTTCCTCTGGCTCCGGTCTGCTCCACATCCCCCGCCCCAACCGCCCTACCATCGGTGGCCGGGCCTTCAGCCTCTCAGCCCCGAGGCTCTGGAACTCCATCACCCAGTGGCTTCGCCGCCTCCTCCCTTTCCTCCTTCAAGGCCGGTCTCAAGACCTTTCTCTTTGACTGTGCCTTCAGCTCCCTTCTCGACTCTCTACCCCCTCCTCCCTTCCCTCCCCTCACCCTGACCATTTCCCCCCTGCTCGGGTCCTGACCCAACTGGACAGCGCTTTGGGACGTCCTCCCGACGTGAAAGGCGCTCTATAATTGGAATCTTGTTGTTGTTGTAGGTGATTGTACGATTTATACAGATCAGACTTATGCAAGTTTCGCTGTATATTAATATTGCAGCTGATACACACATCAAGCAGGAAGAGCTTAAACAAATACCCATCAACCTTTGAAGTACCGATATCAGTGAAGAGCAATTGGTTTCAACATGTAGTGGAAGGGTTTACTCACATGATCTGTACTGTAGTCACAGCCATCAAGATCAATTTGGATTTCTGAAATGGGGGGAAATATCATATGAGGTCAGGTAAAGAAGCACAATTTCATAAAACAGCACATTGCATCCAACAAGCAATATAGTTTAGAAATACTGTACCTGTGCCCACCTAACATCTAAAACTCAAGCAATGGGGTTAATAAAATAATAATCCTTGCATTTGGCATAGTGGTTTTCACGGTAGGAGGGCATCTCAAAGTGCTTCACAGGGATTTACTGCAAAGTAAAGGCAGATTGCTTTTGGGGGATAAAAATCCTTCAAAAAAATAATTTGGTCACTCAATCCACGACTGCTTGTGGGACACTGCTGTGCACAATTGGCTGCAACGTTTCAACCACAAAATATACAGTCAATTCACTTTACAGTATATTCTGGGAAGCGCTTTGACCATTGGTGGTCGGGCTTTCAGCCTCTCAGCCCCGAGGCTCTGGAACTCTATCCCCCAGTGCCTTCGCCTTGCTTCCTCCCTTTCCTCCTTCAAGGCCGGTCTCAAAACCTTTCTCTGTGACCGAGCCTTCAGCTCCCCTCTCGACTCTCTTCCCCCTCCTCGCTCCCTCCCCTCCCCTCACCCTGACCATTTACCCCCTCCTCGCTCCCTCCCCTCCCCATGACCATTTCCCCCCTGCTCGGGTCATGACCCAACTCTGCAGCGCCTTGGGACGTCCTCCTGACGTGAAAGGCGCTTTATAAATGGAATCTTGTTGTTGTTGTTGTCTAGAAGACGTGAAAAACACTATATGAAATGCAAGGATTATTATTTATATTTATAAAGTGCAATGGTTGTGTATTTTGTTGTACATTTACGCATAGGAGTGGGTTCAGAACGACAAGGACAATTGTAAAGGTTGGGGCGAAACTGTTCGCTCTTCGTAACAGAAGACTGAAACAAACCTTGCGTTTGACAGGTTAGTTGATTCAAGAACCAAGAGAATCTCGATTGGAGGTCACATATCCAAAACGTATAACGACTCAAAGAGAGACTAAAGAAAAAAAAAAAAAATCGATTTTAAAACACTCGCCCTCTCCAAAAACAACTTGGATCTATATAACGCCCTTCACGGAGGGAAGTGTCCGGGAGCGCTTAAGAGAACCCAACAGCCGTCTCCGAAGCAACCCTAGGAACTGCACCCATTTTGTGATCGGCAGCCGAGGCACCATTTTGTGACGAGGAGCCTCGGGGGTGTCTGTCACTCGATCACTGGGATGTCTTGACGCGTGCGCGTGAGATGCGGTGCGAAAAAAAAAAAACCCCGAAGTGTGTTTTTTTGTGCGCTAAAAAAAAAGTCACGGAAAACTTCCAAACGCAGCCCGCTTGCGGAAAACCACCAAAAGAAACCACGGGCCGGGGGTTTTCCTGCTCGGGCCCAGAGAGAGAAAAAAAATACATCTCACTTCCTGCGTTTCGCAACTCAGCCGCCCGCCCACGCAGAGCCAGGTCGTGCCTGGCTACCGGCTACGAAAGGGCGTAGACAGCCGCCGGCCAAACTGCGTACGTTTCAAAATTAAAATGAAATCAACACCTCGCCTTTTTCTTCCACTCGACTCTTTGCAACGACGACCACGACAACGACGACGACGACGACAACAGCAACAATTATTGGCGCTCGATACGGCGCCTGATAAGACGTTTCTCAAAGCGCTTCGCGGGACGCGCCGCAAAGTGTAGTGACTGTGGGTAGCCTGTGCAGCCCATGTTGCGCCCAGGAGCGTCCAACAACAACAACAACAGCAACAACAGCAGCAGTTTGGGGACGGCGTCCCAGAGCGTTTGATGAGCGCCCCTCCCACCCGCCCCCCACCCCACCCACAGACAGTCGTGGATCGAGGGATCAAATTTTATTATCAAGATTTTGTTTTAAAAGACCTGTAGTTCTCACCCCGAACCCCCCCCCACTGTTCCCTCTCCCACAACCATTACCCCCCCTCCTCCCCCCCCTCCACGGACAAGTAACCATTTTAAGCAATAAACCGAGGCGGCGGCGGCGGCGGAAGCGGCGGAGAGGCTTTTCCGGGGCCTAATTTCCAGCTGCGACATGTTTTCTGTGGGCGGTTTGACGAGGCCTTGTGAGCGTTTGCGCAACACACACACACACACAGCGGATGACCCATCAACTAACCCCCCCCTCCCCACACACACATACACACGACATACCCCTCCCACACACACACGACATACCCCTCCCCACACACACACACCGACATACCCCTCCCACACACACACGACACACGACATACCCCTCCCACACACACACACACACGACATACCCCTCCCACACACACACGACACACGACATACCCCTCCACACACACACACACGACATACCCCGCCCCACACACACACGACATACCCCTCCCACACACACACACACACGACATACCCCTCCCACACACACACACACACACACGACATACCCCTCACACACACACACGACATACCCCTCCCCACACACACACACGACACACGACATACCCCTCCTCCACACACATACGACATACCCCTCCCACACACACACACACGACATACCCCTCCCACACACACACACACGACATACCCCTCCTCCACACACATACGACATACCCCTCCCACACACACACACGACACACCCCTCCCACACACACACGACATACCCCTCCCACACACACACACGACATACCCCTCCCACACACACACGACATACCCCTCCCACACACACACGACATACCCCTCCCACACACACACACACACACGACATACCCCTCCCACACACACACGACACACGACATACCCCTCCACACACACACACGACATACCCCGCCCCCACATACACGACGTACCCCTCCTCCACACACACGACGTACCCCTCCCCCACACGACGTACCCCTTTACCTCACACACACACACACAGACAAAAACAAGAGCCAGACGGCTCTCTTCTTTCTCAGCGAATCTCGGGCCGGCGCGGCTGTGCGTTCGTTACCTCTGTCTGTCTGTCTGTCTTCCGCTCTCTGTCTCTCTCGACTGCGCAGAGAAACTCAAGCGATCGCAATCGGTTTCGGGGCTCCGCGAGTCACTGGGGGCGGTGGCGGTTGGTGGGTGGGGGGAGGGGAGCGGGGGAGGGAGGGGGAGGGGAGCGGGGGGCGGGGCGGGAGGCGGGGCGCGAGCCTCGCAGCGCGCGCACAGCGTGGCTTCAGCCCGACACGCCCACCGACACGCCCACTCGTCCGTCAGTCCGGGCGGGGGTGACGGACCTGCGAGACACTAATGCCTGAGCCCTCCCCCGCGGGGCGGGGCCGGGCCCGGGCCCGGGCCCGGGGGAGGGTGACGCGGGCCTTCGGGAAGGAACGACCGCCAACGGACGGTCGGCGAAGCGAACAGCGGCCCCGGGGGTAGGAGCGGCCGCTGTCTGTCAACTCGGCCTCCGCGGGCGGAGAGGCTCTGAACGCGCGGGACCGCCAGCGAGGAATAAGGCTTCGCGCCACTCGTAGGCCCCGCTGTTAAGATTGTGTCGCTCTCTCTCTCTCTATAATAATAATAATAATAATAATAATAATCCTTGCATTTGATATAGCGCTTTTCACGTCGGGAGGACGTCCCAAAGCGCTTCACAGAACACACTGTAAAGTGAATTGACTGTATATTTGTGGGCGAACGCGGCAGCCAATTGCGCACAGCAATGTCCCACAAACAGTCGTAGATTGAAAATGACCAATTTAATTATTGTTTTTGGTTTTTTGGAGGGATTATTATTAGGCTCTGTGTGGAGTAAGGAAACTTGCCCGAGGTTTCGCCCTGCCTGGAAATGTGTTTCGCCCTGCCTGGAAATCTATGTGTTTGCGACTGTGTGTCTGTGTGTGAGTGTCTCTGTGCGTGTCTCAAGGATGTCTTTCCGACATGAAGGGCGCTAAAACAGGTGCCATCTGTTGTTGTTATCTCAGAATAATAACACTACTAATAATAATACTAATCCTCACGTTTGATATAGCGCTTTTCGCGTCGGGGGGACGTCCCAAAGCGCTTCCCGGAACGCGCTGCGAAGTGAATCGACCGTGGAGTTGCGGGCGGACGCGGCAGCGGATGGCGCACAGCAGCGTTCCCTCCCGCCCCCCCCAAAACCCGTCGCGGATGGAAAATGACCAATTTTTATTATTGTTTTTTTTTTGGGGGGTTTGGAGGGATTATTATGAGGCTGTGTGTGTGTGTGTGTGTGTGGGAGTAAGGAAACTTGGCCAAGGTTTGGCCCTGTTGTTGTTGTTGTTGTTGTTGACCTGCTTTAATTTAATTTAATTTGATTTAATTGAACTCGGGTCTCTCGCAAAGCGAGTGCTCTGACCACTGAGCTACAAGACTCTGTGTGTGTGTGTGTGTGTGTGTGTGTCTCTCTCCCTGGGTAAAAAAAACACCAGCAGAGACTCCATACGCTCAATCGGCCCCATTTACTGTCATCGTTTTTTATGACCTTAAAACAATTCAACACGGAATGAAAAGCACACAGGAAAAACTGCAGAGCACATCGACTTCACGGATTGATTCCGTCTGTTTCGCGGAAAACTGTCAAAACACGCGCGCAGCACGTGCACAAAAGCCACTTGCGTTCATATTGTGCTTCTTTCACGTAAAAGATTGTCACAAAGAGCTCAAATCATATACGCTACGTGTCATGTATTTGTAGTTTATGTACAGTCTGTTATTTTAAAGCTGCGTTTGCTGGCAAGAGAGCAGTGTTCATTTTGATGAGGAGTATAAGGATTGTGATTGGGGGATCAGGATTATGGAAAGTTTGCTGACAGATTTCAGAAAATATCTATTTTCGCAGTCTAACAGGAGGAGCAATTGAGGTGAGGACATTTAATTCACTTAAGCAGTTTTACAGTACGGTGGCACAAAAAGAGGCTTCTTCATCTGTCTTGTAAATTATTTTTTGATTTTAGAGCCTGCACCTTTGATTGAAGGTGAACACTTTACAGATTGGGATTTTTGCTTTTTGTGAATTGGGGACTGGGATTGATGGCAGATTCTAATTGGAGATTGGAGTAAACCATAAAAGCCAATTTGGGTCTGGGGCTGACCATTGATATGATTTAAAGACTGTGAGCGATCATGAATGTAAGGCGACTTAGTGGGACAACTAAACATGTGACTAGAGCAGGCCTTAAGTGGAGATTGGTGCCATGATAAAGGTGAAGTCTGGAGTCTGTAGTAATTGAAACTGGGATTATGTTGTGTTAAAACTGGAGTAGGCAACAGAAAAGGAACTGATGGATGGAGGTGTAAAGTACCAGGAATGGTTGACGAGGGCTTCAACAAATTACTGTTCGGTTGTGGAGACAAACTAATGCATGAATTGAAATTGCCAATTGGAACAGGCAATGGTTTGACGTTGGGAGCTGAAGGAGAATATAACCTGGAGTCAGGTACTAGAATAGGCAATGGATTTGAAAGTAGTGGTTGCCAAAAAGGATTTACTATTTGGCTTAATTGTCTTGCTTTGGCCACAGTGGAACTAAACAAGTCCACCAAACTAAGGGCATTTGATTTCTCCCTAGAAGCCTGAAATTCAGTTGGGTCATAGAATAAAAGTTCACGGTCCAGATTAATATGAAATGACTTCAGATTAAATTTAAGTCTTTGTTTTATTACATTAATGAAGAGAGAGATTTCAGGGATCTGAATTCCTTTTTGAGAATTTGAGGTTAATCCACTTTGTGGATGAATGGTTATTCCATTTAAGATGTCACTGTGGGCATTGAGAAGACTGCTCAAAGAGTCACATTCAGCACAATTGCCATAGTTCCATATTATGTTATATGTTTGTCGTCGTTGTTCATAATTCATATCTGGAAACATAAAAAGGCATTTTTGACAGGGTGCTTTTTTAGTGAAATAGTATTTCCAAAAAGATTTTTTACTGTTTACGGAAGTATGTGAGTGACAATTTACAGCTTCCCATCTAAAATGAGAAAGTATGTCATTTCTTGTCGCATCTTTCACATGATCTCTGTTGTGCACCTTCTCATAAACTGTTGTATGTAGATTAGGAGGAAGCATGATAGCCTGCCTTTCACATGTTGAAGCTGTGTACACTGCCAAAGTAACAGCCTTGTTCCATCTCTGACAGCATAATATGTCTATCATAATATCTTTCTGAAGTTTCCCTTTGCACGAAATTGAACCACCCCAAAAATATCCAGTTTTATTATCTGTGATTGTATCGTGGAAATAGCAACAGCTGATGACGTGTGAAATAAATGAGAAATCATCTTCAGACATCCTACTTTCCCAGTGAGTCCGTGGGGCCAACATTTTCTCATTTAGCATCCATAGGAAATTCAGAATTTTGTTTGCATCTCCGCTTCCTTGGCATTTCACAACCTGAAATATAAACAATTATAAATTTAAGTTGTACAGAATGAAGTTGATAACCTTAATAGATTTCATGTTGTTAAAACGTAACTTAAAACTTTCTATAACTCCTCAAGAAACAGAAATAATAATAATAATAATAATAATCCTTGCATTTGATATAGCGCTTTTCACGTCGGGAGGACATCCCAAAGCGCTTCACAGAACACACTGTAAAGTGAATTGACTTTTTGTGGGCGAACGCGGCAGCCAATTGCGCACAACAATGTCCCACAAACAGTCGTAGATTGAAAATGACCAATTTATTATTGTTTTTGGTTTTTGGAGGGATTATTATAAATTATTATAAATCCCTTTATGAAGATGAAGTGAAGAGGCTCCTATATTTATCAATCGGCTTTTTAAAAATTCTTTGTAACTGAACTTAAAGTGGAATGAAATAGCACTGAACTCATTTAAGAAACACCTTTATGCAAAGAAACAATGTTGATTAGGAAGGGTACGTGAGGCCAGCACAATACATAATTGAATAAAATCTTATCAGGAAACAATGAAGGGAGGGGAGCAGGAACAGAAAATAATGTAATTGATGATGATTCAATTTTACAATTAATAATCAGAATGTCATTCCTGATGTGAATGATAAGGGAAAGTACTATCAACAGTCAGAAATCTGCCACAAATACACCCACAAAGAATAGATCTGATTTCCACAGCACCTCTTAGACTAGTCTTGTGTTCCCTAAAAGGAATGCTTTCTCAAGTGAAACATTTTTTTATGAAAGAAATAGAGGTGCAATTCTTCATCTTTTACAGGTGCTTGTCATTTTTCTCAACTTTGCTGTATTTTTATTATATTCGTTAAAGTTTGTTTTGATATACTGTATTTAGGGTCTGAACCTAGTTTTTTTTGTAATATACAATAAATATAACTCTTTTATACATGTAATGGTAACCCTCCATTGTGAAATTCACTTCTTAGCATCAAAGTTCCCACTAATTGTCGTGGAGTCCTGTAGCTCGGTGGTTAGAGCACTTGTCTCGCAAACGAGAGGACCTAGGCAGGCCAAAACGTTGGGCAAATTTCCTTACTCCACGCGCCTCTGTTTACCTAGCAGTAAGTGAACCCGGTTGTTAGTCAATTGACGGTTCGCTTTTCCGGAAGTAATAATCCATTCCATTTTTTAAAAGTAATATTAAATTGGTCACTCTTAATCCATGACTGTTTGCGGGACACTGCTGTGCGCAATTGGCTGCCTCATTTTTCCTGCAAAATATTCAGTCAATTCATTTTACAGTATATTCTGTGAAACTCTTTGGGACATCTCGAAGATGTGATAAGGCGCGATATCAAATGCAAGGATTATTATTATTAACTATTAAAACTTACAATTTCGAGTAGTATTGAGTAAGGTGGACGTGTTGGTAGATATGTTTTGTATCGATCAAATGCATCGGGGTACAAAGAAAACAAATATGTCAGTCGTTTTCCTGTCAAGATTTCTTCTGGTTTGATGGAAGGCTGATTAATATATGACAAAAAGAAAATTGTGTGAAGAATCTATAAAAAGAAAAAAAAAGCAGAATTTAGTTCTTCAGCTTTACTGAAAAATCAAAACAAAAGGAAATATATTTAGCACCATTTTGTATTGAGTTGTTGCCTGCAGTACATCAATAAATAACACTGAGGGATATACAATGTAATGTGCAATATCACATACTTATGATTTACTCACAGTATTTTCTTTAAGTTTAAATTGTACACACAAAAGGAATTTTAACATTATATGATCAAGAATAAGAAATGTCAGCTTTCTGTAGGCCATGATTACAAAAAGTTTTTTAAAAAAAACTATCACCTCTTTTGTGTAGGTGTCTCCTTTGGTTTTGGAGAGTATTTTTTTCTCAACAGCCATCCAAATTAGTTCAACAGACACACAAATGAACTGGGCAGCACTTCTTGTTAGGTTTTCCATTTTTTTAATGTATAGATCCATTACTATTGGAAAAAAAACAATAATTTAAAAGTGAATAAATTACATTTGCATTGGTCTAAAAGGTATATCTGAGCTGAATGAATATATTGATAATTTTGAGAATAAATTTTTGAGACGCTTCAGAAATTACACAATATATTCCTCTCGCAAATGCTCTCACACTTGGATAAGGTTTAAACCATTTTTCAACATTTGGCAAGAATAAGCAAAATCTAAAAGCATATAATAATAATAAAAAAATCCTTGCATTTGACATAGCGCCTTATCGTGTCTTCAAGACGTCTCAAAGCGCTTCGCAGAATATACTGTAAAGTGAATTGTGAAAAAGTTGAAAAAGAAATAGCTGTTTGGCTTTAAATCCTGTTAGCAACTAATGTACACTTGGATAATTTATTGACTGAAGAGAGAGCCAAGTTTGGAGAGCTAATAGAAGAAGTCGAGCAGCACAAACAGGTCAAACTCGTTTGGTGCAACAAAGCTGCCAAAAGTGTGCAACGAGTTGCAGGATTAGAATAGGCATTAGATCAGGAGAATAAAGAAAGACCCAGTCAAATGGAGGAATAGGTCACATGGATCATTCTGTGTCAGTGTCTGGTGAGTTACTTAAAAAGGAAGCACATGGTGCAGGGAAAAGAGAATTAGAACGAAAAATCAATCAAATGCAGCGCAAAAACTCGGACTTAAAAGCCGCGTTTAACCTAAAAACACAACAATTGCGTGAAACTAAAATGGGAGAATCTGAATCGCGTGTGTCATGTTAAAAGTCATCAATAAACTGAAAGAAACTCTTATCAGCCCAAAGGGGAACCATATTTGCCTTAAAAGAGGGTTCTACAAAAGATGATAATGATGCTGATATCAATTGGGGTGATTTAGATGATGACGACATCAATCCCGGAGTCACATTCCTATGGCCCCATTCACACAATGGAGGGACAATGTATGCATATCTACATATATACATATATATCAATTGGTATCAGAAGTACATATATAATATATCAGGATAAAATACATAGTTTTGGAAACAACATGTCAAGCAACTGTCAAGATGTAGAAGATGAACTGGATGGAAGTTGCTTCTTTCACCGGGCAAATTCTTATTCTCTTACAAGTTTTAGTTCCCTGTGATCCCAACCAATTACAAGACATGGCAGCTAAATCTCCCGAAAATGTTATAGTAAAGGAGACGCATTTACAACATGATTCAGAAGTAAATCAGGTCGCTGTGTTAAATGGCCTTAGTGACCTGGAAACAGTTAAACTTTCTCCTTTGTACTTTAACGCCAACAGTCTTTAACGCGCTCGCCACAGATGTTAAGGCAGGAAGACTGTGTATCCAACCTGTGCAAGAAGCTTGGGCGGTTGGAAACGGAGGATGTGATTTGATGTGGAGGAGCTTGCGTTGTCCTTGGCCTCAAAGATGACCTGAAAATGATTATTATTTTTTTTTGAAGGAATTATTATTCCCAAAAAAGCGATCAATCAATCGACAAACGACCGGGTACCTACGTACTGCTGGGTAAACAGAGGTGTGTGGAGTAAGGAAACTTCCCCAACATTTCGCCCTGCTGGGAATCGAACCCAGGTCTCTTGCTTGCGAGGCGAGTGCTCTAACCACTGAGCTACAGAACTCTTCTTCTTTCTCTTATTATTATTATAATACAAATTATTTTGAAAAGCAGGTAGCAGTGACACAACATAATAACTCAAATGGTCTGCTTCCATACTGAAAATATCCTGTTTCCATATTTTATCTGTCACTATTCCATTGCCACATAAATTTATATTTGAACCTTTCATTGGACAATTTGTTTGGATTGACCTTTGCAGTTAAACTCATCAAGTTACATTTGTTATCTTTAAATCTACATTCCAAAGGAAACACGTCACATTTTCTTAATCTTTCATTGTAACCTTTGTCACCCGAAACTAAATCGCTCAAGGGATACGTGACAAGAATAATCCCCAATATAGTGAATGGGGTCTGAACAATATAAAGAAGGAATATAAACTCTTCCAAAACAAATCAGACAAAAAATACTTGAATAATTTACATTTATGTGTAAAAATATGAAGCAGCAAGTAAAATCGACGTCCTTTTCTCAGAAACATAATTTTAATTTCTGTGACAGAAACAAGTAATGAATATATTCCTTTTGTCAAATAACTAGCTATTTAGGTATGAGAGCTGGATTGTATGCTATTAGAGGAAAATGGTCTCTACAAACGGTTTCTCCTCCCGCCCCTCCCATCACCTCCCGACTCTTGTTTTTTAAATGCCCTCCTCATCAATCTCCTTAGCTCCACCATCCACAAAATCCAGCTGATCTAAAACTCCGCCGCCCGCACACTCACCCGTACTAAACTCCGTACTCCCATCACGCCAGTTCTAACCAGGCTCCACTGGCTCCCTATCACCGAAAGGATCGATTTCAAGATCCTCACACTCGTTTTCAAATCCCTTCATGCCCTGTCGCCTCCCCAGCTCCCCGACCTGCTTGCTCCCCAGCCCACTACCTGTTGCCTGCGCTCAACTGGTTCAAGCCTCCTGCATGTCCCTCGTGCCTTCTGTTCCTCCTTCCTTCAGCCACTATGCCCCGAAACTCTGGAACACTCTTCCACTATCCCTCTGCCTTGTGTTTTCCGTCCCCATCTTCTGATCGCGCCTGAAGACCTTCCTCTTCGCCCGTGCCTATGGTCACTTCTCCGCCACTGTCAAGCGCTCTGGGATGCTACCCTATGTAAGGGGCCTTATATGAATACAAATTGTTGTTGTTGTTGGTCTTAAGCATTTTGCTATACATAAGAACATATTATTTCCTAAAAGTAAACTATTTAGTAGAACAAGTTACAGAATGTACAGTGTTAAAACATTAGAAGTGCAAGTACTCACATTGGACTTGTACAGGACAACTTTCACAATCAGATTCGGTCGGGAAAACGAAACAACCACAGCATTATGTTACGTGACATCAAACCTGTTGAGCAATAATGAATCGACCTCATTTGAATATGAAAAGAACAGCATAAAGCTGGAAAAGAGAAGATTGAGGGGTGATATGATTGCTGTGTTTAAGATTCTAAAGGGGTGAGACAATGTAGATCAGGACAGGCTGTTTCAACTGGTCCAGAATAGTAAAGCCAGGGGACACGGCCTGCAATTGAAGGGGCTTATCTACAGAACAAATCTACAGAAGTACTATTTCAGTGAGCGAATAGTAAACCTGTGGAATAGGCTCCCTAGGGAGAAGGTTGAAGCAGGAAATGTTGATTCCTTCAAACACAGATTAGGTAGTTTTTTTTTAGGAAATAACATTATGGAGTGTATAGTGTATAGATAGTTCAGGATATAGGGGCATGCGACTGCCAGGAAGGTGGAAGATGAACTAGATGGACCTTGGTCTTTTTTTCGTATAGCATTTCTTATGTTTTATAAAAAAAACTCAAAAAGAGAAATGAATGACTCGACTTGGGTGAGGAGGGGCATAAGAGAGGGAATTTCAGAGATCATTGGCTGCTGCGTTTTTCCCAATATACTCAGTCAATCCACTTTATAGTATATCCTGTAAAGCGCTTTGAGATGTCTCAACGACGTGATAAGGCGCTATATCAAATGCAAGGATTATCATTATTATTATTAGGGACAGAGATTAACTGAGTGACAGGAGAACTCCCTTCTCTTTTTGAATAGTGTTATGGGCTCTTTAATGTCCACCTGAACAGGCAGTACAATGCCATTGCTTTTCATTTGTGTTTTATAAAAAAAAAGTCAACAGGCGTAGTTTCTCCAGGAGACTACACAGGATTCCACAGGCGAAGAGAAGGGCAGAACTTGCTTACATGTCACGAGTTCAGAGTTGATATGAATTTTGAATATGTAATCTATTATTAAAGATACCAGACACTCTAACAGCCACTCCCTGGTTATTTGTTGGATATTGTTGTGCATAAAATTGGCTATGAACTGCTGCACAGGCAAACTCCAATGGTTTGGTGTGCTTAGTACTCAGGTAGAAAACAACCTTAGAGAAGGAAGCAACATATCACTGGGTTTATTTTGTAATCAGTTTTGAATCATGCCACCCTTAAAAATTCATATTTTTATACAGTGGTAATCAAGCGAGGTTAGTTTCTCCATTTTTCTTCTAGTCAGGTCTTCTTCTATAAAGCTCAATTATCTCGGTGATTGAATTTCGCATACTCACTTCCCAATTGGTGTGCACGCTGCTACCTTCTGAATGTTTTATTTAAAAGTTCATTTGGTTTCCAAAATACTGTCCCTTCTGGCAATCAGAGACACACTACTGGCATTTCTGCAATGTTAACATCTCTGCATTCCAGAAAACATTGCTTATCATTAGGGCTTCTGATTTTTGTTTTCAGATGATCAAAGAAAAGTCAAACAACTCCCAGTATAAAACAAATGAAATTAGTGTTTATTCAATAAACAGCAAAAAAAAAACAGCACAAATGGTTACTGAGGTGTGTTTTTTCTCTCTCTCGCTTTCAGGGGTTTCCTGGTATGACAACTCTGCCTGTGTCATTCTCTGCCTTTCTACCATATGCACAAGCAATTCTGGTGAAGCATTTGTGAGAAGAGGGAGGGAGTTTTTGCTGGTTAGCCTCCAGGAGTACCCCCAACCCACACTCTGGGGTCCCCAAGCCTTGACTCTTGCCGTCCTGTGCCTAATACTTGGAATCCTGAGCTTAAGCATGGTGATGGGTTTCCACGTGTTATAGTATTATATAATAAATCAATACTAATAACTCACTTCCTGAACAAGGCTTCATTAAAAAATATTTTATTGTACTGTACTTAAACAAATGTACTCATTCTCATTGATTATATAAACCAGAAGATTGCTACATTTTAAAGTTTCTATAACAGCAGATTTAAATCCATTTTAATGTACAGATAGCAAGTTATTATTCAATTCTGTCTGGATACATAGTTAAGAGTCACTGAACATAGAGTAAAACAATTCAAAGTATTTTCGAAGAAAATCAGTTGCATGTCCCGGTATAATCTCCTTGGTGCCTATTATCAATATTATGCACGGATTACACTTTATTTAATGCAAAATTGCATGCAAATATGTGCAAAGACATGTAGACAGAGAGTACCAATGAGTAAAGGGCTAAATTGCTCCTCTCAAGATTCCTGTCATTTCAACAAACTAAATCCAGTTAGAAAAGTTTGAATTTGCAATCAGACTCCTGTCTTATCAAGGGACATATTTCAATTTAGTGGTAATACCTATTTTACTTAACTTTTTCTGGTTTCAAGTTTGGATATCCATCTATCACAGTCTTTCTACATCAATGTACAAAATCTACAAAGATAGAATTTTAACTCTTCCAATATTGTTATTTCTCCTTCGCCACACTCTAGCAAACTATTGAATCAACAATCAATCAAAGTTACATTTGGCATACAAATCCAACACATCATCCAATAACCAATGATAAATAACGCTTGCATTTGATATAGCGCCTTTCAGGATATACTGTGAAGTGCAGTGACTGTGAATTTGGAGGCAAATGCAGCAGGCAATTTGCATACTGCAACGTTCCACAAACAGCCGTGAGCAACGTTATTGCAAAGAGCTGAGAAAGGTTATTGCAAACAAAGGAATTACGGCATCTTATTTGAAATGATTAAAAAACAGATGCACTTAATAGACAATCCTGGCGAATATTTCCTTGCTTCAGAGTATTTTAATATTACAGAACATGTACCCTGTTAATTAAACTCAGTGGTGCACTATCCTGCTCAATAACAATTGATAAATTTAAACTGCTTACCATGTCATTTGCCAAAACATACAATAGTTCAGGTTGGACAGCCTCATTTCTGTTTATGACTCTGAAACAGAAACTATGCCAAAAGCAAAGGCTTCTTTCACTTTACCCTTCACGGAAATAAATAAACAGAAAATATACATTTACATTCCATTCAAATTATAGACAGCAGGTTTTCATGTTCCAGAACCATTCCCCATCATCACATAGAAAAACAAAGGGAATAGTTGTTTTAAGTTGTTTTAAGACATTTGCATCCTTTGAACCCAGAACATGCAAAAACTATACAAAGGTAGTGTTGAATCTGAAAAAACTGCCCTTCCCATTTATGGATCAAAATACACAGGCCACATGCAAATAGTTGAATACTAGTTTTGATAGGAAGATAATGGACTGACATTTATTCTCTTTATCCATGAGTATATATAGGGTCTGCGGGTTTCAACCTCTTTCACCTTTCACCTGCCATTTACAGGTAGATCAACGAATGGTCTACTCTAAACACGCTTCTAAATACTTTATAAAATAATATTACAGTTGTGATATTTTAAATGTTGTTGTCCTCTTCAGAGTAATTGCCTTTCTGAAATATAATGCATTGTGGTATAATTTAAGTGTACAAAGGTAAAATATATTGTGACACCCAACCTATTCTGAAGAATGCTGCTGTACAAAGTACATTTCAGGCCATCTGGTTAATGATTCATATTAATATGACAGTTCAGTACATCAGTGTATGGATAAGTAAGTAACTGCTGTTAAGCTGGTCATGATCAACCTATGTTACCAAACTAAACAGATTGGGAAATTTGGCTTTTAAAAAACAAAATATACACTTAAATTGAGAAGTTCAAGAAACATTTCCCACTCCCCCACCCCCATCCCGAGACTTGAATAAAAGACAATGAAATTCACAGTTGTGCTCTCTCTATATATATATATCTATACACACACACAGTAAACGATTTGCCAGTTATGTCTCTGTCTGTCTACTGGTTCTGAAACTGAAGGGGATAAACATGAATGTTAAGTTGAATTACTTTATATGACCTGTGTACATCAGTATGGGGTTACTAATATTGACTTTGTGGGAGGGGGGGGTTCACAACATTGAGTTAGATATTTGCCATTATGAGATATAGCGCATAGGTAGTTTGGGACGTATGTGCATGAGACGACCAGGAAGGTGGAAGGTGAACTAGATGGACCTTGGTCTATTTTCGTCTAGCATTTCTTATGTTCTTATATTTCTTTGCTCATTATTCCCATGTGAAATTGCTACAGTCTCTCTGCTAGCAAAATGTGTAATGCTGCTTTTAGCAACAGGCAATAGATTTGATGACAAAAGCCAGTGACACATTAATCTACTTCCAGTAAATCTCATGGGAGCTGACTCTGACTCTTAACTCAACGAGTGTTACACAATATTCTCCATGAACTAGACATCTGTGAATTGAAAATAAGAAGTTGGCAATAGCTATGCAAATACTAATTGTAATATTTCCATGAAACTTGGCAGGCAATATTGCGAACCACCCTTCTCACAAAGCCAATTTTGCAGAGAAGATTAAAAACCCTGAATGTTTGATAAACCACACTGGAACAATGGCAGGATTCATTCCCAACATTGCACAGTCAAAGGTCTGCAAATAACAACGCAACCAGCTTTGTATTCGTATTCCAGTTTCTGTTAAATGACTTGATTTATTTGCCAACGTGAACCTGAAAGAGCTCATAGCATTCTGCGTTATCTCATTCAATAAGCAGTGACAGCGACTTAGCAGATGTTTGTTCGGCAGATGTGCACTTGTTGCTCTTTCCCATCTTGTTCTTCAGCTGAAAACCTGGTGAATGAAACAGGTGACCAGATCAAATCAGATTAAAAATAATGCTCTGGTAACTCAACAGGTCTGACAAACTTAGTACCGATTTGTGCTTAATTATGGCAAATTCTATGTTGTGAACTTGTAAACCACCAGTTCACACCAGAGATGGAAAAATTATTTTCTTAGCCCCGCAAACCAAATGGATCTCTTGAAAGCTATGCCTGAATGGTCTAATAGTGCAACACATGCTCAATTGTCTCCCAGCAATGGATAAAATAAGGCTCAATAGATGTAGCAATGAGCAACCGTTGTGCATGTGTACACATACATATCAAATGCAAACACATAACACCTGACAAATTAACATTACAAAAGCTATAACCTCTAAAATATATGAAGAAAACTAATCGTTACCTCATCTTCTTCTTGATGATCCTGCCTCTGTTTTGCAGATTTTGATTTCTTACTGTTCATGCCTTTGAGTTTATTAATAAGAAACTTTTTGTCTTCTCCCTCCTGTGTGACAAGGGAATATTCACATTATACAGCAAGAGCAGTGGAAATGGAGCTGCACATTGTAAGTTCAATTAAGCCTCTGCTTCCAGATTCTGTCATCCACAATTGAATTTTAACTGAAAGAAAGCTTAAACCTTAATAAACCACAATAATACTAATGCTCTATTGTGATTCTATTGCAAGTCAAGTGCCAATATACAGTGAAAACAGTTCTTGCGGGTAATAAAATAATAAAATAAGTTTTATATGTTTCTGATTGTGAAAGGTTCAGCCACTCACGTTAGCTATTTGCTCATACAATAGTTTGATAATCTTTCTTTGACCGTCCACAACTTGCCAGTGGAAATAAATCACTATCCTAGAAGAGAAAATGGAAAACATTATAATTGCCTGATGAACTTTGAGCAATTTGGGAGAAATTAAAGAAAACATATAAGATGTTGCCACAATAAGAATCATAATAAACTCACATTAAAATTGCTGACCCAACCAGGAAGATGAAAGGATTATCCACCAATGATCTGTGAATGTATGAAAACCAGTATAACCTAGAATCTGTTTTCGCCAATTGATTGACCCAGTTCTTTGCAGACTCATAGATGGTATTCAGTGATCGGAAAGGACCACACGCGTTGGATGGTTTTATCCTGAGAAAGAAAGAATTTATCCTAAGAATGAAAGAATATCAAAAACCAAACAACCTTTGCTATTGTGAAATTCATAGTTGTTTCATGCAAGCAAAGCGAGTCTTTAGGCAACCAGGAGGACTTTAAGTAGAGTTTATTAATGTGTTTCTGTAACGTGCACAACAGCGCTCATCAAAATATGTTGTGCGTCATATGAACACTGTATGTGTTGAAAACTAGAGTACATAAAAGAAATCTGATAAGCCTTCTGCATAAATTGTACCATTGCCTCTCCTCCTCCTCCCACCAAAAAAATGATTTAATTCTATTCATTTTGCGGGTGCGGATATGAATGATGCAAAACCACACCCGTACCTGCAAGTGGAGAGAGTGAGCACAACAACCTCACAATTAGCCTCTGCACTGCAACCTGAACCTAGAAGAACACCAGATCAATAGGACTTAGCCTCAGACGCTTCCTTCCCTTTAACCATTTAGAGTTCAATAACTCACCGAGAAGGAAACAATCTTCAATGGAGGAACTGCAGCTGCTAAAACTTCTGGCAAAGTGCTCTGGGATGCTACCCAGGGTGAGGGGTGCTATTTAAATGCAAGTTGTTGCTGTTGTAGCAACAGCATATGCAATCGCTTATGACCCATATATTCTCTTCAGTGTTGTTCAATATTCACTGTCATGCAATTTGGGCCTCAAATCGAATCATCGCTATACTTACGACCATATGGTATAGGTGTAAGCAACAACTGCTCCGAGGAATGAAGGGAAACACAGCAGAGTGATAAAGACAGTCATCATGTGAGATGCTCCCCAACGTTTGCTTGGAGCCTCGCAGTTCCTCATCAGACTATGCTGAAAAAGAAGCAATTAGTTTGAAATAGAAGCGCACTAAATCATTTGGATAAGAGGCACCATCCATAATCCTTCTCATCCGAATAAAAATAAAACGAATGTTATTTTAAAAATGGTAAAAGTAAATCAGAAACTTACTTTTTTGATGTAAAATACAAAGAGAAACTTAATGATTTGAATAGCAGGCAAGAGTGGAGAATAGAGAAGACCCAACCTGTAAAATGAACAAAGCAAGTTATTCACAAAGGTGCAATATAACTAACAACCAGAATCTGTAATGTTTAAATTTAAAGTGATAACTTTGATAATAATTAACCCAGTGATAGCAAGGTTTAACGCCATTGGGAATACACCTCTTTAGTTACAAATGCAGGGCTTATTTACTATTACAATACTATAATAATAATAATTTGGACACTCAATCCACGACTGTTTGTGGGACACTGCTGTGCACAATTGGCTGCCGCATTTTGCCCACAAAATATACAATCAATTCACTTCAGTCTATTCTGTGAAGCGAACTTTGAGATGTTTCGAAGATGTGATAAGGTGCTACATCAAATGCAAGGATTATTATTATTGACATTAATCCAACACAGAACAAATGATTACCATATGAGAGTCTGTCCGTAGATCAACTCCAGGACATTTCTGGCAATGTCAAACTCTGGCTTCTTTTTGTGTAATTTCATAGAAATTAACCTGGGCGAGGGGAGAAAAGAGGGCAACTGAAGAAAATAGAAATTACATTTTATTTTAGTTTGCCTTTGATCTTAGCAAATGTATTAGTGTCACTGCTTTGCTTTCAAATACTCGACACTAGTCACTGTGAAGTGCAAGGCTGGTCCATGTCTATTCTATATAGCGCCTTAGGATGTCTTCCTGACGTGAAAGGCGCTATACAAATATAGTATTGTATTGTTGTCCACATGGTGTGCTGAAGTGTACAGCAGATGCAATCAAACAAAGACAACAACAACAAATTACACTTGCATAGCCCCCTTCACATCGGAAAGAGTGAAAGGGCACTGGACAGGGAGGGGGTTTTGGACCCGACAACTCAGACTAGTCTTGGCGTCTTCCAGTGTTGTTACTGCCACTAGGTTTCCAATAACAAATGGTTAATAAAACTCATGATCTGCACATTGTGTTGACACTGTGTTTGTGAATATCAACGGATATTAAAGTATTGCACAAGTAAAAAGCTTCGAAGCAAAGCTTACCTCCACACGAATTCTCCAAAAATTGTGTCCAGCACAATAAATATAAAATCCACCACAACCAAGCGGTATAATTCTTGCCCAACAAACGTTTCCCAACACTGACACAAGAAGAAAACAAAAGCAGGAGTTAACATTTGGTTGACACTACAAAATAACCAATCTTTTAATCCTCTATAATGTCCTCGATAATCTCAACCAAGACATTGTAAACAAAGCATTTATGTTAAAAAATTAATAGATATTCTGTTGACACAACAGTTAAGATGGAAGACGTGGCCAAAATGTTACTGAGCGCTGGATGTAGCAGTAAACTGAAGGCATATGTACTATGACCTTTCTTTCTGCATTATCTTCTCTTAATAACTTCAAGTATTGCAAATAAAATTAGCAATGCAAAGTTTTATTTAAAAAAACACGTAATTTCATGGGTCATTGTGCAATGTCAGGCAGTTTGGGGATATCCTCCCTACGTGAAAGGCGCTATACAAATATAATTTTGTATTGTATTGTTTCCAATGGGTTTCATATTCTAAATATAGTTATCTGTAGCACAGGTCATCCAAAGGGAACTTTTTGGAAGATCCGTTGTGATTTTTACCATTGATTAATATCATTGTCAAGGCGAGAAACATTCAAGGAATCTTTAATACTAGTTTTCTTCTGCGCCTATTTTGTGTGGTACTTACTGGTATTTCTGCTTGCTTTCTGGTATTTCCTCCCAACCAGTGATAACACAGCAGTCCTAAACTGGACATCTTCAACACCAGATTCCTTTATAAAGAAACATTAGAAAAGGAAATATGAACTGTACTGTATTAAAATTTGAATGGTACTGTGGATGCATTAAAACCAAGGCCTTTCCACTGGCTGTTTATGTCGCAAACTCATTTGGGGTGAATTTACTGCAGATTAATTGGTCATTCACCTTGCTGGTCCAAATGATTGCCGTGTTTACCGACAAAACAAGTCACAGCAATTTCCTGTGAAGCACTTTGAGATGTTCTCGTGTATTACGCCGGCCTCCTGCTCGTCCCTCGCACCCTGTGCCCCACCATCGGAGGTCGCGCTTTCCGCCACGAAACTCTGGAACACTCCCTCTCAATCTCTCCACCTTACTCCCGCTTCCCCTTTTTCAAGTCCCACCTGAAAATCTTCCTCTTCAACTGTGCTGACGGCCATCTCCCCCACCCCACCCAACTCAGAGTCAGGCTGCGCCACTGTTAAGTGCTCTGAGACGCTACCCTGTATGGAGGACACTCTATAAGTGCAAATTGTTGTTATTGTTGTTGTTAAGGTGTTGCAGAAACGCAAGTTCTTTCTTATGTTTCGATAGGGTTGAATGTACACCTATGGTTAGATGAAATAGACATTTTCTTACCTGGTGATAGCGACATAGACTTGGAGTTGAGGGAGCTCATACTTTTCCACTGAACCAATCAAGTTATAAAAGTAAGGCAGCACAAGATTGATAAAGGACACTACAATGGGAAGTGCCAACAAACTGCTGTCCAACTCTTGCTTTGACTTTCCCTCTCGGATTTTGTCGGTATAGTCCTTGAAATATAAAACACATCACTCAGTTCACACGTGGCATCGTTTAAGAAAGTAATTAAGTGTCTGTCACAAGACACCAACGCTAAAATCTACTTTCGTAGTCACGTGATCTTACATTACAAATGCTGCATTGTCATCGTAGAGGCCAGTGCATTTGACATTCAACCAAGAATAAGTGAATCACAGTAATTTGTGTTACGAATTTGCAAGTTCTCAGCTATTTCACATTAGAAATAATTGATAACTCAGGTCGGGCTGAGAGTCAATGGACTCTTGACTTTACAACCACTTGAGTTTTTCTCTTGAGGCTTATGATGCACTCTTAACTCTGTGAGTGTGTTATTTAATCTGCAGCATATGCTTTGGCAGCTATTGCAGCCTCATGGCATAATGGACAATGCTTAAAACTGTAATTCAAGGCACAATTATCTGAATAAAAGGCACGTTTATCTCCACCATAAAATTCCCTGCGGTTTATTGAATTATAATGTTGCATTTGCAAGAGTGAATGCTTAAATGCTTTTGGCAAAGATCACAAGATGTCCTGAATCAGTTAGTGCAGTTTTAAAGAGTATTTTTCATTACCCGCATTGCAAGTTTCAGAAATGGTGCTTTTGTGCCTTCAACAGTTCACCATTGAACAAAGCTGACAGATGGCTCATTAGAGCAAAAAATGTTGATGGTTATACTGAACCATGCAAATCCATCTGACCAGACTTACAGCACAGCGTTACAGAAAACTAGCAGAGCTACTGAGATATCATTCACAGTGTGAAAATCTAAACCTTATTACGTTGAAACTGTAAACAGTGAAGATATATTGTATGAGAATTTGGGGCTGGATTCTAGGCTGCAACACAATCTTTATAGACTACTCAAGTTTCAGGCTTTTAGTAGCATCTGAACCCTTTTGATTACGGTAGTCTTCAAATATATTCCCATCCATTATTTCTCATCATTTTTATGTTTCTGCATCTGAAAGAGTTGCGACAATGTGGATATGTATATATATATATATATATATGTGTGCTCCCAAGCCTTTGCCGTGCTGTTTTTGAGCTGGCCATAAGGTGGGGGAAGAGAGCCTTGGGTGTAAGAATGGATTTCGATCTCCCCGCTTAACCCAGTAGCACTTCTTGTCATAATAATAATTATTATTATTACTTCTTGTTATCCAATGGAACCGCCTTTTACTACAAGATGGGTCCAGATCAAGACAGCCATCGGCCCGTTAAATCTCCCCTTTCCAAAATACCACTCTTACCATCCAGCCGTTACATTAAACACAGATGATTAGATCGTTTTCTTTCAGGAAGTAACATTATTGGATATAGTATGTAGGTAGTTCGGGACATATGTGCATGCGACCACCGGGAAGGTGGAAAGTGAACTAGGTGGACCGTTTCTTCATCTAGCATTCCTTATGTTCTTACATTATCAAGCTGTTTCTTTAATGGGTCTGTGAGTGGGAAATAAGTGCTAACATAGATGTACTACATACATATGTAGTGTGTGGTTTTCATTTTAGAGTTTGCCAGGCAGCTAGTTCAACATCTGGACTTTCTGGTTTAAACTGCGCAGATGGAAACCCTACTGAGATCTACTCTTAAGTTTTATCTGGCTCTAAGGTCACAATGGAAATAATTAGCTGCATATGTGTATCCAGTGCTGGGAGAAAAAAATAATAATAATAAATTGGTCACTCAATCCACGACTGTTTGTGGGACACTGCTGTGGGCAATTGGCTGCCGCGTTTCACCTACAAAATAAACAGTCAATTCTCTTTACGGTATATTCTATGAAGCGCTTTGAGATGTCTCGGCGACGTGATAAGGCGCTTTATCAAATGCAAGGATTATTATTATTCATTCTATTTGAGAATACTTAGCATTCTGAGATAGTATTTCTACGTGAAAGGCTCTATATAAATGCAAAGTATAGCCACAGTTGCGGTGTTGTGTATATTCATGAGGCTCACCTCCAGTATTTGTTCTGAGAAGTAGTAAACGCCAATAGCACAGCCAATAGCACTGCCAAAGCATATGAGCCACCCAAACATGTGAATGGCTATGTTGCGCAGCTTCTCCCAAGTACTCAAGCGAGAGGTATTGGTCCTTAGATCAGAAAGGATCTCCTGGTAATAGGGGGAAAAAAAAAGAACATTTGTAGCCATTGTTGATAGAACACTTTGAATCACAGATCATGCGGTACATGAACATTTAGGCCACAAAACTCACCTTCAACTGGGTGCTGATGTTCTCATATTGTACCTCAATGGACTTTTTCTGAGTAACCTTAAAATCCCATGAGCAGAATAATTTGACTGCTAGATCCCTGTAGGTACTGCCCACTCGGAAGCTCTCCCCAAAAGCCTTGGATACGCTAAAAGGGAGAGTAAAGTTGCAATTACGTCTCAATGGCCATTACATTATATAATCAAAGACAGAAAAGCTCCTGGTATTTAGAAGCCCCAATATCATACTCACTAAAGTTGATCTCAAATGCCTATTGTACCTTAGTAAATGGATTGCAACAATCTATTTGTTGATTTCGCCCACAAAACGTACAGTCAATTCTCTTTACAGTATATTCTGTGAAGCGCTTTGAGACGTCTCGAAGACATAAGGCGCTGTATCAAATGCAAGGATTACTATTATTGTTGTTATTTCCCATTACCGTTGCAAAAGGAGAAGTTTATTCCATTGCTGGGGATTTCAACTTCACAAAGGAAATATACAGGTCAATAAAGTACTTTTTTTACCTGTACACCAAGATGATGCAAGTGATGAAAAAGGCAGCTCCCAGAGTATACACATATGCAATAGGCATATTGTACGGGATACTGAAACAGCTACTTGTAGTGCAATTTGAATTCAAGGAGCTATTTGTGTAGTACCCATAGTATAGAATGGTTTCTGTGAATTTACCCTAAATAAGAAGAAAAGATTTCAATGTAACACATTTCAAAAGTTCCTGACTGCATTATTTTAACTTGAATTTATTTTACTGTGAGTTTTGCATTAACAGTTAAGAGCACGTAAACTTTCTATTCACAATTCATATCCATTGTCTCATGAGATCGGTTGACCACCTCAATGGCCTTTGTGGAGTCCTATAGCTTAGTGGTTAGAGCACTCGCCTCGCAAGCGAGAGGACCTGGGTTCGATTCCCGGGCAGGACGAAACATTGGGCAAGTTTCCTTACTCCACACGCCTCTGTTCAACTAGCAGTAAGTAGTAATCCGGTTATTGGTGGATTGGCGGATCACTTTTCCGGAGGTAATAATTCCTTCGAAGTAAATAAAAATAATTTGAGACGTCTCGAAGACGTGACAAGGTGCTCTGTCAAATGCAAGGATTATTATTATTATCATTACGTCTTTTCACTCACCGCCCCAGTCAGCAGCTCGAGTCCGGTGAACTTGCTTTGGGTCACCGCGGGAGGCTGTGTAGCTTGGGGGATAACGATGAAGAGGAGGTTCAAAGCAAAGAGGAAAATGTTGAACATGAGCAGGATCTTGAGGAAAATGAAGTACGAGAGCACGCCCATGCCAAAACGACCGCTGATCTGTTTCTGGGTCATCTGCCACAACTGAAGGGAATGCAGGAAGGAGAGGAACCCATACCACCGCCGTTGGGCACCCTAATAATAATAAAAATCATAATAATAATGTTTAGACGACGGTTGGAAGGGTAAACCGTCTTTTTAAATCAAGATTTACAACAATTTACTTGCAATTTCACTGTAAGCTGTCAATCCACAAGTGTTTGTGGGACACTGCTGTGCAAAATTGGCTGCCGCGTTTCACCCACAAAAACAGTCAATTCACTTTACAGTATATTCTGTGAAGCGCTTTAACAATAGTATTGTTAATATTATTAAACGAACATATACAACCCGCATTGATTATAATATGCAAACACACTGACCCTGTGGTTGGAAAAGCCTTTAATTTACAAGTAAAATGATATAGGAAACTTGCTCCACAGCTGTAAATTCAAACATGTCCAGATTCGAATATGCAGCAGCCGTATGGCCAATTACTTGACTTGTTGGCCAAGACACTGTGAGAAACTTCCTTCTCATTTCCTGCTACGGGATCTTTAATATCCTCCTGAACAGGCAGACTGGTTTTTAGCAACTTATCCCAAAGATGGCACCTAGAACATGCAGCACTGCAATGGAGCGTCAGCTCAAATCTTAACATGGGGCTTGAACCCACAAATCTTCCGATGCATAGGTAAGGTTGCTACCCGCTGAGCCAAACTGACATCCAGAACTTGTTTGTAATTAAAATGCATATGAAGGTAACGACATGGCAGCGCTGATGGTGTTCCTATCAACGTGCATTCGGCTACTTACAAACATGAGGCTATATTTAATGTGACTGCAACAATGCAGACGTCTCCTTTCTTGTGGTTCTTTAAAACAACCTTTGGAGGTAACTTGGTTTCTGCAAGAATATGAACAGAATTAGGTAAAATAATGTAGACTCCCCCACACACAAACACACACAGAGAGAGAAAGTGCCCAGTGGGATGGAGGAACTTGCATTGGTGATGTAGAAGGGATGGCAGGGATAGGACAGTAGAAATGGGGGTGGGGCGAGGCTACAGGAACACTTCAAGCGAAGAATGAGAATCTTAACAGTCGATCCGTTGGGGAATAGGGAGAGAATGAGAATGACGGCCTCATACAACGTTATGTAAGAGAGAATTTGGGCTATAGAATTCTGGATGGTGTGGAGTGAGTAGATTCCTTTAGCTATGACTGACCAAGAAATTCTACAATTCAACTCAATCTAATTAGGAGTGTTCGAAGTGCTCATTAATTTGAAGTGTTGATTCTATCAAAGACAGATTAGATAGTTTTCTTTTAGGAAATAACATTATGGGGTATCGCACATAGGTAGTTTGGGAAATATGCGCATGTGACCGCCAGGAAGGTAGAAGGCGAATTGGATGGGCGTCGGTCTTTTTTTGTCAAGCATTTCTTATGTTCTTAATGAGAATATTTCTCTTGGAAGCGCAGCAAACTTGAAAATCACTTGACACAGTACCATTCACTGTAACCAACCTGAGGTCCAGTTTCATTGACAGACATAGTGGCATCTCCTGCAGTATTTTGTTGCGTTGACTCTCAGTAATGTTTTCTAACTCACGCACCAGCTGTCTCTTCTTTTCTGAAATGCGGAAATGTCGCAATCATTAACACGTTATTGCTCAAGTGTATTGTTGTAGTTCAATTAGAAATGCTTTTGCTGGTTAGTCTGTATTGGAATGATTTGCAGACACTACAAAACACTAAGTGTCGACTATTCGAGTTGAATAGTAGAATTCAGACATAAATGCGACTTAAGTAAATTACAGGGTAGATGGTACAACTTTAGCTAAAATGTTATGGGATGTTACATATATTTTATATTTAGATAAAATGTCAGTATGTGTGATGGGAAAATGTCAGTACGTGTGCCTTGAAGAGTTAAATTGGTTCAGAAGTAAGAAATGTGTTTACTCCAGTTGCGGCGCTCTTGTCAGTTGTTGATGTAACAGGTCCTGCATTGTTTGAATCCAAATCGGCTCATGGGTAATGTACACAAGGACGGTCCCAGCTTGTCTTAAACCAGCCAGAAAACAACTATCAAGGGGTGAGGACGTGCAAATCCGCACAGACCATGCATCTCGGTGTTAAAAAAGCACAATGACAAAAGAGGTAGAGCTAAGCTATCCTTTGTTCAGTCAGACTTGGTCATCATGTGTGTTTGGTCTGAGCCTTTTTGAAGGAATTATTACACCCGGAAAAGTGATCCAGCAATCGACTAACAAGCTACTGCTTATGAACTTTGATATTGTATTTACAGTAACATTCCAGTATCTGAGCATAACAGCAAATATTTACTGGCGTAACCATACCTACTGTAACCAATTTTATTGAAACTAATGCAAATTTAAATGTCTTTTGGCCTTATTAAGTAAACAAGCTTTAAAATATAAAACCCAAATGACTTTTAATCCTTTGTTAATAGGTTCCTGATATAAAATTCTGGCAAAACGAATAAGCTGGTCTTTTCTGGCCACACATTTCATCTCAGAATTCAACAGTGATTAACGCCACTACTAACCCAAAAGAAGAGAAACGCATTTACATTCCAAAAGTTTGCTCTTTCTGGCATTAAAAAGCATTGAATATTCACAAAGCAAAAGGTTAACAAAAAAAAACTGTCCGAGGTAAGAACATCCAGAAAATGCACCTACTTTATCTGTTTAAAAAAAAAGTAAAGGACTTAAATATTCAGAGCTGTGATTGTTAATTAATTCGCTTCACGTCTGGAATCGTTTTAAAAATTCGTTGGGAACTGAAATTTTGTTGCCCCAAAATCTCACACCATTCGAACAGGTAACAAAACTGATAGCTGGCCATCGAATCCCACAGTTCCTAAAAAGTAAATCCCTTCCTCATGGTATTGGTTCCGGATTCCGAATGCAATAAGATATTTTACAGTTACTTTTCTCGTTTCATTTCAATAAGCATTTGTTCTTTTGATCCAACACTTGCCTGCCTCCTCTTCATGTCTGTCATCCAAAGCAGACTGGTCCCGAATGCTTGGCCTCATAGACCGAGAAATTTCCTTCACAGAAGGCCGAGTCTTACGCTTCCGTAGTTTCAACGTGCGGTTGCAGTATTCAGAGATGATTGCGCCTCTGGAACGACCTGTAAAAGTGATGCCCAATGTTCACCTAATGGTTTGGCTTACTTTAGCTTCCAGCAGTATAATAATAATAATAATCCTTAAATTTGATATAGCATTTGATACGCATGCAATGGATCAACACTGAATGAACTGGGTGACATCTATTCACAGTTGAACTTGTTAAAACTTGGATGGCCCGAGTCAAACAGCTTAAAAATAGCAATTTAATACTCCAGCCTGATTTATCACTATCTGTGATTCTGTCATGATTGGACAGATGTTAAAATCACTTACTCTTTCTATCATAAGGTACGCACTGGGTACCTTCCGCGGGTGTGAGGTTTGTATGTACTGCGATTAGTTAATAACGAGATAACTATACAATAAAATGAGATTGCAGTACAACAAAGCCCTTTAAATAAACGTGTAAGTTAACAAACTCACCAATAGTTCTGCTGGGCATGGAGGAGAGCACCTTCAAGGTTGCAGCATCATAGCACTCATAAAGGTCCTCACCTTCTGTCCCTTTACGATTAGGTGACAGAAAACACACTAACTCCTCTGAACAAAAAAGACAAAAATTGTTCACATTACAAAACACAAGCCTTGCTTTTTCTACCAGAAAATTAAACGTGATTTAATGAAACTTAACGGACAAACCAACAAAGGGTTATTTTCAGTCTTTAAAATATCAGGCATTGTTTTCCTGGCTCAATTTGCAGCACTCTCGCCTCTGGATCGCAAGGTTGTGGGCTCAAGGCCCAAGTTAGGACTTTGATCTCATGGGCAGATTTACACTCCAGTCCTGTGTGGCTGGGGGAGCACCAGAGAAAATGCTTCATTTGTTGGGACGTAACATCTCTTGGGCGAGACATTAAACCAAAGTTTCGTCTGTTTGTTCAGGTGGATATTAACAACCACAACAACAAATTACATTTGTATAGCAACATTTTCACGTTGGGAGAACGTTTCCAAGGTGCTGGACAGTCAGGGATTTGAACCCGAGCTGGGGGTTGGGGGTTGAGGTCGGGGTAGTAGAGGCTATTATACAATTTACATTGTACAAATGACATGGTACAAATTACAGTGTCTCCCTCCTTGGGATGGCCTCCTGACATGAAAGGCATTGTACAGATGTACAAATTACATTTGTACAATGCCTTTCATGTTGGGAGGCTTTCACAAGGCGCTGATTTTAAGGATATTAAGGATCATATGACACTATTTGAAAAGCGATCGGTGTTTTTTCCAGTGTTTTAGCCAACAATCCTCTTGCACATGGATACCTTTGGGGTCAGCTGTGTGCAAATCAGTTCTTTTGCCAATAAATGCATGGTCACTTGATAACCATTATCTGTGAAGTGTTTAAGAGGCATTTTGACGTGATTGACACTATATCAAATGAAAAGGTAATTCATAATGTATCACAGCGCTCATTTTCTAAGATTTAAAAATACGGCCAGCCATAACACTAGTGGCAGTTCAGTCTGGTCTGTTGTTACCTTTACCTTACCAGCAAGTTAATCTTTCCTGCATTGATTTTTTTATTTTGCTGTGAGGCCGAGTGCGATGCATGCAGAGAGGCTGAGAAATTCTGAACCTTCTTACTTGTTCTCGTGTCTCCCAGCTGCTCCATCTCAACCTCAGTCACAAAAGCACCGCTCTGCTGATCCCTGAGATGATGGAATGATTCGTGCATCATAATCTCTTCAGCGTCCGAAGAAGAAAGTTTGGAGGCGCTGGAATTTGAAGAGTATTTTTTTTTTAGAAAAGTTGCACACTGTATGCTCAAGACACAAAAGCTTTTAGTTTCCATTTTTTCTTTGAAACAAATAAAATCTCAAGCACCTGTCGTCACACTATTTAAACCTGCATCACAGAGCTTACAGAATAATTTGAATAATTTATTGTCAAACAAGTAAATTCGTTGCGAAGACTGGGAAAGAAGACCATTTCCCTTGAGCATGTTAATTCCTTTTCCGTGTCGATCAAGAGCTCAGCTGTTCTTCGAAACCAACAACTGACCGTTTTTTATAGATTCATTATTCATTGAACATATAGTTTTATAGAAAGTCCCAAAAGCTGTTCTTTGCGGTGAATTTGGTTCTCAGGTAACTTGTGACAGGTCTCACATTGACCTATTTGTAATTTTTTTAAAAAAACGGTTGAAATTGGATTTGATTACCTGTTCTAAGAGTCGGTTTAGAAACCCGCAATGTCTCATAGAAACAGGAAGTGATTCACTGCAAGGACAAATTGCCTCACCTACACCCTGGAACATCTGGATTGAAGCTCACATGACGTGACATCCTGCGTGAAGATCTTTTCAGCTGTGAACACGGTAGATATTTAGAGCAGTCGCACTGCCTCAGTAGTTCAGTTTCTGTCGTTGTCTCCAATAATCCAGTTCATAGCTGCTTCTTCCTGAATAAAGTTGATGTGAAAAGGGGCTTGAGGTTTTAAACAGCACCAGTCAAACAAATGTTTTTTTATTTCGTAAAGATCTTAAAATTTAACAATCCGCAGAATTGTGGAAGAGTGCATTCATGCCTAAAGATCGCCACAGACAAACTATTGTGGAAATTAATAACCATATGTTTTGTTATAGGGATAAATAGCGGAACTGGAACAAAATGAGACTGCTTCCAACAAACCAAAACGTCCACGTAGAAAAGGGAATAGAAACTGGTAAGAAACTTGAAGCCAGCGAGTTGCAAGCTGTTAGTTCATCAAACTCAAGATTAGACGAGATAATTGTTTCATACTTGCATAACAACATACGGCTTACGAAATGAATACAAAATACAATACAAAATTACATTTATATAGCGTCGGGAGGACGTCACAAGGCGTGGACACTCAGGGATTTGGCACTAATGGGGCTTAATAGGGCTTTGAGCACTGTAAATAAGAGTGTTTGAATGTTACCAATTAAAAACAATTTTCTAAAGTGTGGCATAAAATGGGACCATAGTTTGTTTCTTCATTACACCGGATAAAGAGACCAAACCTGCTTAGTTTGGAAGGGGTTTGCATAAGAGCAGCCCTCTTCCACTATAACAACAATTTACATTTACATAGCAACCCCTCTGGCAGGGTAGCATCCCAGAGCACTTGACAGTGGCGGAGCCCGATGCCGAGCCGGGGAGAGGTGCGGTCGAAGGGGAAGGTCTTCAGGCAGTACTTGAAGATGGGCAAGGAAGGGGCAAGGCGGAGGGATAGAGGAAGAGTGTTCCAGAGTTTCGGGCCATGGTGGCTGAAAGTGCGGCCACCGATGGTGGAAAGGAGGGCATGAGGGACATGCAGGAGGCTGGACGCAGCGGGTAGTGGGTTGAAGAGTAAGCAGGTCGGAGAGGTAGGGAGGTGCCAGGGCATGAAGGGATTTGAAGATGACTTCGAGGATCTTGAAACCGATAAATGTCTCTGCCGCACAATATAAACCTGGCCTGCAACCAATCCTGTGCTGCGAGAAGAAGCAACGGTTAATCAATTCACAAAGGAAAGGAAAATGCAAATACTTAGCGGGGGCTTTACCTGAGCAGCCCGCCACCTAAATAACCAAATAAAAGTCTGGCTGCAAAGTTACCGTTATTTTAATTCTAGTGTCCTCCGCTCCTATTGTTCAGATAGCAGCTCCTCCCGAGCCTTAACCCACTGTGAAAGGTTGTCTGTGACTTCATTGAATGACTTCATTCATTGCACCTTTCCGTTTTGTGCCTCATTCTGCCCATACCTGTTAACTTACAGCCCAGTGCGTAAATCATGCATTCGAGAGCTAACAGAGACACGTAAACCTCTGGATGTTACTTAAGAAACTTACTGAGATTGTGGGAAATGTGCAGATATGATACGCTCACCAATATAACCTTCACAATCTTTGTTTTCGTAACTTCTCATTTCGAGTCACCAAATATGTCACTGGAGTGCATTTTCCTCTGCCCTAATTTGCAGCAGCGACAATAAGATAAAGAACCTCGTGCAACAAACAGAACTGCAGACCACAAATGTTTCAGACTGTGGGCAGGGAAGGAAGATTGAACAGTGAGAGAACACGGCAGGCTGACAGAAAGATACAGCAAGTGTTCCTTGTTATTGTGGTTATTAACCACCGATGGCTGTTGTTTTTCCAAAGCCTCGATGCTCAGCTGTACACCAAACTCTGGCCTCAATAATCACATGTTGTTTAAAAGGCACCACAGCGGCCTTCTGCTTGTCATTAATTATCAGATGGTCTTCAACCACTGCTTGTAAAAACAGTTCCTCAAAATAGCTACGTTGAGAATGGGCAAACTTGTCAAAACTGGTGAGGAAAATTGCTGCATGTTCCCTTCACACCAATCTTGCCCAGAGAGCTACATGGGGAGGTGACGTTGGGTCAGAGAGACTGCTCATTTTTTTAGGTTCACCTGCCAGCCCGTCCCTCAAAGAAACTCCTCTTCTGCCGTGCATGTTGTCATACAATTCCATCAGCCATTTCTACAGTAACCTCCAAGTCAGGCCTTTGAGAATAACTTAACTGTTAACTGATAAGAGCTGTTGAATTACGCCAATGGCATTTGGATGTTCAATGATTTTGCCAATTGACGAGTATGTTTCTTTATGAAAGAAACGTAAAAACATGTGTATTCCTCATTGCCATCTCCAGCTGATGGTCTTCCCCCTGCAGCTGGGAAGATGCCAATTACCATGTCTGGATCACAAATGTTACATGGTTTCTGTCAATGTTTCTGGGGTTTAAAACCCAAATCCAGTCTGACAGACCTTTAAACACTACTGAGTTGTGCATCTCAATGCAACTGAAACCACATTTTCCAGTTCCCAGGACTTTTACAATGAAATCTATATTAAAAGAATGTTATGTTCCATACAGTCTACACACAGTCATGTCCAATGTGGGGAAAGAATGAATCATTTACAAGCAATGTGTATTGTGCAATAATACAAAAAATTAAGACAATTTCATGCCTAATCTACTCTAATCACATAGTTCAGTAATGTGCCTACAGACAAGTTGTCAGCACACGTAAGGTACATTTCTGAAGTGCAGCCTCTGAGCGATAAAGCGGCAGATTTTCTTCTTTAATAAAAAGTACAAATGACGAGCAAGAACAGAACTTGGGATGTGAAGCAGAGAGTGGGTGAATGACCTCTCTACATGCACACACCCAGCAAAAGCATGTGGACAAACACCAAACAGATAAGCAGACAGCTCCTGACATGCCTGCTCCCAAACAGGACGGAGTTGCTGAAACAAATAAGCTATTTATGTTTATTATTCACCGAGGTTCTTCCCCATTAGGGCAGTAAAACTGGTTTCTTCAAGAACGTAGTTTTCTGTAAACATTTCCCGTTTATTTTTCTGGGAGGAAGAAACAAGTAAAAATTGCAAATTTTTGCACCAGAATTCTAACACAATCATATGTGCTGAAGTTCGTGTGTGTGTGTGTGTGTGTGTGCATGTACCAGGAATTTTCACAATAGTATAGTTATGAGTCACACAACATGACAGGGATAGTATCTCACTACCTGCATTTCCAAAGAACACATCATTGCATCGCACAGCAGGAAGCTGCCACAGCAGTCACAAAACATGCAGACATCAGTGCATGGAGCAGTGACCACAGACTATGGGTGGGATTTTGCAGGACATGAGCTGACATTGGCTATGGTGGTGGGGGCGCGTGGGGGAGGGGGGAGGGGAAATGGTGCTGAATATCTTAAGAGCAGACCTTTCGAATTCTACTCTGCAAAGGATTTGGTCTCTAATTGATGTTGACAAGTGTTTCAATTGCAACTCTCCCTAGAAACAAGCAATCGAGGCGAGACATTCCACAAACCGGGTTGGGAATCTTCCCTTCCTCCATACAGCAGTATTTATGTCCGGACACACGAGCTGCCTCCGCCAAACAATGAAACACACTCGCCCCACCGCCCCCCCTCCCCCCAGTGCCCATATTCCACAGAGCTCATTTCTAACATTCTTCAGTTCTGACATTAACACCGACTTTCAGTGGCTCACTGAACTTTTGATATAGTGCTTTTGAGGCATCTCAAATTGCTTCACAGAATATGCTGTAAAATGGATTGATGATATTTTGTGGGTGAAACGTTGATAAAATATTAATGACTTGAAGGCGTCTACGCTGGCGGAACAACTTGGATTTTGAACGTTTTCTCTCAGAACAACAAAACATTTGAGATTACTTTCCAAAATAGGCTTTGCATTTCTGCTAATGGTTCACAAATGTTACTGTAGCACTCAATAAAGTGAAGCTGATTTCAAATGTTTTATTGGCTCCCACGCATCAATTGTTAAAGCATCAGATTTCAGATTCCTCTTAGGAGAATTCCTAAGTTACTTGGGCTATTTGGCATTGCAGAGTTGAAAATCACGGTCATATAAACAATATTTCGCAAGGCGGCAATACTCATCACCTCCAAATATTTACTGTACAGAACTTTCCACAACCAGTAACTTCATGAATCAAAAAATTAGCAAACTTTTTGTTACTTGTGGAAGTTTAGAAAACAAGATTAAACAATAAACAAGGAAATAATATTAGGTCAATCACTGTAGACAACATGTTAGTTTTGAGTCATTGATGACAACTCATATAGGCAGACACGTATGGTATCGATCAGACTGTAAATATTTTTTAAAACAGGCAAAATACTGCAGTTACTGGAAATCTGAAATAAAAACAGAAGTCGTCGGAAACACCCAGAAGGTCAAGCAGCATCTATGGGAGAGGCAAGTGAGTTAATGTTTCAGGTCGATGAACTATCGTTAGAACTGGCGAAAGGTTATTGACCTGAAACTCCCTTCTCTTTTCGAAAATTGTTCATGGGATCTTTGAAGTCCAACTGAACAGGCAAATGGGATTTCAGTTTAACGTTTCAACTACAGAATGGCATCTGTGACAATACAGTGTTCCCCTCACCCACCAGCTCTGCACTCGAGTGTCAGCCTGGGCTATAAATATTGTCAAAACGGGTCTTTTCAGACACACTGCATCTACTTATTGCGCAAAAAAGAACCTAAAAGTAGACCTATAAAAAAAACTGTGAACCTAAAACTGACCATGAACTGTTTGCACTGTTTCATTACTGAGATCACAGCCTCTTTATGAAGCTGAAAACGACGTTCTCCAGATACGGGTTTGTTTGAAAAAATAGGTTTGAGGTTTATCTGTTATCTTTCCATTCTGCGATAACCATTCACACCAAAGAGAACATTCAATGTGGACCTTCACAAAACATTGAAAGAAAGATTCAATGTTCTAAATTGAAGCTTTTTGGAAACCTTTGCATGAAAATCAGCATACAGTGTTACATTCGGTGATACAAGGTTACACTTGTGAAAATAAAGCAAACTCACAAAAAACAAAAATATTTTGTATTAAACTTGCAGATCGAAATGATGGCTTGAAAGTAGGTCAACACCACCATGCAGCTAGCAATGATATTATTACAAGCTTCTAGATTGGCCTAAAAGTGAATAGTCTGCACTTTTCCTTTTTTTTTAATCTCCTGTCTACTTTTAAAAATGCGGTGGACGGGTATTTGAGGAGGACGGGTTTGCAGGGTTATGGGGAAAGGGCTGGGGAATGGGATTGACATTAATTGCTCTCTTCAAAGAGCCGGCACAATCTCGATGGGCCGAATGGCCTCTTTTTGTGCTGTACAATTCTATGATTCTATGCTCAACAAGCCTGAAGGGGGGGGGCGTGGGGGTGGAGGGGCTCAAACTATAGACATCTCCGCAGATAAGACGGCAGTGCTTCTGAAAAGCATTTTGTCCAACTTTTCCATTTGTATCTATGTCTCGAATGAGCCTAAGAAACATTCCACCCTCCCTCATCAAAGGGATGATACAACAATGACAATTTACATTTGCGGAGCGCCTTTCATGTCGAGAGGCCATGTCAAAGTGGTTGAGTCTCAAACAAGCAGTCTGGGAGACTGAGGTGGGGGAGTGGGACAGAAAAGAGTTGGGGGAGGGGGAGGCTTGAACAAAACCAGCTGATACAAGCCAAGACTGAAAGTGTAGCTGGAAAGCTCTACTCAATGGATTCTGTTTCAATGATCCTCTCTGATCGTACTGCCATACAATTAACACTGCATCAAACTAAGAGACAACACGCCAATAAGTTTACTTGTTCTTAGTTGCGGAGTGTGGACTATGTGTATCGTTCCCCACAAGTATACTTACTGCTTCCTCTTCACTCAGTTTGTAAGGACTACAACTGCAGTATCAAAAAAAATAACAGAAACTGTCGCACTTTAAATGACAAGGTATTGTACAGCACTTACAATTTTAAAAATATCTTTTGTCAATTAATTTTTGTTTCCCCCCCAAAAAAAAAGCTGTTGTATCTTCACACAAGCCATAACTTGTGAAAAATATTAAAGAACCAAAAGACTCATTTCCTCAGCGCTCCTTTTGAACATTACTGCTACTGGGTAATGCTGTTCCAACCTGCCTCACTCACCACTAACATAATAGCAGATGCCCGACGGCAAGAGGCAGTGGAATATCTTATTCCTTCAAGCAATAAGGGAGCATTTTCCCAGCCATAAAAAATATTTATACTTGCCCAAATCAGTGATGGCCTAAAGAAAGTCAGTATTAACTTTAAAATAAAGATCACATATTAAGCGATTAATGAAATATATTAGATCATGTGGCTGTAATTTGGGGATGTCCTCCCGACATGAAAGGAGCTGTAAAAAGTGTAATTTATTGCTTTTGTTTCTGCAGGAAAAGCTGCCTTCCCCCTTCATTCTGCACACATTGCTTACATGACTCATGAATGAAGATCATGAGATCCAACAGCGACCCACCTCGTCTTGTACATTTGCCATGTTTAAAATCACACTTTGTGTTAAAAACAAAAATACCAACTTTGGGTTCCTGCAGACTTTCTTCTGTGTGTTAATGGAAATTTCAAGGCTCAAATGGGGAAGCAATGGAGGTGCGGAGGGACCCATTTTCCATATGGTTTAGACTTGCCCCGAACATCCAACCATTACAAAAGGAAAAAAAAATGCTGCGTAAAATGCAGATCACTGAGATCACAATCAAGCCATCTCCCCACACATCCCCAAGGACTTTGCATACTGATTTCCCTGAACCCACCCAAGTTTCTGGCAAGCTTAATTTGCATTTCCATTTATGTCTTCCTAATTCCTGCTTCATGGGAACACTGTTGTTTTTCCACAGGATGCTATAACTTGCACCAATCCATCGCTCAACTCAACCAACATTCTCCATTGTACTTAATGCCGATACGTCAACGTGCATGAAAAGCCGTCTTACTCCTTCACTTTTGCCTATAAAATACACAATCAATTCACTTTTCAGTATATTCTGTGAAGTGCGATGAGACATTTCCAAGACGTGATAAGGCCCTATATCAAATGCAAGGATTATTATTATTATTATCATTATTATTATTATTCACTCTGCATTCATCTGCTTATCTGACTCAAAAGTGAGATCTGGAGCTCAGCTTGGTTTGGATACTCTCAAGCATAGTTATAGGTTTCTGCATGTGTCAAGCCACCAGGCTGACCAAAAAAAGATGAGACCTGATAAAGACACACTCTTCTTGCACATTTGCCACCTGCTACTGCAGAGTTTGTGCAGATTGACGAGAAGTTACATGCAAGGTTCTTTCAAACCTTTCCTTGCAATATCTTTCTTACAACAACAGTAACTTGCATTTATATATTGCCCCTCAAGCAGGGCAGTGTCTCAGAGCGTTTACGCTGCCTTTAACATCTGTGTGCAGTTAAGTTACACACAGCCGCTATTTCCCAAGAATGAAAATAAAGCGTATTTCTTCATCTGTGGAAAACACGTCACAGCAACTAAACAGACATCTCTCCCACCCTCCCACACGTCTTTTCTGAAAGCTCAGACTTTTTGCCTACAATTGTTCCAATATGTTTACCCTACTTACTATTCACTTAATTTATTTGACATGTTTGCAATGCAAATGGAAATGAAAACCCCACATATTCTTGATTTCTCTTGCACCTGTACTTAGGTGTCAGCCTGGCTAGGTTGGTAGTACTATCGCCTCTGAGTCAGAAAGTTACGGGTTCGAACCCCACGCTGGGAATTGGAACACCACCTCAGCTGACACTCCAATACAGTGCTGACAGATGCAACATCCTTCAACTGAGACGTTAAACCCAAGGTCCTGTCCACTTATTCAGGTGGACGTTAAAGACACCATGGCATTATTGGAATAAGAGGGAGCTTCTCCTGATATTCTGGCCAACAATCCCCCAGATAAAATTGGCATTTGTTTCATGGCTGTTTATGAGACATTACTGGTCACAAATTGGCTGCCACATTAACCTTCAAAATATACAGTAACTACATTTGCAATAAATCCTATGAAGGGCTTTGAGATTTCTTCCTGAGATGAAAGGCGCAATGTCAAACTAAAAATTATTATTATGCTTATTGTACTCAGCTTTTTAAACTATTCCCTTCTTGCTCAAATTACATACTTTAAAATCACAGTCACCAATTAGATCTCATCAAGTTTAATTGATCGAAACAAATGGACAGATTTGTCATAAACATAATCCATTCCATGTATTCGCCCACAAAATATACAGTCAATCTACTTTCCAGTATATTCTGTGAAGCGCTTTGAGATGCCTCGATGACGCAATAAGGTGCTGTATCAAAAGCAAGGATTATTATTATTTTCGTTGGTTTTACCTACCAAGTTACAGCAATAAAACTTCATAACAATATAATAGTTTATGTTGGAAGGAAGGCCCACCATTCCAAACAGGAATGAAACCAACAACAACAACAACAACTTGGATTTATAATAGCGCCCTCCATGCGGGACAGCGTCTCAGAGTGCTTTACAGTTTAGGATCCCGGGGCCGAGCCGGGGTGGGAGGGGAGGGAAGGTGACCAAAGGTGCGGTCGAAAAGAAAGGTCTTCAGCAGAGACCTGAAAATGGGAATTGAGGGAGCGAGACGAAGGGAGTGAGGAAGGCAGTTCCAGAGCCTCGGGGCATAGTGGCTGAAGGCACGGCCGCCGAGGGTGGAGCGGAGGACTCGGAGGACGAGGAGGAGGCCAGACCCGGAGGAACGAAGGCAACGGGTGGTGTTTTGAGGAGAGAAGAGGTCAGAGAGGTCGGGGGGTGCAGAGGAGCGCAGGGACTTGAATACGAGGGTGAGGATCTTGAAGTCGAATCTTGAACCAGTGCGTGTCAATGATACATATATTACAAATAGAAGGTCTTCAAAGGCAAAGACAATAACGTAAACAGAACACATTAATGTTCTGTTGATTGCTTCACCAATCCCAAAAGCCAATGCTTATAGGAAGGGCTCCCCTCAGCACTCTGCAGAATTATAAGTCATATTATTGAAGGCTACAATGGATCTCAGATTGAGTGTAGCAGCAATCTAAGTCTCAATCCAAGTTTTGATTTTATGAGCAAAAGCTCTCTGGGGGATCGTCTGACACAATGGACCAGTCAGCTGAACTGACTATATTTTGGATTTTTTCCCCAACAATGTGGTTTTAATATACAGTAACTAATGTAACATCTTAGTGGGTTGATTCAGTTCTTTTTCTTGTTTTGTTACAGCGATCTGTTGACTTCACATCTGTTTCTCAGCTGGGGAGAAAAAATGCATGAAGCGAGTCAGCTTCAGGTCAGCTGTACTGTTTATTACCACTCCTTCAGAGCAGAAAGTGTGGCGTTGCAAAGCCTGTTAATTACAGACTGGGGAAGGGGAGTAAGAGGAGGTTTTAGGGTATGGCTGGGCTCTCCAGTCCCTCAGTACATAACCCACAAATAAATACACTCTATTTTTAAGGCAGGAAATACTTCCGAATAGATATCATCTTAAACTGGCTCAACAATCTTTTTATTTCAATAAGAATACAGTATTCAGCCAATAATCAGGCACCAGGCAGTTGTCTTATGGGATATGTATTTGTTTTTTTTTCATTGGCTCCCCTTAACAATCCTTGCATTTGATATAGCGCTTTTCGCGTCGGGAGGACGTCCCAAAGCGCTTCACAGGACACACTGTAAAGTGAATGGACTGTATATTTGTGGGCGAACGCGGCAGCCGATTGCGCACAGCGACGTCCCACAAACCGTCGTGGATTGAAAATGACCAATTTATTATTGTTTTTGGTTTTGGAGGGATTATTATTAGGCTCTGTGTGGAGTAAGGAAACTTGCCCAAGGTTTCGCCCTCTGCCTGGAATTGAACTCAGGTCTCTCACTTGCAAAGCGAGTGCTCTAACCACTGAGCTACAGGATCTTCTTAGTTTGCCACGCTCAGTCTCACATCGTGCAGTGAAATTTGCCAAATAATCCACAGGGGAAACCCTGGGGTAAGATTATTTCAAAATAACTATCTAATGTAGATCACCTGATTGTTACTGCGATATATTCTGTTGGACTGGGCTGAAGCACTACAATTCTGTGAAACACATTGAGATGACAACAACCACCACAACAACTTGCATTTATATATAGCAGCCCTCACACAAGGTAGCGTTCCAAAGCACTTATTAAATTACATATTAATTATTATGCTTATTAAATTACATATTAACGTCGGACAACTGTTCCACAAAGTTACCCCAACATTTTGTTTCCTAGATATCTTCAAATATTACCAGCGAGGCCAATCTCTGACACCGGGTAAACTTCTATGTGCATTGTTTTCTCTTTCTATTGTTACATTAAAACATTTATTGAAGGGACTATGGAACTAGAACAAAATACTTGAGATGAATGCGAGAGGGAATAATGGGAATCTTGCCTGGACTCACCTCCTCACCCCATCCCAGGAACGCTGTGATCAACAAATAAATCAAAACTAATAATGATCATTTGGCCACTCAATCCACGATGGTACGCGAGTCACTGCCGTGCGCAATTGGCGGCCGCTTTTCTCCTACACAATATACAGTCTACTCACTTTACAGGGTATTCTGTGAAGCGCTCTGAGGCGACAGCTTGCATTTATACAGCTCCCCTCGCGCAGGGAGCAGCCAAGAACGCTCGATAGTGGTGGAGCACAATGGGAGGTGACCACAGACATGGTCGAATAGGAAGGTCTTCAGGTGTGTCCTGAAGATTGGGAAGGAAGGGGGCAAAGCGGAAGGACAGAAGAGACGTCACGAACACGTGATAAGGCGCCAGATCAAATGCAAGAACTATTATTATCGTCACTAGCTAAGGAACAATTCACCGCAACATTTGGGCTGATTCACAAGAAGTTACAGGCAACCATTTCCTTTTAAATGTTGTTTGCAATATCTTCCTGTACCATACAATACTATCAACTTCTGCCTTCACTCGTTCTTACACCACACACTCCCATTTTTTTTTGCAGTAATACCAGTGCAAAGGGACCCAGCAGATCACATCTCTTTTACAATTTTTAAAAAATAAAACAGAAGAGTCACCAAAATCCCTTCCCTTCCCAGGGAGGTGAAGGTGGTGTTGGGGAGGGAGTAAAATGAACATTTTATGCATTCAAACACAGCTTGAAAGAAGGTTTGGAATCTGAAACCATAGTTTGATGACTTTTGCACCCATCTGCCCAGCACTTGAGCTTGAAAAGGAATGTCTCACAAAAGTTCTCAGGCTAACATTTAGTTTCTTTGAGAGCAGAACAGATTCCCTCTCTGGAGCTAAAGATTGCCTGGAAGGCAAAGTAACCTTGAGAACTTGTTTCTAAGTCAGTCTGCGATTTTTTCCTTCCTTCCCCCCCCACAAACTCTGCACAAGTTCTCGATCCCTGCCTTAAAAAAAGTTTTGTTAACTTTCTTTTATCACCAGCTGCCAGCACTGCTCCCATGTTAATGCAGAGTCAGGGACACAAGTGGTGGTGGTGGTGGTGGGGGGGTTCGAACCCTCCTGTGGGGGAGAGGGAGAAGGGGAGTAGAACCCAAAAAGTTTATGCAAAGTGAGTGCAGCTCTTACCTTTGGGGATCCGAGGACTTCCAACGCACCCCTCCACCTTTCTTTTGTGACTGTGACTGCTTCACTCTGCCCCAGTCCTGCCTGGAGTGTGGCAGATATAATTATTTGTGGCAGGACCTGTTCCCACAGCAGCCACAAGGGGCGCTCTGCCCAATAATCAGGCACCAGGCAGTTGTCTTATGGGATATGTATTTGTTTTTTTTTCATTGGCTCCCCTTAACAATCCTTGCATTTGATAGAGCGCTTTTCGCGTCGGGAGGACGTCCCAAAGCGCTTCACAGGACACGCTGTAAAGTGAATGGACTGTATATTTGTGGGCGAACGCGGCAGCCGATTGCGCACAGCGACGTCCCACAAACCGTCGTGGATTGAAAATGACCAATGTATTATTGTTTTGGGTTTTGGAGGGATTATTATTATTAGGCTGTGTGTGTGTGTGTGGAGTAAGGAAACTTGCCCAAGGTTTCGCCCTGACCTGCCTGGAATTGAACTCGGGTCTCTCGCTTGCAAAGCGAGTGCTCTAACCACTGAGCTACAGGACTCCCTTGGGGCTGACACACGAGGAAACCCATCAACATTGCCAGACAGTGTCCAAACCAAACTGAGGAAATTCCACCCTAGCCCGCCTCCACGCGAAAATTCCAGATTGTTGCACTAATAATAATAATAATAATAATAATAATGATCCTTGCATTTGATATAGCGCCTTATCACGTCTTCGAGACGTCTCCAAGCGCGTCACGGAATGCATTGTAACGCGAATTGACCGTATCATTTGTGGGAGAAAAGCGGGCCGCGAATGGGATACGGACCCACCTCAGGACGGGGCGATGAGAAGTTTGTAAAGCAAGTGGCTGAAGGTGCGCTCGAAGGGGAAGGTCTGAAGAAGAAGGTCCGTGAGTTACGCACGGGGTTCAGAGAGTTTTAAGGACAGTTCAGGTTGAGCTCTGTACCATAGAGGTTCCTCTTTTCAAGTGGTAAGCCACTGAGGTTCAAACCAGCTGTTTAATCTAGAGAAACGTAAATAGAAATTGTTAACTTTACTCAGATAAACAGCTGGGTACATTTTTACCGAAAACCTCAATAAACTTACCACAAAAATGAATCTTTGGTCACTCTTCCCAACTTCGTAAAGTAGTAAATATTTGATGTGTGAGCCAGTATCTTACATTTTTCCTGACTTTTTGGGGGGGCAAATGAGTAAATGAAATTGTATCTCAGCAGCAGTCTGCATTTAGGGACCTGAAAATCCTCCATTTTTGTTGACATTACTTAAAATTCAATCTTAATTAGGAAGCGATTTTTTCAGCCATACTTGATAAGAAATGATTAAGCGCTCCAGGACGCTACGCCAAATAAAAGGCGCTATATAAATCTGAGTTTAAAAAGGTTCTACAGTTCTGCACGATCTTGAATTTTAAGATAAAATTGGTTTCACAGGCGATGACTACATGAAATTTCAAGCTTCAGGAGAGAAAAGCTGTTTCCGCCTGACAAAGAGGGAGTCCGAAGATAACTTATTTGGTTCTGAGTTTCCTCTGCAGCTTGCACTACATGCGAATGACTTTGGTTGTTGTAGCAAGATAATTAAAAAGGAAGCTTTGTGGTGTTTCTTTCCGGTCTTGTGACTGCTCACGGCAGTGACGTATTTATCTGCATGATATTTCAGATTGAGAATTAAAAAAAAACATTTTTGTTAAGGCTCACTTGAAACGCAATTGAATTGATAGCAAAATATGGAACAAGAATACACTCTTGAAGTCATCCCAGGTGCGTTTGACAACTTAAAGTTAGCCTTGTGTCTGGATTAAAGCTGAGGTCTTATTTTTTACCTCAACAGACTACGTGCAAAATATATAAAGATCATGTTTAATTTCTGCATGTTTTGTGGCGTCTCTGTGTGTCTTGATCCAACATAAAGTTTAATAGTTGGACGTTTGCAATCAGGACGTTGAGTTTTACAGACAGCTCTATTTTATTGCAGTCATCTGCGTATGTAGATGTTATATTTGTGAAATATTCTATTTTCCAGGAAATGACTAAAAGGAACCATTTTGACTGCTTTGACCAGCCAGCCGACTAAATTAACCTTCAGTTTTCGGCATTCATTTTCTTTCATTGGTCTCATTGCTCTCCAGTCACCTTACACGATAGCCACTCAGTACATGACTGAGTAGGAGATTATTTTGTTGCTGTGGGCATAGTGGAAAAGCTTTCAGAAATACATTGTCTGGGAGTGCAATAGGAATTGTTGCCGTTCTTATTATCCCTGTTGGTCCTATGTGGCTTAAATCACTGATATGCTTCCACATGGGAAAAACATCAAACTGATTGAACACAATGTAACACCAGAACCAACAACACACAACTTTTGTTTCTTTGTCATATCTTCTGTGTAAATAGAATATATTTGTTTGGGGCGGATTTGTTTGGATTGATAGTTTGTTTGGAAAATAAAACATTCTTGCTTCCTGTGGTGTTGGTACATTATGCACTGGAATCTGATTGAATACACACTACTGATCCTTGATGTCTGTCTTTCATATTATCCTAATAGGTGGGCTGCCACCTCATCATGTTAAAACATAATAAAATGCCACCAGTTGGAGACTTCAAAGGTACTTATTGTGGTTTTTTTCAGACTGGAGCTCACAATTAGATCCTTCCCAGGCCTCCTACAGTCAGACCAGTGTATTCAGGGATTCAGTCAGACCAAGTAACCGCTCACTGAGGAGATTGAGAAGCCTACACTCTAAAAATGGGCATCACCCTAGCGTGGAGAGCACGGGGGGTGCATTTTTGGATCCTGAACTCACGATCGAAGAAATGCAACGATTCAGGAATGACAAGCGGCGGCTGAGAGAGCTTCCGATAGCCATGGGGGATAAAAGGAGACTGAGGTCGGTTCTTTGCAGCAGTGCGTAATATCAGTAGTTTACCATCATGATATAAAAGTGATAAGGCGCTAAATCAAATGCAAGGATTGTTTACTTGTTTATTTGCTTGTTTATTTATTTATAATCCTTGCATTTGATACCGTGTCTCTTACGGCGGGAGGATGTTTCACGAAGGGACAATGTGTAGTGACTGCGTACTTTTCACCCACAAAATATAGTCAAATCACTTTACAGTATATTCTGTGAAGTGTGCTGAGACGTCTCGAAGGATTATTATACATTGCTTGTGGCAGTCAATTTGCGCACAGCAATGTCCCACAAACAGCAAATAAGCAATTTTTATCTGCTTGTTTCACAGAGAAAAGTGGAACACTGTCTCCCTCAGCAGCTGGGAGACATGGAAGTTGGGACATTCAAAATCACTGAAGAAGTTCAGGGAGGAATCATCACTTGTCATCTCCTGGCTAAATCTCTGGAAGGGTTCCCTGCATGAGATAGAAGGTACGATCGATCAAGTTGCTGAGCGGTTTACGTCCATAACACACGGCAGACGAAAATATTTGCCTGAACACAATATTAAAACAGAAATGCTCCCATAGAGAACCATCTGCTGCTAAAATATTATTAAATATTCAAAATTTGCAACAGGTGCAAAGGCTTTTACTTTTTATGTTCTCTTGTGATAAATGACAGTGAATTGGAGAGTTAAACGGGGAGCAACACATATTTGGAAGGGAAATTAAGGCTATAAATTGCTTCCTTGTTAATGTCCAAAAACAGGTGAAAGTTTTTTATTGTTGATAATGTGGATTTAATGATAGGTTTTATTGTGTAACCTTTCAGGTCGATTTGGAACCGGTATCCAGTCATACTTCACCTTTCTACGCTTTTTGGTGTTCCTGAATCTTACTGCCTTTCTTTTAATTGGCAGTTTTGTGCTCCTGCCAACTCTCTATGCTGACAACATGAAACTCAAGGAGATTGAAGTGAGAAACCAGAGCTACAGTAAGTACTGTATCTGTGGATCTTCTACCACCAAAGAGGTTCAGGTGTTGATGTTTCATTTCCCTTTGGATCACTTCCTTCCAGAACGCCCACTCTACCACCAATAATAATAATAATAATAATCCTTGCATTTGATACAGCGCCTTATCACATCATCAAGACGTCTCACAGCGCTTCACAGAATGCACTGTAATGTGAATTGACTGTATATTTTGTGGGCGAAGCTCGGCAGCCAATTGCGCACAGCAGTGTCCCACAAACAGCCGTGGATTGAGTTGTGGATACCGTTTTCCCATTACAGCATCAAGTTTTATTTTAAAATGAGTCCCAATGTCCTAGACTCTTTACACACCAGCTCTGGTAGATGTAGAGATGAGCTGAAATGTTACTTTTGGTATTGTTAGCCCCTTAAATGACTTCAACTTCATTCATGGAAAACAGATCCTGGTCCGTGCTACAGCTGACAGGAAGCAAATTGCTTTGATGTGGTCTCTCTGTTGACCAACTGTTCTGTGGGAGTGATTACATCAGGCACCAAATTGCTGCATTTTATTATATTTCAACAAATCGCCAGACTACTGCCAAATAAAATTGTTATGAGGATGTAACTGAATACAATATTTATGTTTCGTGTTTTCTTTTCAATAGCTGAATGTACCAAGTATCAACCGCTTCCCAAGGGCTTGCTTCCCATTTATTTATATATTTTGGACCTGGTTTCTGGGACAGTAAGTTACTGCTTGAAATTTTGGGTGTGATTCTGAATGTGATTAATTGCTCCAGCCATCAAATAAACCTGCTCTTTCCCATCCGTTTTCTAGTCCTCCCGAAGTGAAAAGCGCTCTACAAATGTAATTTTGTTCTTGTTGTAGTCTACGGTAGCAGTGTTCAGCACTTTAAGATCTTCCCAATGTGAAAGGCGTTTTAAAATGTAAATTCTATTGCGCATCATGCGATGGGAAGGTGCCAAGTTCCCCATAGTGATCAGATTCAAGGAATGTAAACACATTAAGCATTATTTTTAATTCAGTTCTAACAAAGTAATGGCATTTTATTAAACTGTATAAATAAACCACCATCAGAATAAAATGTCAGTATGGGTAGTAGTTAAGTGATATGGAGAGTAGTTAAGCAGTTGGTGACAAAATGATTTTGTAGTAACTGAGGGAAAATAGCTATGAAAATTCAGCTTTATGTTTTGCTGATAACAGATTATAATGGAACCTTCATCTGCTGTTGAAATCGCTTTTGTTTTCCAGGGATTCATGGAACTCTCCTACATGTTCTATGGGTATTATAGGTTTGGTATAATCCAGATCTACACCTATAACATCCCTTTGGCCTACCTGCTCACTATGCTCCTCTATTTCCTGCTCTGCCTTTTGTGGATTGTAAAAAGGTTAGCAAATCCACATCTTTACTTAAGAGCTCTGAGACACCGTCTGGCGTGAAGGGCGCTCTATACATGCAAGTTGTTGGGGTTCATTCAACAACATTGTGCCAGAAATGTCGAACCAAACAGTGCAATTTCAACATTGAATGCAACGAAGCACAACTTCGAGTCAATGCAAATTAAAGTAATAAAGGATTGAAGTTGACAGAAGTGCTTCTATCTCTCCCTGTAGGGCAGTAAATGGGGTTAAGCAGGAATGGATGCACGACAAGGATTACCACACCAAGCTCAGTGCTAAAGTCTTCGCTGCTTGGGATTCTTGTATTAAAGAAACTGAGATGGCAAAATTTAAACAGCAGGATATCAGTAATGATCTGAAGGTATTGCAACACCCTGGCATGTCAATGTGAATATTATGTAAAGGCCACTGAATATCATTTAGAGGGTATATATTTCAGAGTGTTATAATGAGTCTTCCACTATAATATGATTGTTTCAAAGAAATTGTACAAAGCACTGCCTATCTCTACATACAGCAACGCTTTGCATCATTCTCAAAGCTATTCTTGTACTCACTATTCTATTTGGAACTTATTTCCCTCAGTTGCATCATGGTAAAGCGTCACACAGTTAAATTTAATTCATTGTGAAGTGCAGTATCATCCCATCATGACAGCCAAATCTTCATTTTGCACTTGTAGCATTGAATGAATTTCACTGTGTTAGAACACTAAGAGTTTGGTGATTAGAGTTGAATTGAACCGAAGTAAACATTTGTGTTAAGGCTGTTCTTTTGCATATTGTGATTTTTTAAAAAATATATATTTTGATTTAGATTAATTTGGAAGAAGAAATGTGTCGGAAGAGAAAAGCTGAAAGGACCAAAAAGGAGAAGGCTCTCCTCTATTTTGTACGTTTTAATCTGAATGTAGTCATCATGATCTTACTCACTGGTGCTTTCTTCAGCATCTACCATGCAATAAGAATCTCTCAAGGGAAGGTCAGTTTGAAATCTCATTATAAAGATCATTATTTTTGTGAACATCCTACGAAAGATCCCAATGTCATCAGCTGTCACTATTCATATCATTGTACGCTTCCGTTTGCAAACTTTGGACAAATTACAGCATTTTAGTGACAGTAGTGCCATTTTATTCTTAAGAAATACAAGGAAGGAATCCCGTAGTGTAGTGTAGTGCTCGCCTCGCAAGTACAAGGACCCAGATTCGATTTTCCTTACTCCGCAAGGCTCTGTTTACCTAACAGTATGTAGGAACCTGGTTGTTAATCAAGTGGGGGATGGCTTTCCGGGGGTAAAAAAAATTTGGTCACTCAATCCACGACTGTTTGTGGGACAATGCTGTGCACAATTGGCTGCCGCGTTTCACCCGCAAAATACACAGTAAATCCACTTTACAATATATTCTGTAAAGTGCTTTGAGACATCTTAACGATGTGATAAACCACTATATCAAATGCAAGGATTGTTATTATGCTCATTGGCACTAACATAGGAAATATGATCAAACATGAAAGGTATGTTTTCAACCGTAGTGAGTAAGAAAAAAAAATGTGGTTGGAATAGTTAATCAAATCAAAAAACTGACAAATGGGGGAAAAAAATTGTACATTTTGGTAAAATGCTTTCTTTTCCTTTTTAGATGCATGATAATAACAAACTCGGATTTGTCAAAGAATTCACCATACAGTACCTTCCATCCATTGTGATCAATTTTAGCAATCTTCTTCTGCCATTTATATTTGGGATAATTACGCGATATGAGGATTATCCACCAAACACTGAAATCAACTTGTTGCTCATGAGGTAACCCTATTCTCTACCTTCAATGCAGTAATGTGTCTGATTATTTCAGATTATTATTGGCACTGCAGCCTTCAACTTATTATTCTACTCATTAAAAGGAGGGTTGGGTTGCTCGAAAAGGTAACTTATCTTATTCATTCATTCAGTCAAATCTGTGTGTGGAATATGTGCAATTTGGATTTCTGTAGCGTATTGGTTAGAGCACTCGCCTCACAAGTGAAAGGATCTGGGTTTGATTCCTGGGCAGGGCGAAACTTTAGGCAAGTTCTCTTACTCCACACACATCTGTTTACCTAGCAATAAGTAGGAACCTGGTTATTAATCGATTGGCAGGGTAATAATCCCTTCAAAAAAAATAATAATTTGGTCATTTCAATCCACAACTGTTTGTGGTCACTGCTGTGCACAATTGGCTGCCGCGTTTCGTCCACAAAGTATACAGTCAATTCACTTTACAGTATATTCTGTGACACTCTTTGAGACATCTCAACGACATGAAAAGGCGTCCTATCAAATGCAGGGATTATTATTATTAACACGACCAACACCCATCAACATCGTCAATTCGTGAGAAAGAAACGTTTTTAATTAGGAATGCAACATGAATCGCTGAAATGCATTAACTTCTAAATCTGAGGACTCTCAGTACTTTCTTAATTCTTTTACCGTTATAGGAGTGTGTTTTTAAGAATGGCCAATCTGAGCATGCTGGTCTTCTCACTGTGGCAACAGATCACATGCTCTGATGACAGGAATAAAGAGGATTGCAAACATTGTGGTTATAACAAAAAGTACCAGGTAAGAGGGAGGGAGAGAGAGAGAGAGAGAGAGCGCACTGGCAAAAAATCATTTCGACCAAGAATGTGACAAACACGCAAAGCGAATGAAACCTTGAGATCAATGTCGGAGATTTTACTTGTCCTCTTATTTCCTTTGGGACATCCTCCCGACGTGAAAGGCGCTATCGGCTGCCAAGTTTCGCCTGCAAAATAAACAGTATATTCTGTGAGGTGCTTTGAGACATCTTGAAGTCGTGATAAGGAGCTACATCAAATGCAAGGATTATTATTATTATTATTGTGTGGAGTCCTGTAGCTCAGTGGTTAGAGCACTCGCTTTGCAAGCGAGAGACCTGAGTTCAATTCCAGGCAGAGGGCGAAACCTTGGGCAAGTTTCCTTACTCCACACAGAGCCTAATAACAATCCCTCCAAAACAAAAAACAATAATTAAATTGGTCATTTTCAATCTACGACTGTTTGTGGGACATTGCTGTGCGCAATTGGCTGCCGCGTTCGCCCACAAATATACAGTCAATTCACTTTACAGTGTGTTCTGTGAAGCGCTTTGGGACGTCCTCCCGACGTGAAAAGCGCTATATCAAATGCAAGGATTATTATTATTATTATTATTATATTATACAAATGTATTTTGTTGTTTATCTTCAAGTGCTGGGAGTCAAAGATTGGACAGGAAATGTACAAGCTGATGTTATTTGACTTTCTCAGAATCATTAGTGTCACCTACTGTATCGAACTTCCAAGAAAGTAAGTTTCATTTCATGAACAAATTACGCAAAGTAACATTGATCAGGCGTTTCTCTTGTAAGCGAGAAAAAGTTGCAATGTCAACGAGGGCATTTGAAATGACAATATCTTAACATTGTTATCCAATCCAAGTACGCAAAATATTGAAAGTTAAGTTGCACGTTGAGCTTTGTATCGCAATACATGACCACATGGTAACCTTCTGCTTATATTTAAATATAAATGTGTAAGTTTATAACTGATAAGATACTTTACGCTCTGAGTCCATTAATGCCCAATAAGTGCTAGGAATGCTACCGGGCGTGAGAGGCGCTGTATCTAAATGCAAGTTGCTGTTGTTGCTGTTGTTGTTGTTGTTGTTGTTATACAGTTATGCCTCTCCAATAAAAGTTGGCTTGTTTGCAGGGGAGGTTCCTACAATCCTGATTCTGGAGGCTGGAGATTAATACCATTTTTTCTCTGTTGTTTTCAGATTCATAACAGAGCACATTTCCTTCAAGTTGCTCAAAAACTGGGGCAGGCAGAGATTCCTAATCCCCGACAATGTTTTGGATATTGTACTGGGGCAGACTGTGGTGTGGATTGGAATGTTTTACTCCCCGTTGCTGCCTCTCCTTAACTGCGTCAAATACTTCATTGTGTTCTACATCAAAAAGGTGAAGGGCTGCACGAGCGACTCACATTGGCTGTGCCTCGCTCCAGATCGCTAGCATAAGAGCATAAGAACGTGAAAATTTGCCAGGTTTATAGTAGAGGCTCAGAAGAACATAAGAAATGCGAGATGAAAGAAGACCAAGGTCTGTCCAGTTCGCCTTCCACCATCCTGGCAGACGTGTGACATGTTGTGTCCCAAATGATATCTCGCTCACAGTAAAGATAGCAGTGCACTCCCCCCGCCCTCCCCCCACCCCGAACCCATCCCATTCATCGATACGACTGTTTAGGAGGCTGGCGTTTAGCCCATCAAGGTTCCCTCAGGCTGGAGGAGCGGTCACCCAGGCTGACCTTGCCCACCACCTAGTGGCACGTTGAGGAACGTAGCTTGTGGAAACTGGGGAAAGTGCGTCAGGCCACGAAGGAGAAAAAAAAAAGCAGTTAAGCAAATAACACACAGATAAATGTATTACATATATTATTGTTATTTTAAAAATTGAACCCACGACTGTTTGTGGGTCACTGCTGTATGCAATTGGCTGCTGCTGTTTTCGGCCTCAAAATACACAGTCAACTCACTTTAGAGTATATTCTGTGAAGTGCTTTGAGCCGTCTCAACGACGTGATAAGGCACTAAATCAAATGGAAGGACTATTATTATTATTATTAAAACAAGTATGATAAAATGGATAATAAGGATGCCTTGTTTTGCCCACAAAATATACATTCAATTTGTTTTACAGCAGATTCTATGAAGCGCTTTGTGACATCTAAACGATGTGATAATGCGCTATATCAAACGAAAGAAGTAGTAGAGCTATATGGTAGATGTACATGGTCTACGGGTGGGGGAGGATGGGTTGGATAATTGGATTGTATCTAGTAATGTGTAGCACAGTAATGATAGTTATGGATCTAGTAAAGGTGGTATTGTATCCTGCGAGTGGTAGATTATCCCTAATGATTTTCTTTACCTTTGTCTGCAGCAAAGTTTGTATGTCTACTGTCATCCTGGGAAAAGAATATTTCGAGCATCCACCTCTAAAATTTTCTTCCAGTTAGTCCTCCTGATCGGACTGGTTATAGCTTGTATTCCTGTCATTTACAATTTAGTCATGTAAGTATCACTCATAATCATCAGGATCTCTTGAAATGAGACTTCATTCCTATCAATGTACCACCAAGAGAAGAAAAAACAAGTGTCCATATGATAAAACAGTAATAACTTCAGGTAGGAGTAGATAATCGGCCAATCTCGCCCACCCATTGAACTTCCCATCAGATTCCTTCAACATCTTTCTCCCTCTCTCTCCCTCTCTCTCCCTCTCTCTCTCTCTCTCTCGCTTCCTCTAAACTCAAGAATCATGAATTGTCAAATCCTGGATTTTATTTAGGAATTAGCCAAAATGATTTGTCGCCATGCAGTTGCATGAGGCTATTAACCTTAGGACAAGCCAAACACTACGAGGTAAAGACTTAAGTAAAGACGTTCCACTTGAGATCAGCTCATGGTCATTCAAGTCACCCAATCTCACTTATTTGACTAAAGGGGGTTCTCAGTTTGGTTTGGATAAGCATGGTGATGGGTTTCCACATGTGGTCAGACACCTGGCTGACCAAACAAAAAATGAACTGGAGTATCTGAGAGGGATAGGAAGGAAAACCGAGTTGGTGGGGGTGGGGGTGGGGGTGGGGGGAAGTGAAACTGATGTAAAAATGCAACAACCAACATTGGTAATAACATAATCCTTGCATTTGATATAATAATAATAATCCTTGCATTTGATATAGCGCTTTTCACGTTGGGAGGACATCCCAAAGCGCTTATAGCACCTTATTACATCTTTGAGACATCTCAAAGCGCTTCATAATAGCAGTTGCTGCCTCGAAACAGTAGTTTGTGCCACTGGAAAGGCTGAATTTATTTCATTTTATTTTTATTTCTTCTCGCTCAGGGTCCATCCATCCAGAGCATGTGGTCCATTTCGGAACTACAACACTGCCTGGGCCATTATTCCAGAAGCAGTGACATCCCTTCCAGCAACACCTCGGAAGATCTTGAATTTCATGTTATCAGAACTCTTTGTCTTGCTGTTGACCACAGTGTTGTGGTAAGAGTTAGGTCAGACACTGCTTAATCTCAAAATGAAATTTGCAAAACACTTTGGGACAACAAAGGTTGAAATTTGCATGAACCAAATAACAATATTTCCATCACCCGTTGGGATAAACAGTAAATAGTTGATTGTCAGTAACAGCAGCGCTCAGAATCATGCACATAATTGGAAATGTTTATTTTTACAAAAATGTCTATTAGAAATAAAAGGTTCTATAGACTGATCAAAACACAATTTCTCTGTATACGTTTATATGTTTAGCAATGCTCTGATGAAATAGTGATCAATATTTCTACTTACTGCTCGGCAAACAGAGGCGTGTGGAGTAAAGAAATTTGCCTAAGGCTGAATTCCTAGGCAGGGCAAAGCCTAGGGCATATTTCCTTATTCCACACGCCTCTGTTTCCCGAGCAGTAAGTAGGAGTGGCGAATTGCTTTCTGGGGATAATAATCCCTTAAAAAATAATAATGAATTGGTCACTCAATCCACAACTGTTTGTGGGACACTGCTGTGCTGAATTGGCTGCCACGTTTCACCCACAATATAACCTTGTTGAATTTATTTTCACTCACTTTGTTTCTTGTCAACAGTGTGGTGTTGACAGCTTGTGTGTCTTTGGTTCGATACAACAGAAGAACTATTGCCCAGCTCAAACAGCACCTTATCCTGGTGAGTTCTGCAGGGTTACGTGGGGCTGAATTAAATCTCTGATCTGGAATGCACTGGCTGAAAAGGTGGTGGAAGCTGATTCGATAGTAGGTTTCAAAGGGGAATTGGATATGTAGTGGAAAGGAAAAATTCGCAGGGCTATGGGGTAAGAGCAGGGGGAGTGGAACTAGTTGGAAGCTTTTTCAAAGGAGCCGGCACAGATGGGTCAAATGGCATCCTTCTGTCCTGTTAAATTCTATGATTCTATAAACGTTAATTTTCCCATTGAGCTCCAGACACTCACTTTCTCCACATCGACTGTTTCAACACTCAATGTGCCAACACTAATGAAATGGATGGACTTAGATAAGACCTTTGTTGCGCACGTGTATTCATCTACAAAAAGCAAGCAGCTTTAAATGTATCACAATCCAAAAGGCATATAAACATTACTGAATTGTAATTAAAAAATAAATTTGACACGGGGGAGAAATTACACGATTTGGTATTGACTTGACCTAGTTATTTTGTGCAAAATTTTACGCAAAATATTTTTCCTTCAAATTTTGCTCAAAATTAAGTGCTTCAATGCACCGGCCTAAAACAATGTTGTAATGATTGCTTTTTCAGGCAGGCAGAGATAAACGATATTTGGTGAAAACGCTGGGCGCACAATCTCCAGCTTCGAGAACTGGTGCCTTTCAATGGAGCACCTCAGAAAATGATGAAGGTGACACAATGTTAACAGCTGAACTGGAACCAATGGACAGTGGAACCTATACACAGGAGAATAATTAGTTTATTTCTCGTGTAAGGGCAAAATATGGAGAGATGCAAGTGTAAATGCTGTTCAGTGCTTTTATTCTTCTGCAATAAATGTCATTTAATATGAATAGCTCCAACTTACACCCGACATGCTTTCAATACGTAGACGTCAAAAGACATAGGACGCTAAATTATAATTCATCTCAATAATAATTATCCTTGCATATGATATAGCACCTTATCACGTGTTTGAGACGTCTCAAAGAGCTTCACAGAATATACTCTAAAGTGAATTGACTGTATATTTTGTGGGCGAAAATACATCATCAAATGCAAGGGATGATAACTTAAAAGAGAATTTTCCTTGACCACAAGAATATGCTAAAAATGTTCTAGTAAACAATGTGTGTTACGCAAAATATATTTACAACAGTATTGGTATTCTATTGCTTCTTTTTAAAAAAAATTAAAAATAAATATTGATGATTGTTAAAATGTGTGAGTGTTTGTTTAACAGGGTCAACACCATATATTCGGAAAATAAATCCTGTGTTGCAGTGGATGCCCGGGATACAGTTGTACTCAAAAAGAGCAAATTTATTATTGTTTCTTGTCTCGAAATAGACGTGCAAGAGACAAACAGGCTTCAGAGTGTATTGTTAGTTTAAAATGATTAAAGTGTTTTGTTTGTAGTTGCGACTCTCTGTCTTGGCCACTCGTTTTTTGGGCTGCCATATATTCCGTGTTCTTCCGTACGTCAATTTAAAGATCGCGAATCTTTAGTTCTGAGTTCTGACTTTATTTTGGGACGTCCTCCCGACGTGAAAGACGCTCTACAAATGTAATTTTGTTGTTGTTATTGTTGTTGTTATTTTTGGTCGCTGCCCACAAATTATACCGTCCAATTTCACCTTACAGTATATTTCTGCGAAGGCCTTTGAGATGTCTCAACGTCATGAGAATAAACACGCTGCACTGGTTCCTATCGATCCTCAGCTGAAACCAACCCTAGATCAGTCGTAAAAAGGCCTCATCTATTTTGCCATTTTACAATCAATCGTTCGAGGGTTACTCTTCATGTGGTTTCCTCGGGGACTTGATGGTTTCCACGCATCGGTGTCCACACTAATAACCAACTCACTCTTGTTATTTTTTGTAGTTCGTTTGACACCACGTCCATGTACCAGATAGAACAAAGTTCTCACCATCGACTGCACCATTAATGCCCAAACCCATGTTACCTTAACGTTTGGAGTAATTACCAAGAGGACCATTCTGTTCACTGTTTTCCTGAGTTGAGTTGAATTACAATCACAATAAGTCTCACGTTTCCCTGGTTGTGAGTTTACCAAACCTCAGTTGGGACACTTTCTCCATTGCCTTCCTTACCTGCGCAAAAGCCACAGCAGCAACCCGGGGAATTGAAGTACAGCACTAATCCTGTACTCTGGAAAGCACAATAATCACCGATGGGTTGAGTATCAAGTCCCCAAGAAGCCGCAGCAATGGGAAAATGAGTCTCTGAGCAGTTGTGAGACGAGATACAGGGGATCTGACACTGACGGCCCGAGACTCCCGAGAGAGACCGATTTCAAGACCTTCTGGGCGGCTTGAAATCGGTGAATACTCGGGCTTGTGGCTTGAGCGACACGAGCCTCCAGCGGGGAGGGCGGGTGTGAGAAGGGAGGGAGGGATGGGGGGTCTCTGGGAGACAGGGAAAGGCGACAATAAACCCAGCACCGTGTTTTTCTAGGGCTTTCCCGATCCTCCTTCCCCGCGCTCCAACCAATAAATCTCACCGATGTCCAAGGAGGGAAATGGCAACGTCCAGAATCCAACAGGGAAACATTTCAGGCTTTGGGGAAAAAAACACAAGAGAGAGAAAGATCGATCGATGTCTGTCATCGGGGAAGAAACACAAAACTGTCAAACAACTGATGCCCTAATAGGATAATAATAATAATGTGTATCAATTAAATAATTATTATTTATATTTTAATAATAATAATAATAGAATAGTTGGTCAATTTCAAAGACTGGGTTGTGGAGCGAGAGGCAAAAAAAAACCCCAAGTGTTTCCTTGTGTGATCACGAAATACAGGTAAAGAACCGATCATATTGCTCGGTCAAAGGGGTTAGAAAAAAAAGGCACCACACCAAAAAACCAGTGATCTTTGCTGATTCTGGCAACAAAAAATGTGAGATGTCAATTCTGAAAAAGTAGTATTAACATGGAGAGGTTTGCAGAGAATGAGCAGAGGCGGCGGAGGAAGAGACCCGGGTGAATCCGAACATCTGATTGACGGAGAGACGATGATTTTATTGACTGGAGAGGACGCACCTCGGCTCAAAGCTGGTCCCATTGTCAGCCTTGGCCACCTGAGCGACAACCAGAGACCTTCTGAGCAGCTCATACGGCGCAACTTGGAGAGCGACGTGTGGAGCGATAGAGACGCTCTGCTCCGCTGCGCTCAAGCCCTGGTGTTGGTGACGGTGCTGAAGGGAGGAATGAGAAGTTCAGGGACTGGCTTTTACATAAGTCACAATCTGATCGTATCTGCCGCTCATCTGCTCAAGGAACCGGGTGAAGAAAGCATTGGCCCTGGTCCCTGGACAGTCAATATCAAACGTCAGGATGGCTCCAGTGCACCAGCTCGTGTGCAAACCCACAAGTACAGGGTGAGAGGAGGAGGAGGAGGAGGAGGAGGAGGAGGAGGAGGGAATATTGCGGATGAAAGGGTCGACTTCATGATACTCTGGTGTGATTTGCGCTCCGAGTCTTTCCTGCAACCAGACTTCACTCCTGTGAACGTCCGGCGACTCCTGGTGGCGGTGATGGCAAGAAGAAAAAATGCCGACAAGTTTGATGAGAAACACTACAATCTGACTGACGGACAGAGACTGATTCCGGGTTTTATCCAGATTCTCCGCGGGTTACACCGCACTCTCTTCTCACAGGGCGATTGCTATATGTCGGCAGGTTTGCTTTTGGGTCCGATCAGCTCCGACAACAGAGAGTTTTGCAACTACCAGCATAACGCGTCCACATTGGGCGGTTTCTCGGGATCTCCTGTGCTCGATTTGCACAGAGAAGAAACACTACATTTCCGCTTCATTCACCTGGGCTACGATTATTCGCGGGACTGTAACCTGATGATGTCTGTGTGTAACCCAGATTTCCAACAAGCATATCAGACCTTTTGCTCAGGACTGAAAACGTCTGATCCGGATAATCACTGCTCACCGAACATCAAAATGTGATGCCGGACAAACAATTACTGTCTGTAGAATTTCACTGAATGTATTTGACGAAATCAAAGTACGTCAAAAGGAATATATTGATTATATAGCTTGATGTTTCCTCAATAAAATCTTCCACACTCTATCGTGTTTCTTTTTGTTTTTTGTCCCATGTTTGGATATACCATTTTCTCTGTGCACAAAGTGCAATGAACGATGGGAACCTGTGGTCAAGAAAGGCATAGAGGCCAAGGACACTGAGAGTCATTTAAAATAATGATAACAATCCTTGCATTTGACATTGCGTCATATCAAATCATTGAGACATCTCAACGCACTTCACAGAATAGTGTGTAAAGTGAATTGACTGTATTTTGTGGAAGAAACATGGCAGCCATTTGCGCATGGGGAGTAGATAGGGTGGGTGTTCTGGAGGAATTAGATCGACAGGCATCAAAGAGCTATATAATACACGCATCTACATGCATTATACAACTAAATTACACATAAAACTAAACCATGGTGGAGCACCACACAGTGGCAAACAGTTTATGAGAAAATATACAGCGCTGTAACTCACGCCTCAATGAATTCTAACTTGCATGACCGCAATGAAAATGAGTCTCTGAGCAGTTGTGAGACAAGATACAGGGGATCTGACACTGACGGCCCGAGACTCCCGAGAGAGACCGATTTCAAGACCTTCTGGGTGGCTTGAAATCGGTGAATACTCGGGCTTGTGGCTTGAGCGACACGAGCCTCCAGCGGGGAGGGCGGGTGTGAGAAGGGAGGGAGGGATGGGGGGTCTCTGGGAGACAGGGAAAGGCGACAATAAACCCAGCACCGTGTTTTTCTAGGGCTTTCCCGATCCTCCTTCCCCGCGCTCCAACCAATAACCGATGTCCAAGGAGGGAAATGGCAACGTCCAGAATCCAACAGGGAAACATTTCAGGCTTTGGGGAAAAAAACACAAGAGAGAGAAAGATCGATCGATGTCTGTCATCGGGGAAGAAACACAAAACTGTCAAACAAATGATGCCCTAATAGGATAATAATAATAATGTGTATCAATTAAATAATTATTATTTATATTTTAATAATAATAATAATAGAATAGTTGGTCAATTTCAAAGACTGGGTTGTGGAGCGAGAGGCAAAAAAAAACCCCAAGTGTTTCCTTGTGTGATCACGAAATACAGGTAAAGAACCGATCATATTGCTCGGTCAAAGGGGTTAGAAAAAAAAGGCACCACACCAAAAAACCAGTGATCTTTGCTGATTCTGGCAACAAAAAATGTGAGATGTCAATTCTGAAAAAGTAGTATTAACATGGAGAGGTTTGCAGAGAATGAGCAGAGGCGGCGGAGGAAGAGACCCGGGTGAATCCGAACATCTGATTGACGGAGAGACGATGATTTTATTGACTGGAGAGGACGCACCTCGGCTCAAAGCTGGTCCCATTGTCAGCCTTGGCCACCTGAGCGACAACCAGAGACCTTCTGAGCAGCTCATACGGCGCAACTTGGAGAGCGACGTGTGGAGCGATAGAGACGCTCTGCTCCGCTGCGCTCAAGCCCTGGTGTTGGTGACGGTGCTGAAGGGAGGAATGAGAAGTTCAGGGACTGGCTTTTACATAAGTCACAATCTGATCGTATCTGCCGCTCATCTGCTCAAGGAACCGGGTGAAGAAAGCATTGGCCCTGGTCCCTGGACAGTCAATATCAAACGTCAGGATGGCTCCAGTGCACCAGCTCGTGTGCAAACCCACAAGTACAGGGTGAGAGGAGGAGGAGGAGGAGGAGGAGGAGGAGGGAATATTGCGGATGAAAGGGTCGACTTCATGATACTCTGGTGTGATTTGCGCTCCGAGTCTTTCCTGCAACCAGACTTCACTCCTGTGAACGTCCGGCGACTCCTGGTGGCGGTGATGGCAAGAAGAAAAAATGCCGACAAGTTTGATGAGAAACACTACAATCTGACTGACGGACAGAGACTGATTCCGGGTTTTATCCAGATTCTCCGCGAGTTACACCGCACTCTCTTCTCACAGGGCGATTGCTATATGTCGGCAGGTTTGCTTTTGGGTCCGATCAGCTCCGACAACAGAGAGTTTTGCAACTACCAGCATAACGCGTCCACATTGGGCGGTTTCTCGGGATCTCCTGTGCTCGATTTGCACAGAGAAGAAACACTACATTTCCGCTTCATTCACCTGGGCTACGATTATTCGCGGGACTGTAACCTGATGATGTCTGTGTGTAACCCAGATTTCCAACAAGCATATCAGACCTTTTGCTCAGGACTGAAAACGCCTGATCCGGATAATCACTGCTCACCGAACATCAAAATGTGATGCCGGACAAACAATTACTGTCTGTAGAATTTCACTGAATGTATTTGACGAAATCAAAGTACGTCAGAAGGAATATATTGATTATATAGCTTGATGTTTCCCCAATAAAATCTTCCCCACTCTATCGTGTTTCATTTTGTTTTTTGTCCCATGTTTGGATATACCATTTTCTCTGTGCACAAAGTGCAATGAACGATGGGAACCTGTGGTCAAGAAAGGCATAGAGGCCAAGGACACTGAGAGTCATTTAAAATAATGATAACAATCCTTGCATTTGACATTGCGTCATATCAAATCATTGAGACATCTCAACGCACTTCACAGAATAGTGTGTAAAGTGAATTGATTGTATTTTGTGGAAGAAACATGGCAGCCATTTGCGCATGGGGAGTAGATAGGGTGGGTGTTCGGGAGGAATTAGATCGACAGGCATCAAAGAGCTATATAATACACGCATCTACATGCATTATACAACTAAATTACACATAAAACTAAACCATGGTGGAGCACCACACAGTGGCAAACAGTTTATGAGAAAATATACAGCGCTGTAACTCACGCCTCAATGAATTCTAACTTGCATGACCGCAATGAAAATGAGTCACTGAGCAGTTGTGAGACAAGATACAGGGGATCTGACACTGACGGCCCGAGACTCCCGAGAGAGACCGATTTCAAGACCTTCTGGGCGGCTTGAAATCGGTGAATACTCGGGCTTGTGGCTTGAGCGACACGAGCCTCCAGCGGGGAGGGCGGGTGTGAGAAGGGAGGGAGGGATGGGGGGTCTCTGGGAGACAGGGAAAGGCGACAATAAACCCAGCACCGTGTTTTTCTAGGGCTTTCCCGATCCTCCTTCCCCGCGCTCCAACCAATAAATCTCACCGATGTCCAAGGAGGGAAATGGCAACGTCCAGAATCCAACAGGGAAACATTTCAGGCTTTGGGGAAAAAAACACAAGAGAGAGAAAGATCGATCGATGTCTGTCATCGGGGAAGAAACACAAAACTGTCAAACAAATGATGCCCTAATAGGATAATAATAATAATGTGTATCAATTAAATAATTATTATTTATATTTTAATAATAATAATAATAGAATAGTTGGTCAATTTCAAAGACTGGGTTGTGGAGCGAGAGGCAAAAAAAAACCCCAAGAGTTTCCTTGTGTGATCACGAAATACAGGTAAAGAACCGATCATATTGCTCGGTCAAAGGGGTTAGAAAAAAAAGGCACCACACCAAAAAACCAGTGATCGTTGCTGATTCCGGCAACAAAAAATGTGAGATGTCAATTCCGAAAAAGTAGTATTAACATGGAGAGGTTTGCAGAGAATGAGCAGAAGCGGCGGAGGAAGAGACCCGGGTGAATCCGAACATCTGATTGACGGAGAGACGATGATTTTATTGACTGGAGAGGACGCACCTCGGCTCAAAGCTGGTCCCATTGTCAGCCTTGGCCACCTGAGCGACAACCAGAGACCTTCTGAGCAGCTCATGCGGCGCAACTTGGAGAGCGACGTGTGGAGCGATAGAGACGCTCTGCTCCGCTGCGCTCAAGCCCTGGTGTTGGTGACGGTGCTGAAGGGAGGAATGAGAAGTTCAGGGACTGGCTTTTACATAAGTCACAATCTGATCGTATCTGCCGCTCATTTGCTCAAGGAACCGGGTGAAGAAAGCATTGGCCCTGGTCCCTGGACAGTCAATATCAAACGTCAGGATGGCTCCAGTGCACCAGCTCGTGTGCAAACCCACAAGTACAGGGTGAGAGGAGGAGGAGGAGGAGGGAATATTGCGGATGAAAGGGTCGACTTCATGATACTCTGGTGTGATTTGCGCTCCGAGTCTTTCCTGCAACCAGACTTCACTCCTGTGAACGTCTGGCGACTCCTGGTGACGGTGATGGCAAGAAGAAAAAATGCCGACAAGTTTGATGAGAAACACTACAATCTGACTGACGGACAGAGACTGATTCCGGGTTTTATCCAGATTCTCCGCGAGTTACACCGCACTCTCTTCTCACAGGGCGATTGCTATATGTCGGCAGGTTTGCTTTTGGGTCCGATCAGCTCCGACAACAGAGAGTTTTGCAACTACCAGCATAACGCGTCCACATTGGGCGGTTTCTCGGGATCTCCTGTGCTCGATTTGCACAGAGAAGAAACACTACATTTCCGCTTCATTCACCTGGGCTACGATTATTCGCGGGACTGTAACCTGATGATGTCTGTGTGTAACCCAGATTTCCAACAAGCATATCAGACCTTTTGCTCAGGACTGAAAACGTCTGATCCGGATAATCACTGCTCACCGAACATCAAAATGTGATGCCGGACAAACAATTACTGTCTGTAGAATTTCACTGAATGTATTTGACGAAATCAAAGTACGTCAAAAGGAATATATTGATTATATAGCTTGATGTTTCCCCAATAAAATCTTCCCCACTCTATCGTGTTTCATTTTGTTTTTTGTCCCATGTTTGGATATACCATTTTCTCTGTGCACAAAGTGCAATGAACGATGGGAACCTGTGGTCAAGAAAGGCATAGAGGCCAAGGACACTGAGAGTCATTTAAAATAATGATAACAATCCTTGCATTTGACATTGCGTCATATCAAATCATTGAGACATCTCAACGCATTTCACAGAATAGTGTGTAAAGTGAATTGACTGTATTTTGTGGAAGAAACATGGCAGCCATTTGCGCATGGGGAGTAGATAGGGTGGGTGTTCTGGAGGAATTAGATCGATAGGCATCAAAGAGCTATATAATACACGCATCTACATGCATTATACAACTAAATTACACATAAAACTAAACCATGGTGGAGCACCACACAGTGGCAAACAGTTTATGAGGAAATATACAGCGCTGTAACTCACGCCTCAATGAATTCTAACTTGCATGACCGCAAAAAAAATACAAGACTCAACAAAGCAGTTGAACGACATACAAAAAGCTGAAGGAGAGGGTCCCAAATCTTTTGTTAGGAATTTATGAAACTGACAAAATACACAGACTTTCGTGTGTGTTTCGTCCACAGAATACAGCCAATCCACTTTACAATATATCCCGTTAAGCGCTTTGAGATATGATAAGGCATAATATTAAATGCAAAGATTGTTATTATCAACCTAATTTGCAAACAGGGGCACTTGGGAGTTGAAGTTCAGCAATCATTCTGTTCCATTGCAAGTTAAAATGGGAACTGCCGTAAACCACGGAACAAGTTTATTAATGCCGTACAAATGACTATGTGTGCGACTTCGTCGATCGATTCATCCATCTATCTATTCCTACCTGAAGCTATTAGTTTTATTATATGGACACTTGTTTTTTTCTTTTATTTCTAAAATAAAGGGGCTTTACTTTCATCCGGTCTTAAGGGCTTTCAGATCTATTCAAATGAGTGCTTTGAGTGAATGCTTGACTCTTTCTTTTTTTCCGCATGTTGTCGTTGTTGTGGTTTGTTGTTGGTTGTCGTTGTTGTTAACAAAAGAAACCAATCTGATTCGCTTCTTCAGGAAATCGAAACTGAATGTGGAGCTGCAAACACACAACTGATGCTCACCAAGGGAGCGCCTCCAAATCGCAAAGCTTTTTCTCGAGAGGAACAAACGAGCAAAAGTTAAAGTAAAGTGCAGGAGCGAAACTCCACCGCAGATCGCGCGGAGTCGTATTTCTCGTACATTTTTTTAGGTGGCAGACATGTTCTCAAGACCGCAGCAAGTTTTTTTTCTTGTGGGGCGGGCGGGGGGTGTTGCATTTAGTAAAACGCACACAATTCAGGGATGTGCCCTGAGTAGGGATTTCTTATGCAATGGGCAAGGTCTGACTTTTCCTGATCTGACTGTTGCTGGAAACAGCTGCAGTGGGGCGGGATGAGTGGGAGCAGAGTCCAGGCAAATTTCTTCAGAGGAAGAAAGATCGGGAGCTAGGGAGCTTCCCGAAGTGCTGGAGCGGTGCGGGACTGGTGCAGGTACACACTGCCGTTGTGGTTGCTGAGTAATCTTAAGACTTGCAATAAGCGTCAGGCGCATCATCATCATCACCGTCATCATTAATAACCTTTGCGTTTGATATGGCGCCTTGTCACGTCGTCGAGACGTCTCAAAGCGCTTCACGGAACAACGCTGTCAGGCGAATTGGCTGTGCGTTTTGCGGGCAAAGCGCGGCCGCCGATTGCGCGCACTTTTTGATTTCCTTCTCCCCGGCCGTGGTTTTTGGAGGGCATGTAGCGTTTCAGGCGGGTTCATGTTTTCGGTGAGCAGTGAGGGATACATTCAGAGTGAACACGCACCCGACACACGTCAGCTGATTCTCTGAGGCTTTAATTTTAATATGTCATTGAGTCATCTCAAAGCGCTTCACCAGAATATATTATAAAGTGAATTGACTGTGTATTTTGTGGGTGAAATATAATGTAAAGTCAAAGGTTTGAGTCAGGAGAAAGGTCAGGGAAATTTCTTCCTGTGGCCTGGCTGAAATTCACATTTACGTGAATACCTCCTGGCTATTTATTTTCTGGAGTGAGTGACTGATGTTGAAGAACTCTGAGATGTGATCCAATATAATCCAAATGCGATAAAAGTGCAAGTTCTTTCTTAATGTGTTTTGTGTCGTTTCTATTCAAATGACCATTGTAACTTTCCAGAGGCTGAGATTCGGATGGAAGTTGAGGCACCAGAGGAAATTCCGGCAACATCTGCCCTGGAATCCCCTCTGCCACATGACAAACCTTTTGCTCATCCAGCACCAAATTCATTGGCGTCTGCATTGGACACAAATAAAATTTTGAGCACTAATGGTAACAACACGACTGAAATTCAAACGGACAGCAGAATCAACCCAGCGACCGTCACCGACAGTGCAACCACATCAGGACGTCCACCATCTCAAACCTTTTCTGCCAGTTTCACAGGAGAAAGCACTTCTCTTCCTGAACCTACAGAGAAGAGAACTAAGGTGTGGTATTGGGTTTGTCATGTTCCAGTTTTGTATGATTGTGGCTATTTGCACAACACCTTGTATTGTGTATCAGTGCAGAATAACGCCCTATTTAATGGGGCTTCTGATCAGAGGAGTTGAAGAAGATATGTTCTTACACTGATTTAATTGGCAGTGTTTCTCTCTGTCCAAGCTGATTATTTTCCCTCTGTTTATGGTAATTTTGTTTTCCAAGCTGCAAAGCTAAGTGCCTCACACACACATTCCTCTCTTTATTACAGAGATCAGAGACATCGAGTGGCTCGTTGGGTTTGTCAGCCGAAGAATCTGCTCCTGACTCCACACCAAATGAAAATCTGAACCCACAAGACAAAGCCAACATATCTGCAGCAGGTGGAGAAGGTAAGTGTTCACGTTCAGGTGAAGAACTAAATGTAAATCAATTAATTACATGCATGATGAATGATGGACACAGCAGATTGTAGGTATGCCTTTAATAATGATAATAATCCTTGCATTTGATATAGTGCCTATCATGTCTTCAAGACATCGCAAAGCGCTTCACTGAATATACTGTAAAGTGAATTGACTGTATGTTTTGTGGGCGAAACTATGTTTAAGGTCCATTCACATTATTATCAGGGGTGGCGACTCCTGAGGCTCAGACAGTGGATCAGAATATACATGACACTCAGATTGGAAGCCCAACATTGGGTACTGAGGCTGCAAACCAGAAGGACACGGATGCTGCTGACCGGTCAGATGAGAAAAGACCAGATGAAACTCATGAGCAAGTCACTAATGACGAGAAGGGCTCTGTGACCACCAAAGGTGAAAAACACTCACTTTCCCAAACTGACTCGTCCAGCTGCGTTGAGACTTCAAGAAGTAAGAGAAAGAAGAGGGTATGTGTTGAATTTTGTGCATTTTTGTAACAATGAAGTGCCTGCGACCACCTTTGTTCCACCATCGATGGCTGTGCTTTCAGACACTACTCCCCAAAACTCTGGAACGCTCTTCCTCTATCCCCTCGCCTTGTCCCCTCCATCCCCATCTTCAGGTCCCACCTGAAGACCTTCCTCTTCGACCGTGCCTACGGTTACCTGCCCCCTTCCCCCAGCTCGGCATTGTGCTCTGCCACTGTCAAGTGTTCTGGAACACTGCCCGGCATGAGGAGGCACTATATAAATGCATGTTGTTGTTGCTGTTGTTTGCCTATTGCAATTATGGCAGTAGATGGATGCTCCATTCTAACATGGAGAGCAAAAATGTGATGGTTGTGACAGAATACAGTTCCAATGGGTTGGTGTAATGCACATCCGAATACCAGCATCACTAAATATTTACGAATCATTTGTGACTCCAGCATTTTCAACTCCATTGATGTTAGATATTCAAACTGGTTTCTAACCCTTCGTTAAAAAATAAATATGAAACATATATATATATAAATATGAAACATATACTGAAGTGGCTTAGTCCAGTTTGACTTCCCAGCTTTATGCTCGGATCTCTTTCTAAAAAGAAACTTGAGACATTTCCCTATAAGAAAAGCTCTGTATAAGTACAAGTTGTTGATGTAGATAATCTGGAATGGATCGATTGATTGATTAATTTCCAATGATTTGCGTAACAGAAGAGGCATGGTAAAAAAAAGAAAAACAAGGAGGATAAGAAAACGATCCCAGTCACTCAGGGAGACTCGGCAAAGCAGGAACGAGAGGAATTACCAACTACTGCAATTACAGAGTCTGTAACAACCGGTGATCAAGAGCAAAGTGTTTGTGACCCCATTGAGTCCTGTGTTCAAGGTGAGGACCGCTCATTCCTTTTCACTTCATTCGTCCCTCAGCTTCAAACATAATACCTGCATTTATGATACGTAGTAGAGGCTAATAGGAACATAAGATACGCTCGAAAGAAGACCAAGGTACATCCAGCTTGCCTTCCACCATCATGGCAGTCGCTTACACATGTCGTGTCCCAAACTATATACTGTATCCCAAGGCTCAGATCAAATTAAGTGTTTTTGGTGGCAGCATGTATTGATGCACACGTAACCAGCCTCTGTTTAACTAGCAGTAAGTAGGAACCCGGTTGTTAGTCGATTGGCGGATCGCTTTTTTGGAGGTAATAATTCCTTTAAAAAAATAATAAATTGGCCATTCAATTCACGACTGTTTGTGGGACACTGCTGTGCGCAATTGGCCGCCACGTTTCGTCCACAATATATAGTCAATTCACTTTACAGTATATTCTGTGAAGTGCTTTGAGATGTCTCAAAGTACTGATAAGGCGCTATATTAAATGCAAGGACTATTTTCTCAAATCTTAAGCGAGATGCTTAATTATACCTGTGTAGATAATGGAGAAACCTTGCAAGCTCGTGTGGAGTCCACACAACCCGCAGTGGAACAACCATCAACTGAGAAAGCAGGGAAAGAGCTTTGTCACAAGGAGTCTGCCAAACAACAGGCATCCTCCTCTGAAACAGACAGCTCAAAGAAAGACCCGGAAACTGGTGACGGCATCAAGGTCAGTTTGTAACGAACCACTGCTTTACCAAAAATCTGGTTTAAAACTCTGCGGCTGATTTTGAGTTTCTGAACAAACATCATCATCGTGTGTGTTGATGGATGTAAAGGTTGTGGAGCAGATATAAATTTGGAACCTGCAGATGGAGCATCATTCTACTTACCTGAGTTTTCTCGTTTCATTTGGTCCCCCTCCCTGGTCTCCTGCACCCCTGCACTGAAGGGGTGCAGTTCCCATTCGAGTGGCTGTACTTCACGTGTGAGCTGTAGATGACAAGTAATTGGCAGGCTGTTCAGCTATGGGAAGCCATCACAGCTTAAGCCCGATCCTGATTCTTGCGTAACATTCACACACTCGCTTTCTAGAAAGGATTCCTGGATCGTGATCAGAAACAGGAACGCTGGGTCTCTAGCCAAGGTCAATTATAACCCAATTACTGCCTCAGCTGAAATACAGCTAATTCAGTGATTCAAGCTTGCAGCCTTTATGCTCTTCATGGCTTCATGGCTTGATAGCTTGACCAGGTTAGTATCAGGGAAGCGGGTAAAGTGAATCTTAAGTTTAGGTGATGGAAAAGTGATGCAAGTGATTACATTTTATTTTTTTAAAACAATTGAAAACAGAAAAGAAATGAGAAAAGGAGGAGACAACATGAAAGGAAGAATTCTCAAAAGCGAAGTAAATTTGCACAGATTTCCGATATGGAGGAGCAAGTGGCAAAACCTGCCGCAGACCAGGTGGGAGAGCTGTGTCCTGGGTCTATTAGTGTGCGTTGTCAGGATCAATACTTTGAGAAAGCGACTTTCACATCGGGAGAGCGTACCAAAGTGCTTTGGAGGATTCACTCTTAAAGTGTACTAACTGTATTTTGTAGGCCGACATGGATCCAAGGAGAGGTGGAGAAATAAGAGCTGAGGTGTCAGAATTACAAGTTGAAAGTAGGGACCTTGGTGCTTCTCAGGGTAATACGAGCCAGAGAGAGGACACAACCAAGCAGATGACCGATAACAATCAGTCAACCAGCTGCCGCGGGAGCAAAGGAGGCTCGGTGCAAGAAACTCACAAAGGCAGTCAAACCGAGGTAACAAGAGCAAAGTGGGATAATTACGCAAGTATCTTCAGTCCTAAATGTTCAGCAAAATAAGATCGAGGTGTAGGAGTGTTGTATCAAATGTAAACCCGCTGGAAAACTCGTACATCGTCATTCAGACAACTCCAGGGTTGTGTTCCAGAGTTTAGATTTCTAAGTTACCTGAGATTCAACTCCACCAACTGCAGACTCCTTTAATTTGTTCAGTTCACTGTGAGGATTTCCAAATGCTGTGTGTCTTCTGTGAAGGGAGGAAAGGGTGTCATAAGGAATTATAGCAAGAGAAGATATCACAGCAGAAAAAATCCGTATCATAGAGACAGATACAGAGATCACTCTATAGAACACCTATTTTGCAGTATATTCCATGGTTTCCCCCATATTTACTTGGTGATTTTTCAGTGTGCATGACCACATGTATTCAGATATTTGACGAGAACAGGACACTGGACCTCATTTAAGAATTGGCTGAATGTTGTGATGGTAAGACTGAATGATGGTGCTTGGAAGGATGAGATCAAATGGGCCAAATGGATTTTTCACATCCAAGTAATTTCCTTCCCGATAAGCGTTGCTTGTACTTAATTACGGTGACAGTATTGGGTTGCTTTGCCGACTTGTTCATATCTGTGCTGTGGTGGGGTTTTGTGATGTAATTTAACAGTTGGGAGACCACAAAGCTTTTTGTGAAATATTCATGCAGGGTGGAACCAAAACGGAAGACAACAAGAATGTTTCTGAAGCAAAAGCAAAGCAGGAAGACAAGAAACAATCTAGTGATCAGAAGTGAGTGTTTTACTAATAGTGTAAGATGGTTGACTTTGTTCTGAAGTGAAGAATGATTGTTTGTTGAATATCTTTTTACTTTGAAGAGAGACATTTCAGTGGCTTGAAGTAACAATCAGATGTTAGCAAAATTCAGGGTGTCATTTCTGTAAAAAGGGAAATTATTTTACGATCCAGACATCTCAAATTATTGTTTTAGTCCACGATCCCAGCAAGTAAAATAGATTATAAGGGAACAAGTTAATTTGTTCGCAGTAAGTTTAAGAAGTAGTTGTGGGATTCAGTCTTTTTTTTAACGCTGTTAATAATGGCACATTATTTGTTGGGCATTAAAATCTTCTCAGTAAAATGCATTGCTGCCCATTGGATTTGCATTGACAGTATTAATTATATAATTAAGAAACTGTCATTGATCCTAACCCTGATTTTGATTGCATAACCAAGGGCACCTGTAAGTCCATCTGTACACATAGTTTACACATTGTGTGTAACATACCCAATGGCAGGAAATGTATAGTTTTAAATAGTTCTGCAAAATGCTAACTCACGTAAAATAAAAATACAGTTTTACACCCATTTACATTTGCTCATTGTAACTTGCTCAAATTTGGGTAACAAGTACCTTTTATTTTACTTTTTCTTTTACAGTCAAACAGCAACTAATCCTTATCCATTGGTACCAGATATGATCATTATTCACGTCCATGTAATGCTTCCAAAAAGAATTCGCTTTAATGAAAATTGTGACATCTTGTTGATATTAGATGAAGGTGGAAGCATAGAAGTTACAAACTGTTCTGTCCGGTAAGATCAAACATGAATATACTTAATCCATAAAATAGGTTATCCAAATGCAATCTTTATTCTTTTCTCCTTCCTCCTCCTCTCCTGAAAGTTCTGACTTGTGCTTGATGTTCAATGTGAGATGGAAAGACACCAGTAGTAAAGGAATCAATGGGAAGGTGCAAAGAGTGGGGCAATGGGATGAAAATATCTGCCAAGATCTAATAAACTGCAAGAAGAGCCTCAATGGGCTGAATGGCTTCTTCTTGTTTTCCTATGTTGCTACCTTTCAACAGGTGCTGGGTTCCTCAATTCTGTGTTTGCCTTTCAGAAACTATCAGGATTGTGGATATCTTATACAAGGACACTTGTACGTAGGTCTTCATGTCAAGGGAGCAAGTATTCCCTATTGGTATGGCGTAAGGAACAGAGGTGAATTCATTCAAGAATCTGCTTTACGGCATTTACAAATACCTTCTGATCTAACGGAAAACGGTAGGAAAATTAACAATAATGGATTGACATTGTTTCTCTGTGGCTGACAAACATATAAGTCACAGAAATCGCTGGGAACACTCAGCGGGTCAGGCAGCATCACTGTAGAAAAGAAAGTGGGTCAACGTTTTGGGTTCATGATTCTTCGTCAGAATTGGGGGATGTTGAGAGAGAGAGATTTTAAAACCTTAAAGCCTGTTTCCAGCATCTGCAGTATTTTGCGTTTTAAACATATTAGTCAGTTAAATTGACATCAAAAGAGCTCCACTGCCATTGAAGGGGAAAAGTAGTTTACTTTTTAAGTTCTACTCTTCCACTCCACACCATAAAATGTTTGTTAATAATATCTCCTATCTAAGAGAAGCTAATTACTGTTTATGTTAAAAAAAATCAGCTCCAACCAGACAGGGCAAGTTTATTGATCCTACACAATAAATGATAGCCAACTGGAGACAGATTTGAGGACTGAAATTCAGATTGATGTTCTATGTAGCCCCAGCATCTCATTGTGTTCGGATGTTTATGTTCTCTGTGTTTTTATTTTAAGAATGGCACCAATATGATGACATCGCACACTTTCCAGAATCGCGATTTTTTTCAAACTTCAGGACATTTTGGAGCAACCCAGCAGAAAAAATTGTTCATATGAAGTGTGAAGCAGGCAGAATTATGCTGCAGACTATCTTTGAACTCCTCTGCGATCTGAATAATGAAAGAATCAAACAATTTTTGACACAACTGAGGCAGTTTCAGCATTGCTACCAGACATCAACGCAACGCGGATGGTATCCAGATGTGTCAGTAATCAATTTTAGTGAAACACAGGTACATTTTCTCAAAATCTAATAAAAACGTGTGGGTTTCTTTAAGAATGGCATCATTATTTCATAGAATCATCGAATATTACAGCATAGAAGGAGGCCATTCGGCCCATTGTACCTGTACCGGCTCTTTGGAAGAGCTACCCAATCAGTCCCACTCCCCCGCTCTTTCCTCTTCAACCGTGCCTTCAGCTCCCCTCTCGACTCTCTACCCCCTCCTCACTCCCTCCCTTCCCTCCCCTCACCCTGACCATTTCCCCCAATGCTCGGGTCCCGACCCAACTGTCCAGTGCCTTGGGAAGTCCTCCCGACGCGAAAAGCGCTCTATAAATTAAATCTTGTTGTTGCTGTTGTCTTGTTGTTTCCCCATTTCCTTTTCCTTTTCAAGTATCAATCCAATTCCCTTTTGAAAGTTATTATTGAATCTGTTTCCACCACCCTTTCAGGCAGTGCATTCCACACTCTCTGTGTAAAAAAAATTCTGCCCATCTCCCCTCTGGTTCTTTTGCCATTTGGGTTTGAACAGAACTGATTTAAAAGAGCACGTGTTCTGTTCCTTTCACACTTTGCACAGAATGGCCACTCTGAATGGGCCATGTAACACGTTCCAATGTTGAAGCTGAAATGGTTTACAGCAGGACATTATCACGGCTTTCAGTGTTTGACGAGAGCGCTACCTGATTGTACTCAGTTTTACATTTCCCGAGATTCTGCTGATAAAGATTGCTGTACTCCAGCGCTTCGATGCTGCTCTTAAGCTTAAAAAACAGCAAACCATTCCTTATCAAAATCTGTTACAAACATTCAACTCCCTTGTCATCTGAACTCCTTCACTTCCTGGTATCTGATTTCTGGATCCATTACTTGCATAACTTCAAGAGCTTTTTGCTTTCCTTCGCAAACACAGGTTAAAGAATTGATCTGTGAGCAACTGAAGAGGTTTCTGGCTCCTCATACTCAGGTGGAAGCTACGAAGAAAGCAAAGTCCAACGTAATTGTGAAGAACCGGTTTAGAGATGCAATCTTGGCATTTCAGATCCGGAACAATTGCTCTCTGCAGTTAGATAAAAGTGTCATAGCAAACATCTGTCACATGCTGCAGCTTCCTCAGAAAAGGACAGATGACATTCTTCAACACCTGGAAGAAGCTGGGAAGTTATTCTCACCTTTTTCTTAGTAGGTTCAATAATAATCCTTATTTCGTCCTAAACATCGCACGGCACTTCACTTAAACGAACCGTTTTGACATGTAGTGAGCTTTTCTTCCTCATTAAATTTCAGGATTTACAACATTTAAACAACCTTGCGACAAGAACACACGCTAGTTTTTTTTTGTCATTTGAGCCCTTTCACTTCCTGGCATCAAACACCAGAGGATTTTAGGTCCGTTCTTTTAACAGGATGGGTTCCCACAGGAGGCTGATTAGTACCTGATTGGCAATTAAAAAATTAGTTCTGTTCAGTTTTTACATTCCACAAGTCCTGTAGCCCTGAAAGCTGATCCGAGGCAGCACTTTTAAGAAGTGCAACTTGACGAGCCATTGGCAATTTCTCTTTCTGTCTTAATTGAGAACCAGTTGCTCCCCGAATGTGTTTAACCAAAGCAAATCTGTGTAATTGTGTTTTTCAGTATATGCGTCGGACTGATCAATTATTGTATTCAAGAGGAAGTTGTGGAGTTGGTGCTGATCATACCTCTTCTTCACTGGTTCTTAAAACACCATCAACCACACGAAGCTGATTTTATGGGACGAGTAAAAGTGCTGCTTTTTGTAACAGAATAAAATCCCATCCAGACAAAAGAAGGTGACAATCGAAGTTTTCCCCCTTCCCCACCCGATATAACACATAACTCTAATTATCCTTAAGTCATTCCCTGCATGGCTGTTTGTGGGATGTTGCTGTGTGAAAATTGGCTGCCGCATTCATCTACAGAATGCATGGTCATTTTGTAGGAAATTCTGTGAAATGCTTTGGGCGAGCCCTCTTGACGTGAAAAGATACAATACAAAATTATGTTTGTATAGTGCCTTTCACGTCAGGAGGACGTTACAAGGCACTCGATGTCTCAAAGCGCTTCACAGAATATATAGTAAAGTGGATTGACTGTGTATTTTGCAAGGCTAAGAAGCTCAATGGCAAAGAAATGTTTGGTTTGCAGTTCAGTGAGGAATTTCAATTCGCCAGACCAAAAAACTGCTGTGTTTAGTCGCAGAAGAATTTCTTAACCGGAGACTAAAATGTTGTACTTTTAAGGTTTACTTGACAAGACATGTTTTACCTTTTCTTTCTCTTACGTTAGCAAATTGCTGGAGCTTGTCCAGAAAAACAAACCTCTTACGGAGACTGACCCCACGCTGGTCCAGAGCTGGCTTTCACTGATTGTGACCGAGGACATTCCAGAGTATGCAAAAGGCATGGAAATGCCCCTGAAAATGGTTATAATTGATCTGCTACACAGACTCGAAGACTATGAACAGAAAATGAACTCTCCAAATTTTAAATCCGATGCTCAAGACATTCAGGTTAGTCATATCAGAGTGTTTTAAATTAAACCTAAGAAAAATGGCAAGTGGCCTGACATTCTACCAGTCGTACTCTGTGAGTCGACAATACTTCATCTTACATCGGGCAGCATTGTGAAAATTTCTTAAAATTCAGTCTTGTTTTGGAAGTTGTAGCGCTTAAAAGAAAATTTCAAATTAAGACAAAATTTAAGAATTTTCCACAATTTTGCACACTCTTACATTTTCAGACGCAGTGGTCCAATCGGCTGCCATTAAGTGGATATTCAGGTTTTATAAGTTGAGCCATAAGGCACCCAGTGTAGACATCACAATTTTGTCCTTTAACCTTTTTCACCGCAACACTTCCAGAGCAACCCTAACAGATAGGATGGGATGGTCCTAGTTGGACAAGCAGCGGTAAGCTTTCCAACTTCGAGTTCAAGAAGCCGGAACCCGAGTTTATGAGACCTGATCTATTTGGGTTTCTTGTGGTTGAGTGGATCTCACAAGATAAAGCTCTGAAGCTTAACAATACATAATTTTCAAGTACATTCGGGGGCAGAGAATCCTGTGTTGCACTCAGAGGGATGCATGGTGGTGGGGATCTTATTAGCACAAAGGGAAATCACATTTCAAGACCAATGTAACATGATCACAAAAGGTTTGCTTTGCATCGTTCACTATTGCTCTTGATTTTTTTTCTTCAATAAAAGTGTCTTCTTACTCACAGGCCTTTGGAAAAGTCATCTTGTACGTTAAAGATGTGATGGGTCAACAACAAGAAAGGTATGCTTGGTGTCCTACTTCCCAAAAGCACCTTTTAGTCAAAAGAATGGCCATCAAAAATGCAAAGATAATCTATATAAATACTTATTTACAAAATTACAGACTGATGCCCATACTTCCACCTCATAGTAGCCTGTAAGACCATTGTGTCTTTACATTTTAATATTATGATAATAATCCTTGCATTTGATATATCACCTTATCACACCTTTGTGATGTCTCAAAGCGCTTCACAGAATATACTGTAAAGTGAATTGGCTGTATATTTTGTGGGCGGACATTAGAATGTATATTTTGTGGACGAATATTGCACAGATTTTGTGGAAAATTCTTAGATTCCGTCTTAATTTGGCCGGTTCTTTTTAATAACTACAGAAAACCGACCTCCAAATGAAGAATTTTCCCAATTCTGAATAGTTTTCAATTATAAAATAAAACCAGTTGAACAACCTCAAGTGTTTCATAATGATATGTTTTCTATGAATGTTTGACAACCACAAATGGAAATTTGCTGTTTATTGTGGGGTTAACCTCTGCTTTAGTGTGCACCTTCAATTTGTTAAAATACATTAACCACATACACAGTTAAATGTTATATATTAAAATTGCTGCCAATTAGAATACATTTTAATTGACTCATATTTATTTATGCTCTTTTATTTTCTGTTTCACTGAATTGACGATTTCATACCAACAATACAGGTCACTTTAAGTACATATGAGAGAAGTTAACAGTTGAAATTTGCTTTTTGCAGATTCAATGCCTCTGAGATGAAAGAAACTGACCTGAAATTGGGCAGTAAGATTCATGAAATTACCTGCCGACTGGTTAAAGGGATAGCATTGTTCAAAGTTCCAGAAATTTCATTTCAACTTGTAATGGATATTGCTGAGAGAATTCAAATGTTCTTAACAAAGGTAAATTTCAAATGAAAACCAATGTGAAGTACGAAACATAATAAGAGAGGGGCTTTTTTATTTAACCTTTTGTTCAGCAAGCGATTAATTTTATTCTCTAGAATCCCAGGTTCCTTCGCAAATTGGAATCAAAACCTGATCACATTATCAGAGTGTAAAATTGATATTTTGAACCACTTTTTTTTCTCAATTTTTTTCTTTTGAAGCTGAAAGCGAACGACATGTAGTGCTGGAATCACTGGGCTAATTTTGCGTTATTGGCTCAGTGTGTGGGAAGCATTATTTGGGATTTCTGCTTTGCTGTCTAATTAATGCATTTGCAAAACTTCTAATTATGGTTTCTGACTTCTGCCAAAATACGAAGAAAGACCAGAGAACAAATGAAGTATTTCAAAGAAAGGTAACTGGATATCTTTGAAAGTAAGGATATTGGTCTATTAAACTTCGATTGTGGACTTCAACGGACAGTGTACTCAATTGTAGCATCAAAGTGCTTTAAGTCACGCAAAGATTTATTTTTCCCTACAGAAATCCCCAAATGACCTTTCTCAAGAAGAAAACCAGCTCCATGTTAATTTAAAATCTGCTGTGGAAGGTGCCCAAGATTGCCTCCGAACCTGGATAACGAAAGTTTTGACGACTGGGATGCTTTCCCGAAAGAAGGAAATCAAGCTCAATTGTGACAAGGAACTGGAGGTATTTTTGTGTTTGAAAGTAGAGCTAATGTAACACAATACAAAGCGTCTTGTTGACGAGACTTAGTTTTGCATTTCACCCGATAGAAAATTAATCCATCACTGTGAGGGACGGTGATCTATTGAAGGTGAAATTGTGTGTGTGTGTGTGTGTGGGGGGGGTGAGGGGTGTCGGGGGCTACTGCCTTGGTAGATTTAAGAGGTTCGCCAATGACTATATTAACTCTGCAGATGTGGAGTTGCCACTTGGCTATGGACTGTCGTGTTGAAGAATGGACCACTCAATGGAGAAGTGTGGCAGAAAATAACCTCACAAAAAGAATACAAAAGGTACTTTCTATTTACCAAGCAACTTCCTCCGAGCTGTGTCATTTAATAATTATCTTGCTCAGACTAAGCTTGCTAACGACAGCAAGGTGGTGTTTTTGTAGCGTGGGTCCATGGTGCATTTTCAAGCACTCTACCAGAAAATCTGATTGCAATGGTTAACGTTTGACCGTAAATTAAGTTTGGTCGATAAATGTGTCACTGTTTTTAGAAATGGGGTTATCCATTTTTGCTGTTATTTTCTTTTATCTGCAGGAAAACCCTTCTGACCAGATCGAAATCTACTGGAAAGAGAAGGAAAAGTTAATTGACATAAGCACAACCCTCGCCAACTGCTTTGAGACCTGTGCACTTAAAGCTGTCCCCCAACTCTGCCAGGTGAGTGATACCAGCGACAGAGCATATTTGGGAGATACAACTCGGCCCTTTTAAATTGCCACGTTTTCCTCTTTGTTCCATTTTCTTTTTTTCCGAGTCCGAAGCTATTTATTGAGCTCAAATTTTAGAATGACACCCAGGTGCAGTGTTGGGGGGGCACTGCAATGTTGGAGGGTACCATTCCTTAGATAAGATGTTAAACCAAGGTCCCGTTTGCCTGTGTGGGTGGACATTAAAGAATCTATAACACTCATTTAAAACTAAAGGATATTTCTCTGATGTACTGGGTCAAAAATGCTACAGATAAATTGATCATTCACTTTATGGCTGTTTGTGGGATCTTGCCATGTGAATATTGGCTGCTGCTTTTGCTAACAAATAACACGGGCCTTTTAATGGAATTTCCCATTACAGTTCAGGTAATGTTGAGTGGAATTGTCATCCAACAATTCATCGGATCACATTCCTAGTTTGGGAATACAATTGACTAAAATAAAGCAAATGATTTCAAACTTTTCCTGTTTTCTTCCAAATTGCAGAGCAAGAAGGAGGTGGAACTGCTTCTAAAGTTACGTCCCTGGGAAAACAAAAAAAATCCAAATATTTTATCCAAACTGATCGAAGAGTCCTGGCAGAGGCTGACCTCGAGCACCGATGGAGAGGTTGGGGACATTGGGTGTGTGCTCAGTTCAGATTCTGCCCTGCATTGCTGCCTTCTACAAGGTAATAATATGTTGGTGCTTATTTATTTATTTATTCTCTTCGACTGAGTAAATAATAGAGGAGGAAACAATAATACACAGCAGCCCTTAAAGTGAGCATTAAATCCGGGCTCAAATTGATCAATCTGCAAAGTCCTGCAATTTTGAGACCCTTCGTAATAATAATAATAATAATACTAACAATAATAATAATCCTAGCATTTGATATAGCGCCTTATCACGCCTTCAAGACGTCTCACAGTGCTTCACAGAATATCCGTAACCTTAATGTGTGGTTAAAATCGAATGCACATGCGATTGCATGCGATTGCCAGGACGGTGGAAGGCGACCTGGAAAGTTCTTAGTCTTCTTAGCAAATTTTTATGTTCTTGTAGTTGATATTTGGAAAACGTATGTTTGAAGTTACCATTCTAGTGCCCTCTAATGGAAGTTCAAAATATCACCTCTGCTTTTCCGGTTGTCCAATATCCACATTCTCTGGCATTCTTGCGAACAGCATTATTGTTGTTGGGGGGGTGGCTGGGTGGGTGGGTGGGTGGGTGGGGGGGCAATGTTCAATTCATTCATAAACAGTTCATCTTGGACTCTATTAAAGAACGCAGACGGATGATGCAGGAATGAGAATTGCTGCACAGATTTATTCCAATCCAATGCTCGTTAATGTAGTTATTATTAATAATAATAATACTTGCATTTGATATAATAATAATAATAATAATAATAATAATGATCCTTGCATTTGATATAGCGCTTTTCACGTCGGGAGGACGTCCCAAAGCGCTTCACAGAACACACTGTAAAGTGAATTGACTGTATATTTGTGGGCGAACGCGGCAGCCAATTGCGCACAGCAATGTCCCACAAACAGTCGTGGATTGAAAATGACCAATTTATTATTGTTTTTTTTTTGGAGGGATTATTATATAATCTCCTTATTGCAGCGTTGAGAAATCTCAAAGCACTTCACCGAACACACTGTAAAGTAGATTGACTGTATATTTTTGGGGTGAAATGGGTTAACATTACTTGTTCTAATATTACTTGGGTCTCGTAACTTACACTGGCCTATGATCTCAAGGTGACTGCAGTAAACTCAACGTGTTGGAAGAAGCAAGACGTCTGCTCACCAGGGCTGAGGACAGTTTTCACACGCTGGTTGAATGCCTATACGAAGGTTCTGTGAAGCTCGCTGATCTCAAGTTGGTACTGCAAACAAGAAAGGAATACATTGACTTATTTCAAGCACGTAAGTATTTAGTATTTACAGTGTAACATTCCCCTCTCTCTTAGCAGCACTACAAGTTTCTAATAAACAGCACTAGTGGCACTTAGCAGCAATGATGTGTCGTTAGCAGTGCAGAGTCAGGTTTTGCAACCAGATGGGGTGACAGACCATTAATGGAGTCACATTCCCATCGCTCTCCACAATCTCCCCCCCCACCCAATTACCCTCTCCCTGTGACCCCCGCCCCTGATGTTAGTGGTTACAGTGCAGTCCACCTTTGCTTCAGTGCTTGTCTGAATTATATGCCCTGGTGTGGAAACCAAAGTGGATAATTGATTATTTACTTAAAGATAAGTGCCAAAGTAGGCCTGAAAAAAACTCCTTCAAACTTTTTTGCATTTTAAATGTATTAATAATAATCTTTGCATTTAATAACATGAAAGCGGTTTTTCCCCGACTTGCGCTGCTATACATTGAAGCCCGCACTTGCTTTGCAGAGCAAAAGATGCCAGTAAGCCGGGACAAGTGCTTCTTTCAAGTTGACGTCGAAAGTCTTTTGACAAGGAGACAGAAAGAATACGAAGCCCTTTTGCGTGAAAAGGAATGCACTGGAACACTTATAAAAATGATCAATAAAATTCACGAGAAAATTAAAGGTACAAAACTTATCACATAACAATAATAATTACTAATAATAATCATCCTTGCATTTGATGTAGCACCTAATAATACGTTTTGATATTGTAAAGGTCACCTGCCAAAGCAAAAGGTTGCAGGTGACTTAGAATGAAATTGGTTAAATCTGGAATTTTTCTAAACCCTTTAAGTTGTTGTAGATTCGACTTAAAACAAATGCTGATCAAGTAATATTGGCTGCTGCCTGTTTGCTTTGCAGTCACCGACACTGCGTTCTTTGAAGAAAAATACAAGGCAAACATTCAGGCCATGAGACTCAATGAGCTCGTCAGAACGAAACGCTGGACAAAGGACGAAGCTGAAAATAAGAAGGTCGTTCAAGTGATGCATTTTAACCTGAGCAGTGATATTGCACTCATGGCAGATAGAATGCATGAACATAAAGAGAGCAGCGTTCTCCTAAAATTCTGGGTGGAGGCTTCTGAAAAATCTTACCACGATGAACTAACTTTGGAAGATCTCCAGGATTCGATCTGGGATGTTTGCTGGAACAATTATGAAAACCTTTGCCATAAAATTGCAAAGGGCACGGTAACGTTCCAGGAGGTTGACAGGATGTTCTTGGAACTCAGTCAATGCCCTGCTGATATTAAGACCGAGATGGACATCATGTCCAAAGGGACCACAGATAAAGGCTGGACAGAAAAACGATGGAAACAAATCAAAGAATATTATGATCTTCATTTAGCTGCTGAATCTGCGGAAGTCATTCAGGACATTGTGAAGAAGTTAGAACTACGTGGAGACTTCACAACAATCCAGAACATGACCAAAATAGTACGTAAATGAATCTGAAAGTCATTCTGTCTTGCCCCCTCCTTCCCCTCTTTTAGATCACGGCTGAAAACCTTCGACTTTGATTGTGCTTACGGTCACCTCCTTCCTCCCATGGCTCAGGGTTGGGCTCCTCCACTGTTAAGTGCTCTGAGACGCTGCCCCACGAAGGGCGCTATCTAAACGCAAGATGTTGTTGTAATTTTACACGCATGCAGTTAATTTGCAAAAAGGCATCCTGTGGCTCCAACCCTCCCCCCTTCTCCCCACCTTGAAAAACTTTTGAAACAACTATGACATTCTTCCTAAATGTGTTTTTTTTTAGCTTTTCACACTGGTCTTTTATACTCTCAGCACTTGAATTAATGGTAGTTGATAGTGAATTTCCTCTTTTAGAAGTAAGGCCCGTTATACTAGGATTGAAATCTAAGCAAATAAACACAGTCACCTTTACTGAGAGCAAAACACAGTGACGTAGATGACACAGTGACTTGGTCATGAAGTAGAGCAGAGTAATTGATTGTCTGCAGGGAACAACTTACCAGATTAACTACAACAACAAAATTAATTTATTTAACATTTTTCACGTCGGGAGGACTTCCCAAGTCGCTGGAAACATGTGTTCAGTGTAAACAGTCTTTACCTGCCACCTTTCTGAAATCACTGCTTTCCTTTTATTTAGAATAAACCTTCCTTCAAGGAAAAAACTCTAGATTACATTGACAGATCCTTACTGCAAACAAAACAGCGATTGGTGAAAATGAATCCAGAGTGCAGAAAGTGCTTAGAGGAATTCATTCGGTGTCAAGAATTTATAAAATGGGTGAAAGAAGCTTTGATCAGTAAGTATAACTATTAATTTTTTTTGGGGGGAGCGAATTTTAATGCAGTTTCTTTCAATTACTGGGAGTAATTGTTATCATTCTTCCTGTATCTTTCTGTCCCAGACTTAAAGGAAGTAAAAGTGTTTGTGGACCTGGCTTCCATATCAGCCGGAGAGAATGACATGGAAATCGATCGAGTCGCCTGCTTCCACGATGCTGTGATGGGCTATTCCCCTTTCATTTATGACCTGCAACCAGATACGGATTTGAACCAACTAATAGGTTGCGCGGAAAAAGTCTGGAAGGCATTGAAGAATGATCAAGGCCTGACGGTTAAACTGGTAATCACTTTTACAATAATTCAATATCTTCGATCATGAAAGAGAATGGAGAGAAGAAGATTTTCGTTTGCACAGAGGGTTGTTAGACTACCGACTACTGATTGTCAAATGCTGAGTCAATGACAGCATTTTCGAGGCAATTTTTTTTTGGTCAGAGGAGGTCTGACTTAAGAGTATCCAAACCAAACTGAGAATTTCATGCATCCCACTTCCGCATGGAAACTCCAGCGATGGATTGTTGGAATGGAATATGCACTAAATTGGAATAAGTATTTTGGGGGAAATAGTAATGATAATGTGGAAAGGGCCAAAAGAATTGAAGATTGGAATAGATAGCTCCAGTAGGGTAGACAGCACCAGGATAATAATAATAATACTTGCATTTGATATAGCGCCTTATCATGTCTTCACGACGTCTCAAAGTGCTTCACAGAATATACTGTAAAGTGAATTGACTGTATATATTTTGATAGACATGATGGACCCCAATGACTTCCTTTGGCTGGAAACATTCCACAATTGTATGATTTTATGGCATGGAATCTGCAAAATGGTTTTGCTTTGAAGAGTCAACTTGGTGCCGTTTAACCAGAAGGTTGAAACTATGAGTCAGACTCACATCTGTAATCAGGCAGCCTTCCTTGCTAGACATGCCCATGGTTGGAAATCTGCAATAGGACTGGCAGACAGATGGGTAATCGCTGAAGGGCATTTTTCTCAGCTTGAACGTGTTATCTGGAAGAATGGTTGAAACCAGGACAGTGTCTTCTTTTTAACAAGAGGATTGACGTGATAATGGAGAGACGGTAGGGTTGATGTTCTAAAAGGATGAGATCAAATTGGCTGAAGTCCCNTTTTTTAAATCTGAATCTACCTTGCGATTGACCCAGGTTATCTAAAAAGGCCAGATAATAGGGGTCGTAGCACGGGATGAGAAGGGTTTGGGTAAACCTTTAACTCTTTGCTGTTGCAGGGAGACTCAGCCCGTTATTTGGAATGGCTGAAAACCCTGAAGGAGAGTCACGGATCTGTGGAAACATCTTCCCTCTCCCTAGCAGCTGCCATCAACAGCAAAGGAGTTTACACAGTGGGCAACAATGGGCGATTGTGTGACAAAAAGGTAAGAACGCAAGAGCAGCCAGTTAGGAAAATCGGCCGTTTCTTAACCTCGGCCTTGAGGAACTCCCTGTACAATCTGGTCAATTCTTGGGGGCGGGTGATAATAATAATCCTTGCATTTGATATAGCGCCTTATCACATCTTCGAGACGTCTCAAAGTGCTTCACCGAATATACTGTAAGGTGAATTGACTGTATATTTTGTGGGCAAAACACGGCAGCCAATTAGCACAGCAGTTAGACATTGGATTGAGCATGAGATTGTACCAACTTAAATTTTAAGAGAAAATGGCCTGAAGCCTAAGACTTGTGGACTTTCTGCCCACCAAACAGCTACTGAATCGGTCATTTCTTGTCTCTTGTTCGGGTCACTGTTGCACTGTATTTTTAACCTTGTTTAAGGTGTCGCTTGCGAGCATCCTTCGTTTGTCTCTATACGACGAGAACACCAAAGAAGCTCGGGAATACACACTGGAGGAACTGCAGGAATTGCTGAACAAGTTGATGCTGATGTCCGGGAAGAGAGCGCGTGGGAAGGAGGAAGTTGCCACATTTATGGAGGTGAAAATGATCTGAAATGAGAACATCTGTAAAAGAATAATTAAAGCCTTAACAATTAATCGCTCATTTTATTTTACTGACGTGAAGCGAATTGGGCTGAAACTCCATGTGCTTATAAGAAGCACATTATAACAGGACTGCAATGTACTGAATTTAAGAAATTTCCCCGATTCAACTTAGTCTCAAATTTTAGCCAAGAGCTGGTGGGATGATTTCAGGCTATTTATTTGTCCATCTTAATGCTTAGAGCATCATTTAAGTCATCATCGTAAATTATACTGCACGTTTCTCTCGGTATAGAGGTCAGATGCAATCCTTTGGTATTGCATTATTCATCTTTTTTTTATTTTTAACAGAATTTCAGTAACGTCCAAAGACTTGGAAAAGCGTTTATTGAATTGTACTCCTCCGGAAACATGCTTTATAGAAATTGGAAGGCATTCGTACACTGTGATGCAAAGAGTGAAGTATGCATAACAATGGACTTCAGTGCAGAAAACATTGGACTCCTGACTGTGGATGGAAATCTCTCTGAGCAGCTGGAGATCTTGTGCAGAGCGATGGAACTGTGCCTTGAGAACTGGTACAAGTTCATGAAGGAGACCAGAGCGAGGTTCTACAATCTGAATTACTACACGGCAGAGCAGATTGTGTATCTGTGCACCGAGCTCGGAGCTCTCTCTGCGAGGAAGCCCTTACCTGAGCAGGTGATGGTTATGCTGTCCTTCGTTAAACCTGACTGCACCGTGGAGGACGTGAGATGGGCAACGCCTCAGTCAATGGTGCAGAATGAAAGTTCTGAAGAGGCGGATGAAGACGTGGAGGTGGAGGTGGTGGAGGTGGAGGTGGGTGAGGATGAAGAGGTGGAGGAATATAGTGACACTGAGTTAGAAGCGTATAAGTGTGACTCTGATGATGTGGACCCATGTTTATCAGAGTGCAGCCTTTCTCCTCAGCCATTCCGTTTGGATCATTGCAAGGAGGTGACTGAGGAAATGGAATTCCAACAAATGCAGCCGCCAGACACTCAAGGCGAAGAAACGTCCAACTCCCAGTCACCGGACATGTCTTCCCGTCCAAGTGCACGTCTGCTTCACAGCCAAAAAGCAGCAGGCCTCTCTGAAAAGATTGCCGCCATTTGGGAGACCTTCATGAACGATATGACGGTTTTCTTAGCGGGCAATTTGGATGTAACTAATCTTGGCGAGCTCCTGAACGATCTCTCGGGTTTGAATAAAATCTCCGTCACTCGCCATCTTCCTCCATCCCTGTATCAGGGGAGACCCAACCTGGTGGTTTGTGCAGAGCCTGAGGTCTTCCGATCAGCTCTCTGCCTTTACACACAGAGCCCAAAGCAGCCATTGCCGACCTACGATGAAGTCCTAGTGTGCTCAGAGAAAACCACTTACGAAGAAGCGGAACTGTTTCTGAGGAGAGCCTTGAGCAGGGGGTCTTGCGATCAGAAAATTTACACGCTGATCCACGCTGATCGCCTGACATATGACGCCAGCGTGAGATTTGGGGACCTCTTTGAGGAACTAAAGCACCAGTCTAATTGCGAGTATCAGTTTGTGGTGATCTGTGATGCTAAGCGCCAGCACTGCTACATCCCGTCGTACTTCAGCTGCTACAAAGTACATATAGGACTGAACGTTAAACCAGAAAACATTCAGATGTACCTGCAATACCATTTCACTGTGCCAAAAGAGCGCGACTCTGCAGCTCGGGTTTTCCACGATAGACTTTCAGTCCGAATTGTGTCATCAACAAGACCTGGAGTGGGTATGTAACTAATATTATTTCAATTGAAATTGGAACTGAATCTATCAAATTCTTTCGGTTGTGTAAATATCTTTCAAAGACTACTTTGCAATACCTGCCCTCACACCCTCCCTGATCCCAACCCTCCAGCTCTGGTCCAAATCCCAGATTGTCCAGGGCCTTGCGACGTCTTCCCAATGTGAAAGACGCTATAGAAATGTAATTTTGTATTGTATTGTAAATCCCCAACATTGTTTCTGTGCAGGGAAGTCTCTCTATGTTGATCGACTTCATGAAAAGCTGCTGGAGCGTTACCCTGGAGGCCACGATGCTCTGAATCGAATCCGATTAATCGAACCAGTTATTGATGAAAACCAGCTCGTTCAAAAGCTGACCCCTCCTTCAGGACAGCCGAGAATATTCCACATTGACGCAGCACCTGTGCGTAACTAGGAAGCTCATTGTTTTGCAGGCGTTTGGGAGAATCTTCTCTCTGCAAATGTGGCTCAACATGTGGGGTCCAAACAGTTTGAGGCAGCAATAAATAAGGCAAATAGGATGCTGGGATGTTGTTTAGTTGTGTGTTACAAATATAGAGTTGCTGCGATTTACTTAAAAAATGCTCCGTGGAGCACTTTGAGATGTTTCAATGCGATGAAGCTCTACATCAAATGCAAGGATTATTATTATTATTAAATCAGTTCAGATCCCTGGCAAACTTTCTGAAACTCCACAGTCGAGCTTCCCCAGGCCCCAGAGGCAGTGCAGAGAAGAGAAACGAGATTGATCTCCTGTGTTGGAAGGTAGAACAATGAGGAGTGATCAGATAAGATAGGGTTCTTGAAAATGGATTTCTGAGAGTGGGACTTATAAAGTTAAATGCAAAATAGAAAGTAAACGCAGATTAATATTTTCAGCTACACCAAGGCAGCGACAAATGGTTCAGGTTTGTGGACAGCAAGTTTAGGACATGTCCCAAGAAGTATTTCCTTACAGAGAGAGTAATCGACAGCTGGAACAGGTCACGAGGACACTGAATTAACTGATATAAAAATTAGGTTGACAACGCAATGGGAGGAAGGTGGAGCTCATGTTCGGGAACCATAAAATCAGCTTGGCCAAAGGACCTCCATCTCTCGTCAACTTTTGAAGATCGGTCCCCACGGGTATTTGCGAAGCCTCAATTCTCTAGTTAAATGTAATTTCTTCTGAGATAAAAATTAAATCTTGGTTAATATTGTAAAATAAATCAAGTCTGCCCTTGGTGTTTGATGGCTGCCTTGGTATCCCATGCTTGAGTTCATCTTTGTGACTTTTTTTTAAGGTGAGGAAAAGATTGGAAGAATTCCTTTTCAAGATTCTTATCCTGGGATTCCTAAAGAACAGCGCGGGGATGATTTGGAAGCGTAGTGAGACTCATCTGCACATTGTGGAGCTCCTCAATAGTAATAAACACCAGCCCCAACAGGTGGATTTTGTTGCCGTACTTTTTAAAGCATTCATTCATTCATTCATTCATTCATTCATTCATTCATTCATTGACTGACTGACTGACTGACTGATTGATTGATTGTGAAAGGTGTTTCTCATTATCATTAGTCATATGAACCTTTTACAGACGTCAAACTGGGAACACTAAAATTGCGTTTAACCATTGTCCCTTCTCTCTCATTCCACTTCTCACAGGCAAACCTGGGACTTCTAGGAATTCTACCAACCGTTCACTGTCGGACACCACGAGAGGTCCGTGTCCTTGAATTAAGGAAGCGTCGACACGAACTCCCCAATTCATTGGATCCCCTGATGGACAGGAAAGAGTTTCACAGTGAAGCCATCCAGAGGCCGTATCAATATCTCCGCAGATTCAGCAAGGGTTCAAACCTCGATGAGTTCACACACCGGAAAGGCAGCATTGAAGAAGATCCCGTGGAATGTCTGGTCCTGTTTTTACAGTACTGTGGGCTGAGGGACCCGTCCTGGGCAGAGCTACGGAACTTTTCCTGGTTCCTAAATCTTCAGCTAAAAAGCTGCGAGTCGTCCATGTTCTGCAACCCTACCTTTGTCGGAGATACCCTTGTTGGCTTTAAGCTATTCATCGTGGAATTCATGATCGTCATGGCTCGAGATTTTGCAACCCCATCCATGAGCATTTCAGATGAAAGCCTGGTCCTCTCCAACCTCTGTGAGGATGAAGACCTGCTACCGTATATACTGAGGAAAAGGTGGGAGACTCAATCTCACCCTTACATATTTTTCAATGCGGACGGCTTCTCCATGACGTTCCTTGGCTTCCACTTGAGAAAGAATCGTGGCGGTGACTTCAACGCAGTGGATCATCACACCGGCGAGGTCCTGAGGGGAAATGTCATGAGTTCCCAGCTTCACCACGGGCTCACCCTTCAGACAATCCAATTCAATGAGGATTTCGATGGGCTTTCTAGGGAAGTTAAAATCAGGAAGCTCTCCCTGGTGCTGGGAGTCACAGACGCGACGGACCCAGATACGACCTATGAGCTGACTGCGGACAACATGATGAAAATGCTTGCCATACACATGCGTTTCCGATGTGGCATCCCTGTGATCATCATGGGTGAGACGGGCTGTGGGAAAACCAGGCTGATTAAATTCCTCTGCGATCTGCAGAAAGGCAAGCGGGAAACGGAAAATATGAAGCTCGTCAAAGTCCATGGAGGAACGACAGCACAGGCAATATATGCAAAAATTCAGGAGGCAGAGAAGATGGCCATTCTCAACAAGGAGCGACACAATTTGGAAACGATCCTGTTCTTTGACGAAGCCAACACCACGGAGGCCATTTACGCCATCAAAGAAGTTCTCTGCGATAAAACCATCCAGGGCAGAGCAATGAAATGCCACACGGGGTTGAAAATAATAGCAGCCTGTAACCCATACAGGAAACATTCGGAAATAATGATCAAACGACTGGAAATGGCTGGGTTGGGATATCGTGTTAAGGCAGAAGAGACCGACGATAAACTGGGGAAAGTCCCTTTGAGACAGTTGGTATACAGAGTTCAGCCGTTACCACCAAGCATGATTCCACTGGTATGGGACTTTGGACAACTCAGTGACTTGGCAGAAGTAGCTTACACAAAGCAGATTGTGCAAAGGTATATCCAGAATCATCATCTTCCCTTCAGTTGCACTCAAGACATAGTCAAGGTCCTTGCTGTCTCACAAATGTTCATGCGGCAGAAAAAGGATGAGTGCAGTTTTGTGAGTCTACGGGATGTAGAGCGTTGCATGAAGGTTTTGGTGTGGTTCTATGAGCAAAGAGAACTCCTTTTCAATTACCCAAGCCCAAATATTAATCTCTTGCAAGCTCTGATGCTAACAGTAGGCGTGTGTTACTACCCTTCACTTGTGCACAAGGGAAAGTATTTAGAAGCCATTTGCCATTATTTCCCTGAACCTTATAATTCCCCCGCTGCAATCCTGAAAGAAATTGTAAGTTGTCAAGACCGTTTTCTGCGAGACATAAAAATGAGGGAAACCATAGCTAAGAATGAGGCCTTGAAAGAGAATGTTTTCTTAATGGTCATCTGCATTGAGCTCAGAATCCCGCTCTTCCTCGTCGGGAAACCCGGCAGCTCCAAATCTCTGGCAAAGACTGTTGTGTTGGACGCCATGCAAGGGCAAGCTGCCCACTGCGATTTATTTAAGCACCTGAAACAAGTCCACATGGTGTCCTTCCAGTGTAGCCCCCACTCAACCCCGGAAGGAATCATCAACACCTTCAAACAATGCGCCCGTTTTCAACAGGCCAAGAACCTGCAGGAGTACGTTTCTGTGGTGGTCTTGGACGAAATCGGCTTGGCTGAGGACTCACCACAGATGCCCTTGAAAACCCTTCACCCGCTCTTGGAAGATGGCTGCGTGGATGATGACCCGAGCCCTCATAAGAAAGTCGGCTTCATTGGAATCTCCAACTGGGCCCTGGACCCTGCCAAGATGAACCGTGGCATTTTCGTTTCCCGATTGGATCCGTGCGAGAAGGAGCTCATCGAGACGGCCAAGGGGATTTGTTCATCGGGCCAAGCGGTGCTACTGAAGGTTCAGGATCTCTTCCCCAGCTTTGCTAAATCGTACTTGGAAATATGCAGCAAGCAAAGCGGTCAGTTCTTTGGGCTTCGTGATTACTACAGCCTTGTGAAAATGGTCTTCGCCACAGCCAAGGAGTCCAAGTGCGAACCGACGGATGATCAACTGGCCGAAGCTGTGCTTCGCAATTTCAGTGGCAAGGATCAGTTCAGCGCCCTGGATGTCTTCCTTCCCTCAATGACCCGCTTGTCTGAGACGAGTACTCTTCAGATGGTGAACAAGAATATCAGGGCGGATGGAGACTGTCGTTACCTCCTCCTTCTTACCAAAAACTACGTTGCCCTTCAACTTGTGCAACAGCATATCTTTCAGGAATTGGGAGTTACCCCTGAGATCATATTTGGATCCAGTTTCCCAAAAGATCAGGAATACACGCAAATTTGCAGGAATGTAAATCGAGTGAAGACCTGTATGGAGACTGGTAGCATCGTGATTCTTCTGAATCTGAAGAACTTGTACGAAAGTCTTTATGATGCTTTGAACCAGTATTATGTGTATCTTGGGGAGTATCAGTATGTGGATCTGGGGCTCGGAACACACAGAGTCAAATGTAGAGTGGACAAAAAGTTTCGGCTGATTGTAGTTGAAGACAAGGACATTGTCTATGAACAGTTTCCCATTCCCTTGATCAACAGGCTTGAGAAGCACAGCCTAGACATGAGCACTGTGCTTAGTCTCCAACAGAGAACGATAGTCGAGCAATTGGAGGCGTGGGTTAAGGAATTTGTGGCCGTGAAGGCAAGATTTGCATCGGAGGCCAAACTATCATTAACCCCTTCAGAAGTTATCATTGGGTTCCACTCTGATGCCTGTGCGAGTGTGCTACTGCAGGTTCTGGACACGGCCCATATGGCAAATGAAGAGATCTGTGATACCAGATCCGTGTTCAATTCAGCAAAACACCTTCTCCTGAACTGTGTAACTCCAGATGCTGTGGTTCGTTTGAAGTCCTCCAAGCTCGGAGATCATGAGGCTAAGGAACTCTGGGCAGAGTATTTCGTTAAGCAACGTCATAGGTCTCTGAGTGATTACATCCAGCAACATCTTAAGCACACAGAGACAAGACAACGCAAGTTTGTCGAGGTAATGATTTGGTTCTGTATCTGTTTGCTGGAGGGATTTCAATATTGATCCCAAATCAAGGGACAGGGCCAAAATCCCTTCAAAATCAGTAACTTTACCACCAACGAATCTTCACCATTCAGATTTTCCTGGTATTAGGTTCTTTCCTTAGCTATTTTTCATTCAGTGCAGTTTCTGCTGGGAATATTCTCTTTTGGGGCTCACGGTTCACAAGAACTGGAGGCCAAAAGGATTGAAACGGGGCAGAACGTTGAGGTCATGTTTTCGATAAACTGGATTGTAAATACACCATCCATCACGCTAACTATAAACCACTGTTCTTCCAGGTAACGACCTTTTCAAGGCTGCTCACCCAGTCGGACATCAAGGTCCTTATTAAAGAGCTTCACGTTGACCCTGGGTGGTTTCGCCTTCTGTTCCTTCACCAGTTTGACACCGAGCATTCGTTCTGTAAAGAAATCAGGTAAGCTCTTAAGGTTCCACATGTTACTTAAATGTTCCATTATCTCTACCCAGTGGTAACTTTACTGATCAGTTTTATATCATTGTTCTGACCTGGCTCAGAAGCACTCCTTGCCTTTATTTAGAAGGTATTTTCTGTCTGTCTTTCTTTCCCCATCTACATTACAGAGAGTGCATTTTAGGCTTTGATATTGGAACCCGAGTGCTGCTGATACAAATGGATACTGAAGAGTCTTCTCAAAGCATGGAGCTGATTGCCTCTGCCAAGTAAGTGCATAAAGTCCCATTCTCTTCCACTATGTTCGACCATGTTCAGCAACCTCACTCGTTAAATGTTGTAAAATATCGGGATCTAATTTGCAGTATTCCTTAACATGCCAACATTGACCCAATGGAAGTCTGGTCCAAGGTAATCTGTTTCTAGAATGACGTTCCCAAGGGTCAATGGAAATTCGAACAGGATTCTCTATCAATTGTTAAATGCCCTATTTAATAGATATTTGCTGTTTAAAGGTGAATTTACTCATGTGTTTTACACTTGGTTCTGGTGTCACCTTAAACTGACTGTTCTCTGGTTTGACATTGTTTCTGGCACTTACTTTCATTCCAGTCCAAGCATTGGAACCTGATGTTTGACTCACTTTACTTCCCCAGGTACTGCGCAATGAATGAAATGAATCTGGTGCATTCACCAAACTGCTTTGTGTATTTTGTCACAAAACTCTCCAGAGTTTCCGGTGGATCCAAACACATTGGATTTCAAGGAGGTATTTATCAAACAAAAATCACAACGGCCCAAATGTTTTGCTTTGCTTAATACAACCAATATTCCATGATGCAATATTCGTCTACAAAATACATAGTCGCTAGATTTTACCGTCGGGAGGACGTAGCAAAGCACTGATTACAGAATTACAGAATAGATTTAAATCCGTGTTATTATGTAGCACAGCTAGAGTTTGATATTCATTTGTTCGAAATTCATCTGTAACTCTCGAAGGGGCTACTGTTCAATCCCAACTTGCCTTGATTGCTCTTCAGGTCAATGGTTGTCGGTCCACATTGATGACTTGATGGAGTGCGAGGAGATGGAATCTGATATGTCAGCGTTCTGCAGTGTTACCATCAGTGAGCTGTTTGCTAAGGAGTCAGGTCCGCCAGCAGGTAATTTATGACGAGCTGTATATCTAACTTGAAATTGTTTCAGGCGCTGAATACAAGACAGTGGACTTTTAGGAATATGTAACACATCAGTATCACATCGAAGAGATCAAATGAACCATAAAAGTGAATCCTGCTTAGGAATGCTGCAAATTAGACCCCTTCCCACTCCCAATTTCCAACATATTACAAGCAACATGACTTGAAAAATATTAATGCACTCTAGCGTTGACAAGCAGGTAGTGCGATCTATCAGACAGTTTGAGTCAGCATCTTAATTCAGGAGAAATCAAGTCTTCTCAATGCATAGATTTCTGTATCTTACATTGCCGTGGGACTTTGCAAATTTATACAATTCTTGGCTCTTACAAAATTGCACCGTACTATTGCGGAAATGAGCAAATGATAATTTATTTTCTTTTTTTTAGATACAGGAATGAATATTGAAAACGAGACCCGCGAGGAAGATCAGGCAACCGAAGAAATGCCTTTGGTATGAAGGTTTTATTGATACAGGATTATTATTAGAAGTGCCGGGAAGAACCTTCAGGCTTGTTGCAGATGAGATAAAGTAAACTTTTTTCCTTGGCATGTGGATTAATTCCTTTAATTTATTGACGATAGGTTAATTGACAAGAACTCTTCCCCAACTGGGTTAAGTGTTATCATCTGAAGAATAAGCGAGCAGGACAAGTGAAGTGAGAGATTTCTTATCGATGCAAATTGATTTTAAAGCAGGAGAATCCGAACATCCTTAACACGACATTGCTGTTGCAAAGCTGCGTGCAGAGAGCAGTAGGAATAATTCGCGACGGGGAGGATGGATCCGGTCGCAGCACAGAGCGGGTCCGGATACTCCTGGACCTCATGAGGGAAGATGGGGATGATGAAGGTAAACCCACAGATGTCATTGCCCTGTGTTATAGGGCACGGCACTCGCTTACCTTCAGTGCTTATAGCTGCTAAGTTATAAAGGTTTGGGAATGAATTCGGAACACTGTCCCCTAAACTGAGGCTTTTATTTCATCAGTGAAATAAAGTCCTTCCAAACTGAATGGCAATCGTTACTCCCTCCCCCACCTCCAACAATTTTATTTCCGTTTTCTCAAGTTGAACTGTGCTCTCAGTGCCGTATATTGTGGACATGTTGGAACTTCTCTACTTAAACACAGGGAGCAACGGCTGATTTTTTGCCGGCAAAAAAAAAACGATTGTTGTACTCGATAGCAATCGCTGTGAGGAGCTTTGAGAGGTTTCGACTTGATCAGGCTCTGTGGAAATCCAACTTCTTTTCTCTGTGTTTGCTTACAGAGTGCTTTCTAAGAATGGTCAAACAGAGAGTGAAAGTGCAACTGCAAGAGCGTGAGGAGACGTCCCTGTACCCTAGGGAATGGATGTACAATGAGGCACTGAAACTCGATGCTCTGCAGGAAGGGGGCACTTTCAGGTAAATCTTAGGAGCTCTGTGAAGTTTGTATGCAGTGGCTGAAGTATATGTGCAGTCCTGTAGCGGAATGGTTAGCTCGCTCGCCTCGCAAGCGAGAGGATCCGGGTTCGATTTCCAGGCAGGGCGAAACCTTAAGGCAAGTTTCCTTAGTCCACACACTACTGTTTACCCAGCAATAAGAAGGAACCCGGTTGTTAGTCGATTGGCGAATCACTGTCCGGGGGCAATAATACCTTAAAAAAATCCACAACTTTTTATGGAACACTACTGTGTGCAAATGGCTGTTGCATTTTGCCCAAAAAATACACAGCCAATTCACTATACAATATATTCAATGAAGCACTTTGAGACGTCTCAACGACATGATAAGGCGCTATATCAAATGCAAGAAATATTAACATTATATGCAAAGATTATTATTATTATTTCTCTGTGCTGATAATGCAGACACACTCTGTGGAAGTGCATTCAGAACGTGGTTGCTCCGAATCTGGCCCAGCTGATATCCGTCCTAGACCGAGACTATAACCTGAGCCTCTTGGATGATCCTGGAGTTAGCCACGAAATTAAGAAGGTCTGGCTGAACATCTTCAGTGACATACAGATACTGAAAGTATCACACCAGACTGGAAACATGGGGTAAGAGGTTTTCATTAGCATTTCTGCTAAAACTGTCCTTAACATTGGTAGATCTCACGGATGCCAGTTCCTCAATTGAAGATTTCAGTGCGATTTTATTAGCGCTTTGCTGAACATTTTTCTTTGGTTCAATTGACAGAACAGTGAACAGATTCCCTTTCCACTGCTTTAGCAGCACGTACTTCAAGTTACGTTGCTCAATTATGCACGCAATTGTTTTGGTCTTTATATAAAACTTGCACTGTAGCGATGGAAATTCTGCATGCAGTGAATGGTATGATGGAGCCAACTGGAATCCTGTTCAACTGCAACACCTCTGCTGAAAAACACACTCTAACAGGTCGCTCAAAAGCGGAACAGCAATGGGTCAACTCCAATACTTGATTGGCACCCTCCATAACGGAAGGGAGAGTTGTCAAATCTCAGTGTGCATTGAAACCACCCAAGACCAAAGCGCACATCAAAGCCCTCTTCCCCTGCTTTGTCGTGTACTCTGTAAATTTTGCCCACACAGTCAGTTCACTTTACAATATATTCTGCGTAGCTCTTTGAGACGTCTCGGAAGATGTGATAAGGCGCTATTATCAAATGTAAGGATTATTATTATTATTTTTAAAAGTCTCACACAGTTGATGCAAAATTCGAGCACTTTCAGTGTGTGCCTTTGTTCCCCTCAGGCCGAACACACAGGAAGTTAGAGTTGACCACAGGCTGAGGATAGGCAACGTGGAGACCCACTGTGCTGCACCTTTTAGCTGGCTTATCAAGGAATACATTGACCAGCTGTGGGTAGAATTTCAGTTTGCAGAAGGTACAGTGGCTTACTTTAACGTAACTATGTCTATTTCCATTTCTACTGCTGGGAGATGGTGGTGGGAGATTGGACCTGGGCCTTACTTGCTGGAACTGTGTTTGTTTGCCTTGCCTCTCTGCTTAACTAAAGAAAGAATGTGTCGGGAGATGCTCACGATGGGAAGTGGTACAATTAAACCTGGGTCTGTCTCTTTCAGGTGCAGCTGACGGAGACAAAGCAAAAATGCTTAGGTTCGTAGACCAATGCAGCAAAAGTCAACTCGGGCAGTATTTGGAATGTCAGAGTGCAGAAGGGAAACATGACCTTGCACAGAGATACCTGAGGGATTTCATTCTCATGACCATCAACATTTCATCATCTGCTGAACTCAAGGTAAATCTACATTTAAATCAGCAGTTATAGACGCCCTGTCCTTTGGATGAGATAATCATAGTAATCCTTGCATTTGATATAGTGCCTTACCAGGTCTTCGAGATGTCTCAAAGCGCTTTCAGATGTGCAACCAAGGTCCTCTCTGCCTTTTGAGGTGGAAGTTAAAGTTCCCGTGCAGCTATTCAAAAAGAAAAGGGAGTTTCTCCCAGCTTCCTGGCCAACAATCCCTCCCTTCCCCCCAGATAAAATTGGTCATTCCCTTAACGATTGTTTGTGGGACACTCCACTTTACAGCATTTATCTGTGAAGTGCTTTGAGACTTGTCAATATCATATGATGAAAATCAAATGTAAGGATTATTATTATTATTCCCCCAAGTATGGATAAGTGCGCAGGCAGGGTAGTCAGTGTGATCTATCTTGTGGAACGTAGAACACTAACTACTATGGGGCGGAAACCACAAATAATTCTTCTTGAATAAGTACAAATAAAACTTAGTTTTTTTTGTGTCTTTGATTATGTAATGTGGAGATTTTTCCTTTGATCTCCTAATGTAGAAAAAAGTGGAGATTTCCATTTAAGTCAAAATGGTTTGAAAAGCTCGCCTCAATTACGATCGTATCAAGCACAGTTTGCACTGAAACCTTTGGTGTGCCTTCAATGTAGGTTTTCAAGGTATCGCTTATTTCTTGCTTGAATGAACTTCAGAACAACGGTCATCTAACTCAAGAGCACTCACCTGCCTGGATACACACAGCTTACAGAGTTTTCAAAAAACGTCTTCAAAGCTTGTCCAGAACAATCATGGTGTATCCAGGAGTGCTGCAGGCTCTTCAACACTACATACAGGAGACATTGAGTCCCGACCCCCAGGAGATGGTGAGTGAAATAATATTGACTCGATATTGGCTTGAATCCTGAAGCCAGTTCCCATTCCCGGACACATCCATTTCTCATTCAAGTAGCTATGTACATACATGTTCTTTTGCCTGTTTTGGAGGATATATTGGATATACTGTAGCTGATTTGGGTTTAGAGGTGCAGCTTGGGCTATTGTAAAGATATATAGTCACTATGTGGGGCCTTGACACATGGACAATCTAGGCAGATTGTTACTACATAAAGACTACAAAATCTGGTTCCTGGCGTCATTCTGCATGTGCTTCACCCGTGAATGTCGATGGTATTTGATCAAGAGGCTCTCTTCAGAGAAGGTAACATTTGCCTTTGTATCGTAGACTCTTGACATTTGTGCAGCATGGGCGTGTGCTGAGAGGGCTCAGGCATTAGACATTGTGCAGCTGGAAGACTGCAAACGCCTGATAGAGACCATGGAAACTCTCCAGGCATCAGTGGAGCTCGTATACGATAAACACTACATCAGATCGTTCAGTCAGACATGCCAGCGAAGCATTGCTCAAGTCAGGTAAGTCTTACAACAAAGTAAATTTTTCATTTTATTTTACTAAAAACCGAAAGGGGTTGCCACTGCTATTTTTATGGCATCTGAGATTTTGAGGTCTCTATTTATCCTAATCGCTGAGCACTATTTTGGTGGAGGACAGTCAGGAGTGGGAAATTGTGACGTGAACTTGGGAGAAGTACAGTGCATTAGAGCAAACCCACATTGCTAAACTAACCCTCCTCATATCATCGCACATAGTCTAATAGAGCAACGACAGACAATTTTCAGCGGTTACAAGGCTGCTTATTCAGGTAATGTTAAAGATCGCACGGCACTACTGTATTCAAAAAGATAAGGGCCCTGGCCAACAATCTCCCAGATAAAATTGGTCATTCGCTTCATGACCGTTTTGTGGACATTGCTTTGCACAAATTGGCTGCCACGTTCGCCTATAAAATATACAGTCACGTACGATACAATACAAAATTTTACAGTAAGCACTTTGTGATGTCCGGATGATGTGATAAGTAGCAAGGATTATCATTGTTATGTTCGTTTTTGTGGTGAACCATTGCATTTTCATATCCTAGTAAAGAAGAGTTGTGTGTAATTGGTTTCTTCTATTTGGTAGATCGAGCTGGGACGGTGTGCTTGTGTTGGCTGTGTTTATCGAACATGTTGTCCTGACTGCCAATGACATTGACCCCAGGTTTCTAGACATTGCCGTAAAACATTGCTCACGTCTTCAAAAGGTAAATAGTGCAGCTGGTTTAGAACAAAAAATGTTGTGTGAATTCTAATAATTTTGTGTTGAATCACAAATGATTTATTACTCTTAATCAAATACAGTGGACCATCCTTGTAGAATTGCAGAGTCAGTAGAACACCGTTGCTGTCACTTCCTGCGCGCTGCAAGGGCACTACACACAGGAATGGATGTCTGATTATCCAGAAGTTGGGCTTTGTAGCTTTCGGTGCTGAAAAAAATGGCTGGCCTAGCGGTCATCATTGGCCTAGGGGGCATCACGGATGTCACTTTCTGCTTTGCACATGCGTAGCACACACGGGAAGTGATATCGGCAGCGACCCAATGACTTGGAAGTTGAACGGTTTTTCAAGGGCAGGAACTGGGCATGTGCAGGGATGGATCCCAATCACCACATTATAATGGGGCTCCACTCACTACTGCTTTAGCAAATATCTATGTCTTTCAATGTCTTTCCCATTCGCAAGTTGAGCCAAGTGGTGATTTCTGATATTGCTTGATGTGGGAGAACAAACTTAAACCTCTCTCTCTTTCTCTTGTTCTAATAAGTGGAACGATAACAATGCAATGATTTCACGCAGATCCTCAGAGCGTCTTCTGATCTGAAAAAGAAAGAGACTGTTAAGGGAGTGATGGGAGTACTTCAGTCCTGCAATGAAGAGGCCAGTTACTTGGACTGCAAGTAGGTTTAACATACACCAGCATCTAACGGTATGTCAAACTAATTAAAGGGGCAGTGGACCATTAGACATCCACTTTATTAAAGGGACAAGTTCGCCTTATATTCTGTCTCCGAAGCATTTTGTAAGTTTTTAAGGCAGAAAATTGTGTAATGACTTAATGGCGTTCCAAGGGAAATCCTTATCAACAATCATTTCTGTCATTAGAAACCACTTTAATTCAACAGTGAGAGTCAAAATCCAAACATCATTGTTTTTAACGATCGCTTTAATATTTGCTTCCCATGTTTTGCCACTTCAGGTACGGCATCAGAGAATGTCCGATCTGCCTTGGCGTTCCAAAGGATCCAGCCTTACTGCCCTGTAAACACGTTGTTTGCATCGACCATCTTAGAATCTGGTTGCAAAATAGGAAGACGTGTCCGAAATGTACGGAACCTGTGCCAAGTACCTATCAAATACAAGTCTCTTCCCAGCTGAAGTAAGTTTTCCTTCAATTCCAATGTTTTGTGAAACATTGCATCTGTGTTCAAACCAGTCTGGCACAATACTGTATGGTGATATGACCATGTCCTTAAAATGGTACTTGTTCTTTCAATTTGCAGAAGTGCTTTGAAAAAGCATGACACCTTACGTCAGAAGTGCAATTCGTTTTTCATGGAAGTTGTTTCCAGATTTTGCTTCCGAGAAGATTCCCCACCATCTGATGAAGTGATCACGTTGCTGCTATCTTTGCTGATTGCGGTCAGAAGCTGCCCTGAAGGTTGGTGTCATTGTGGAAAGTACAGTAATGGCATTCAATTGGTGCTGCTGATATGAAAGACTTTGAATGGACCTTAAGCACCAGATATGTGACTGCACAGACCTGATAACCCAAATGAGCTTAATATCTTTTTTTTTAATGATGCTTGATAATTAGCTTCTCTATACAGGTCAGCGCCTGGATATAATTGATGCATTCAAGCGGGACAAGGGAGTAAAGGGTTAAAGGATGGGTGGAAGCTCAAGTGGAGTATAAACACTTGTTCAGACTAGTTGGGCTAATTGACCAGTTTTTGTGCTGTAATGGTCTGTGTCATTGTCCTTGCAACTCAAATACAGAACTGAACAATAAAACCCTTTTTGTTTGACAATAGGTGACAGTTACCAGACCAGGACTCTCACCCCATTCTCCGAATGTGTGGACGCTAGCCCTAAAATACGTTCAGTGCTGCTGAAGCTTATGTTGCATTACAGGTAAGAAAAAAAACACGCGCTGGATCTGCAGATATTTGAGGTTTAATTTCTGTTTCTTAAAAATATCTTAGATTTCCCATTGACCAGTCGAACAATAGATTGTGATGGAATGGACTTCCATTCCTGTCATTGAGGTTGAGGTTACTTCCCATTACTTGGAGTGCTCGCTTACTCCTAACGCGGATTTCCGATTAAGTACCGCAATTTAGACCATTGGTTATTATAAAAACAACAACTTACACTTACATAGTGCCCTTCACGCGGGGCAGGGTCCTGGCCTACTTGAATGCAGCATAATCAATTACAGGAATTTGGCGATAGACAACTGATATTTTGTGTTCAGCACTTGAGGAGTTGCCATGGTATGAGTTTCAGCACACAATTGCCACTCAAAGCTCAACCCTTCAAATGGAAGTTCACTTCGAATGTGGCGCTAGTGATCCCTCTTGTGATATTGAATCCACGGTTCAACAACATACCGTATGTAACGTAACATCAGCTGAAACAGTACTGAGCACGAAATGACTCTGCAGGGCTCTCATACTTCCTCACGCTCTCTTTGCAGTTTTGAGAAGGTGAAAACCTTCATGCAAACTTACCTCTCAAACCTGGAGGAGAAGATTTTTGATGAGGACGATCTGAAGGAACTCTATATCCTATTCATCAACTGCTTCGAGGTAGGGAGGAACGGTGGCCTGTATAATGATAGTAATTCTTGCGTGTGATTATAGAGCCTGAAATGTCTCAAAAGCGCTTCACAGAGAATTGCTGTCAATTATTATTATTATTACTATTTTTATTATTATTATTCAAGTTGTTTTGTTGCTTTTAAGGACTCGATGTATGGAGAGTTTGAACGTTTGGAAGGACTTGGGAATCTGAAGCTGCTGAGGTATAATTGCAGCTTTACCAGCAGATTTGCCAGGCGCCAAGTTCGTAAATATGAAGAAAACGCTGCCGAGTTCTTACAGGACATTGCCAGGCTGCGCTTCTGTTTCAGCCTCGCTGCTCAGCTCATGGCTGAGATACACAACAGGACAGGTAAAACATTCAGAGGATTATACAATATTTCCAGCAGAGAAGGAGACCATTCAGCCCATTGTGACTGTACTTATGCGTGCTTTCTCCCCCACTGAAGCTCTCTATTCTCTCTACCTTTTCTTTCCTTTTCGTGTCTGGCCTGGTGCTCGCTTCGCACTAATATTCTCCTTTACTGCCACTGACCACTACAATTAATATTTTCTTCAAATTCCTTTCTAAACAGTGTTATGGGCTCGCCTTTAATAGCGACAATCCCCATCAGTGTGTATTTGTGTGTTTGTTGTGTTAATAAAAACTGACCTCCCTATTTATCCTTTTGCTGATCAATCTAAATTTATTTGAAGAATTGTTTTACTTACTTACGTACGCACTTAGTTTATTTACTTACTTATTACTTACTTTATTTACTTTATTTACTTATTTTGTTTAATTTTCTTATTTATTTTATTTAATTTACTTATTTACTTTGGTTTTCAGAAAAGTTATTTTCCACCTTTTTGCCTAACGCCCCCCGACCCCATTCACAATCTCCTTTCCAATTGACCCTCTTCAGACCTAACACAGGGTGTGAAGTACGAGAAAGAAAAAAGAGACCTCTTGGAGCACATCAGAATGATTTGTTTGCACTGCGACAACGACTGGTACCGGGTGTATTTAGTGCGGACACTCTACGATCAGTATGGAATGGACTTCATACAGTCTCTACTTCAGCGCGAAGACTGGAGCTGGGTGTTTCCAGACATAATTATTAAACTTCAGGTAAAACATCTTGTGCTTTTAAACGTTCGGAATGTGAAATGCTAGCAAGCGCAGCGCTGACAAGTTAGGAACATGGGAACAGGAGTAGGCCATTCAGCCTCTAGAGCCTGTTCCGCCATTCTCTAAGATCATGGTTGATCTGTACCTCAACTCCAAGTTGCTACACTGATCCATTTTTGAACTGAGGTAAACCCCTGCTGAAATAAAGATTAGCGTTGCCTAATTTGCCATATTTCTTAATATGGAATGTTGTTAGGATTCCCGCTGACCTAAAGCTGCTCTGCTCCAGAAACAGATCCCATGGGATGTGTTACTGGAAGGAATCCCCAATTTCCAGAACTTATTAAGAAAAATCCCGTTAAGAAAATATCGCACGTTAGATCCATTATTCGCGTCTTGTAATCCACAATACTTTTTAAATCGATCAAGTCGAAGAATGTGACTGTTTTAATATGGGCGCAAATAATATGCGTCTTTATGTCTTGTCGGACTGTTTATTTCTTCCAGAGGGACTTCCCTGTGCAGTTGGATCGCTTTGTTTTGTGTGGAGAAGATTATCAAGAGATACGCGATGAAGTGGCCAAGGTGGTTTTGAATTGTCAGATGCATGATATCTCAAACAAAATAAAAGTATGTGGCCAAAACTGATATTTTTCAAAGTACTTCTTTTAAGATTCAGTTGTGTGGTGAATTGCCGCACTTAATGGGCCAGTTTCAGGCCTCTCTTTTTTAATATAAAACCACGCGTTCATATCAAATGTTTAATTTGCACATTTTTGTCTCATTAAAGAGCCTGAAGTCCCCCGCAAGTAACCAGCAGGTTTACTTAGCCATGGCTTTCTTCCGTGAAGTTACCTGTGCATTTGCATTGACGGATCGCACCCTACACCCTAGTCCAAAGGTAATAAGAATCTGACTTAACCTTAGCTGTGCGAGAAAGAGCCTTATACTTTATATGGTTTAACATCTCATCTGAAGGACAGCACCTCTGACAATACAGTGATGCCCTCTCGCACTGACTTGGAGTGTTGGCCTAGTCTGTGAGCTCAAAGCCCCTGGATAAGCAGGGTACAGCCATTCTCCCCCCCACCACCCCACCCCACCGTAAGATAACTTACTCCCTTACAGAAACATATCAGTTTGATTGGATTTGGGGGACTGGCAATTGCTCTGCTGATGGCAGTCTCTGTCTCTGCCGGCAGAGGGCAGGATGCACTCATTCCCAGACACCACATTCATGTTCCTGAAGCTGTCAGCCCTCAACAAGCTCATTCGTGGCCGACCACTGTCGCGTTCAGCATTTTTTTTCTCACGTTTAGGAGATTTTTATGATTCTTATTAAATTTGTAAGGGCTTGTAATTTGCCTTCTAGATGTTCTTTACCCGCTCTCCACCCCCCCCCCCCCCCCCAAACCCACCACAAACATCCCCTGCTTTAGATTCTCCTCGTTCTAGATCACCTCTAGATTAATTAGTTCCCCGTGTTCTAGATTGACCTGCTCTATTGCTATATTTATGTGCAAGATGTTTCCTAAGTGCAAGTTGTTGTGCGTATAATAGTATTGGGATTAATGGAGACCATTGAAAATGAAAAATGGTTTATACCTGGTGGTAAAATGCTATTGCCTTGCAGACCGTTAGCCTTTTGCAGAAGTTTATTGAAGACAGTAACATCCTGGAGGCTTCCCCCTTGAAGACTCTGTGCACAGCTTTGGTGGCGAACGAACTGGGAATGCCCGGATCCCTTCTGAGAGTCTCGGCAACACAGCCAGCCCCACAACGCATCCTGACTGAAATAATCATTCACGCGGCTTTGGTTTTCACCTGTGGCAAAATGGTTTTGCTGGCCCCTCTCCGCAATATCGCCTTCCATTCCGAAAGGATGAGGGTGAGCGTTGCATTCTCTACATAAAGTCATTCCTGGCAATATAATAGTCCTTGCCTTTGATACAGCGCCTTATCACATCTTCGAGACATCTCAAAGCGCTTCACAGAATCTACTGTAAAGTGAATCGACTATAAATTTTGTGGGCGAAAGGGATTTAAATTTGGGGTATATGAGATGCTCGCCTTGTTGCATGGAAAGTGGAATTTTGTCACTTAACGTTTTCTGTGAGGAGAAATTCCACCAGTTCTAATTAAGATGTACTTCCATTTATGTAGCTCTGCTCTTGCATAGAGTTTCCTGATCTAAACCCAGTTTATTTGGTTTTCAACAAAAGGCAAAGTTAATTTGGTATTAAGTTGAGTTTATAGTTCACGCAGCTATACACATGTCCAGTACTGTATACGTTATTTTTTGTCTTGTCCTTTGTCATAGCAAAAAACGTTCTTCCTTTATTTTTAGAACGCTTATTTCCCTACCATGCCCGAAGATCTGCGTAGCGAAGCTAGACGCTGGGCAATGAAAGAGAAGTGGTACAGTAAGTGTGGTTCCTGTATCTTTCTTAAACATTCATTTGTGGTATTTTTGGCTTAAGACGAGATAGAATTTGTGGCGCGAGATGTTCAGATGAGGTCCTGGAAACGGGGTTTGCACAGGAACATTTCTCTGAGTATTGCTATCAGCTTTAAAAACATAACAATTTGCTTGGCGAACGAAGACCGAAGTCCATCTAGTTCACCTTCCACCGTCCTGGCAGTCGCTTGACATGTCCTATCCCAAATCATATGCTGTATCCTGAGATATTATTTTCCAGCAGAAATCTATCTAATTTGTTCTTGAAACAAATGACATTTCCAGTTTCCAATATATATATATATATACACATATGGCATTTTCCATTAGGAATGGGAAGTACAAGTCTCTGGGGATTAAATAACCCACAGAACAGCTCTTTGCAGTGTCAGTGACAAATGGATGTCCAGAGAATTGTGCCCTGAACAAAATACTAATCGCAGCGACTGCTAATTCCTTTTCTTTTATAATGAAATACCAGTCTATCACCTGATAGGTAAGCAACAGACCCTGGTTTGAATGCAATTTGAAATTATTCTGTACAACAGCACAGCGTCAAACAGGCTTGCCTAGTTGCGTGTCACTTCACCTTTCTTTGAGGAAAAACTCCACCAGTTATAACTAAGATGCATTCCCATTTATGTAGCGTTTCATAATGCGTTCAATTTGGTAATTATAAATGGCAATGAATTTCACTGCACAAAGGAGAACATTTTAACTCTTAAGAACCTAATGAGACTTTCTTTTTTTACTAGCTTGCAGTAATGGCCATGATTGTTTGGTTGGAGAGGTAAGGGTATATATTAATTGCATATTTACATGTAACTTGCGTTTATATAGCACCTTTTACGTTGAGAGGATTTCTCAAAGCACTTGAAAATTATCTTAATTATCCTAAATTCAACTGTTTGCAATATTTAATTCAGTTTAACTTAGAACTGCATTCTCTGCCACCTTTCGTTGCTGCTACTATCTGAAAATGTCTAAATCTCCTGTTTATTTGAACCCCCCCCACCTCACCAACACACCTTAACTCACTCTGAAGCGTAACTACAGGCGAGAACCTTATGTGCTAATTGCTAGTTGCACCCTATGCAAAGTATTGGAACTTGGCTGCAATTATTTGTTACTTTTAGTGCGGAAGACCGATTGAAGAATCTACCTGCCCTGATTGTGGTGTACGAATAGGAGGAACACGTCATACGCCTTTGCAAGGATTTACTCTTCAACCAAAGTACGTATATTTTTACCATCATACTCCACCAGTCTGACCCACTCTCCCACTGCAAAGTCAGTTTTGTTGATAGAACGCTGAAGGCGCAGTGACAATAATGAACTACGGTGTCTGTCTGAGGTGTCGTCATTCGGATGAGATGGTAAACCAAGGCCCCCGTCTGCCTGTTCTCAATAACCTATTCAAAAAGGGAAAGGGGTTTTTCCTGTTGCTCTGGCCAACAATCCTCTAGATTAGTTTGTCACTCAATCCGTGGCTGTTTTTGGGACATTGCTGATCGCAATTTGGCTACCGAGTTCTCCAAAATATAAAGTCACTGCCCTTTACAGAAGATTCTGAGACACTTTGACGATACAGGAGCTACATTAGCTCCAAAGATTCTTATTGTTACTGGACCCATTTTGTGTTTCCCCCGTAGTGTACAGTATAAGTGAACTGAAATCTGGGAACAGTTGAACCGAAAATTAATTGCCTTTTTGAAGCAGTTGTGTTATTGCACAAAATTGCAACACAGGAGAAGCTTTGACCCAGTTGGAAAATATGTCGCTAACTTTTCTTTTTCCTCCCAGTCGCTCTGACGAAACTCAGAAGGGTCACATCTTGGGCAGAGCTTCGAAGAGTGATGAAATCATCGCACCTGATCGCCAAATGACGCCTGTTGCTTTCTTGCTACTGCGAACACTGACCCATGTTTCAATGATGCTCGGGACTATTTCTAATAGCCAGGTAATTCCTTACTTGCCGTTATTGGAAACTCATCTCTAATTTCTCTGTGGTACTTAAGTGCGAGAATTATGAGGAAAATTGGCTTAGTTACAGGATTGCATTTATTTTTCCGACATGAAAGGAGCTATATAAATGTGATTTGTTGTTTGTTGTTGTTGTTGAAGGATACAGGATTGACTCCCAGTCTGTGCTGAGTTCGCTGATCTCAGATAGGGTGGTGGGTGAGGATAGAAAGGGGGAAAATTCACCAGAATTTTTTGGGGAAATAATAATAACAAATCAATGCTGGTGGTTGTCAATCCCTAGGAAACCCAATGTGTTGATAGAAATCTGAAGGCGCAGTGACAATAATGGATCACCCAGTGTCTGAGGCAATGTGATTCAGATGAGACGTTGCCAAGAAACATACAGTGAATAGCGCCTTTGGACGTAAAGTGTAATTTGTTGTTGTTGTCGTGCGGGCTAGGATTTAGAGGGCGTCCAGTACTCGGGGAAGCCAGTGGGTAAACCTTCAGAAAGAAGGAGAGACAAAACTTTTCATGTCCGTTTTATTTATTTTGAAGGTTATTACAAACATGATTAGGCCGCAGGTGAACAATGTTTCGAACTTTTTGTATCACCATCTGGAAAACAATTTGGAGCAGCTGCGAAAGCTCCTGGGGAAGAACATCGATGACACAGCTACCTGCGTCCACCTGGTACTGGACAGATTGCTCAATCAGCCAAATGGTAATGGCAGTAGGTTCTAATGGAGTTCTGTAGCTCAGTGGTTAGAGCATTTGCCTTGCAAGCGGGAGATCTGAGTTTGATCCCCAGCAGGGCAAAACGTTCGGCAAGTTTCCTTACTCCACACGCTTCTGTTTACCTAGCAGTAAATAGGAACCGGGTCGTTAGTCGATCGGCGGATCGCTTTTCCGGCGGTAATAATTCCTTCAAAAGAAAGAAAAATCGGTCACTTCAATGCATGTCTGTTTGTGGGACACTGCTGTGCGCAGTTGACTGCCGTGTTTCGCCCACAAAATATATACAATCAATTCAATTTATAATATATTCTGTGAAACGCTTTGCGACGTCTCGAAGACATGATAAGGCACGATATTAAATGCAAGGACTATTATTATTACTACTCAATTAACTTATTCTATAAGAATAAGATTCAAGAGTCGAAATTCCTATCCCAATAAGTTGCCTTGATAATTATCACTGGTTAATTTTCACCACAATATCCTTTTCCTTTCTTCGTATCGTGCACTCAGAACGCCCAAGTGGATGGAGTGAAGAGCTTGGATCAAAGATAGAGAGGAATGCATGGGAAGTCCAGTTCATCAAAGTTCTTATTTCTCCACTGCTAAAGGTTAGTGCGCTTCAATACCTTCCCCGATGTGAGGAATGCTGTAGGAGTGCGTATTGATGTTAAATCAAGCAGCGGTTGCAACGCCAGGTTTCAAATTCTCCGGGAATCAAGTGGATCAGATAGATGTGGGAAGTATGTAAATCACATCCCAGCTTTTCCTCATTCTGGACAGTCAACATCACAGGGGAAAAGAGGCAGGAAATGACTTTGGAATGGATAACACCAGTGAGACAATTATACCACCAGCCACATTGAGAGAGAGAGAAGGGAACAGAGGGGATTAGGACCGGTCGAGGCTGATGTACAGTATAAACACCGTTGCAGATTAACTGGACTGAACGGCTCTGATATAGGTAGCACACAAAGCAAAGGTCACAAATTTAATGTAGGAACAGGAGAAGGTCATTCATTCGTCCCATTAAGCCGGTTTTGCCGAAGTCATGCTGGTCCTCTAGGAACCTGGAATGAATGATTGTGGAAATGGGAGAAGGCCCTTGACATTGTTAACAGCAAACCACAACCTTGTGCTTTCTGCATTTCAGGATCTAGACAAACTTTTGTCAGATGTAGGCAAACGTATGAGCAGTGACAGTCGAATCGGTGGGAGTCCCATTGTTAAAATGCTCTACGGAGATCCATCGGAAATGCTGACCTTTCCTCACGTGAAGGGTCTGAACTGTTCTTCTGCCTGGATGTGCCAGGGTCAGATATCCGTGGAGAAGTTCACTCACATTGTAGAGCAGAAGGATGGAAAGAAACGGACTCCTATCCTGTGGCAATTTCTTCAAAAGGTATTTTTCGCTCCAGACCATTTCAATTAAACTGTTTGGTGTCGTCCGTCCGTCCTATAACTTGGGAAACATTATGATTGACCCCTTTATGTTTTACTGTTTTGAAGGAAAGACACATACAGATGCTTAGCAATCTTCCTGATCTTCTCAGACTCCAGTATGAATTGATAAGGACTTTTCAAAGTGCCCCAGACACAAGACCAAAGACCATTGGCCAGTTTCTGCAGCAAATGCCTCCAGGTAAAAAGAAAAGCAAAAATGCTCAAAAAAAATCCCACAAAAAGCAAACCAGGATCTAAGCGATAAGTTACAGGTTCACGTTTCAGCCATGACCTTTTGTAGAGCAACGAGAATGATCCCCAATTTTAGAAGAGCTACAAGCAATGATTAGCCTCTCTTCAGTCCCTTCAAGGAGATATCTCAGAGAGGACATTATAGAGATGTACAAACGTTAAATGGGATTGGAAAAAGGAAAATCCAGAACAATACTTCCTGATACACCAAGACATTAGAACAAGAGGACTTGGGTTTACAGTTGTGAAAGGAAATTTGGGGACAGACACCAGGAAATATTTCTTTATGCAGAGGGTAGTTAATGACTGGAAAAAGATCGTTGAGGCCAGGGCATTGGAGTAATTTAAATGCTTTGATGGGAAGACAGTAGGGTGGGTATTCTGGAAGGATGAGACCAAAGGGCCTTCTTCATCCGAACCAATCTTGTTGAAAATAAATGAAGCTAAACGAGAGCTTTCGCACTAAATATAAGGCTGATTCATTCTAAATAATACATGTGTCAGTAACTGTTTAAAAGTTCTTTGGTTTTAACAATTGTGTTTTAGGTCAAAGACATAATTTTGAGAGGAAGGTAAAGACTTTCATTGACGTATGGAACCAGCTGAGTTCATTGCTGGCAAAACAGAGTGAGTAAAAATGAGCGCACTGGATGATCTGAGACATATGTATGCGCCTGTGACATTCATCAGTGTAATTCACTGTTTAGAAGGTCTAGATTCCGAGCACTTTTTAACAACAACTTCATACTTGCCAAGGCTCCCCCCAGAGACTTGTGAATTTTTGGGTTCAGTTCTCAACCTATGAGGCCATTTAAATATCTGAGATCCACACATAATTGTGTTGCAAGATAAATCACTGAGAGCCTTCTGGCATCAAATATTGGGAAGTTAGTGGTGGGGAGATAGAGAGAGAACAAGATTCATCACAATAAGATCTTTCAACTTATTGTGCTGTATTTACTATTTTAAGTGGTACTGAATACAAGTTTGGAAATATCGAATGCTGTGTCAATATCATATGACTAAATTAAAACAAGGAACACCTTATGAAATATGCAAACGTCACCATTTATTCATTCCAACTTGCAGTGGGATGTTAAAGAGTTGCCAAAATATAGTATCTGGTACCTTTTACATTTTAAAATAATCCTTGAAGTTTATATAGCACCTTATCATGTCGTTGAGATGTTTCATAGCCCTTCACGGAATACCCTGTAAAGTGCGTTGACTGTATATTTTGTGGGTAAAACATGGCAGCCAATTGTGCACATTTCTCAATATCATCCCTATGTTGCTGACAGAAATTACCTTGTGTGCGCTAATCAATATTAGCTTTCATGTTCCAGCACTGATTCCAACACTGCTTTCTTTCTGGAAGTATAAACTGGGAGCATCTTTAGCTTTTAGTGGTATCCTTGCAGCTCTTACTGCTTTCCACTTTACCATTGCATAATTATTCTTCTCCGGAAGGAGATGTTAACAATTTCACAATCCCCAAAGTGATAAGAGAATTTCAGTTAGTAAACATTAAGCGCAGGGTACAATATTTTATCACTTAATGTTCTGTACAGCTTGTTCTGGTCTGGACTGATAAGGCCACCAGTGTGTGCGCAGTAAATTAAATGTCACACTGGATGATGTGATACATTTCGAATATTGATTCACGAATAAGAGAAACCTTACGGATATCCCTTACATCAGTGGAGCCAAAGTAATACACAGGATCTAGAAGTCTCGGCTTGTTTCACTTCTAAATTTTTCTTTTTCCAGATGGAAAAATTCCCAGAGAATTCATTGACAAGGATCTAACTTTCCAAAGCCCGATTGAAGTTCTTTTGCCACAGCAACAGGGTCCCGGTCTCTGTGCCACTGAACTTAGCAAGTTCCTCGTTGGGATTCAGAATGATCTTCTTGGGGCCGTCAATCATCCTCAAAAGTAAGATTCATATTTTATTAGCATTCTTCAGATTCAGGATCAGAACCAGTCGTGTAAAGCTACTGATCGCATTCACTTTGTGTTCAGCAGCGTATCTGTGAAGCACAAGATGTTCGGACCATAAACAAGAAAGATTTTCAGTGCAAAAGAAGGCCATGGGTCCATCTTAACTGTGCTGTCTCTTTGAAAAGAGCAATCCATTGAGCTCCAATTATCTGCCTTTTCCCCATAGATGTCTTCTGTACACTTCTGTGAACGACTCATTAATTCCATCTGGGGAATGCCTTTTATCGATGGATAATGTGCGCAATTGTTATCCATATTCATCTCCTTTTTATTAGATATTCCATCAACCCAGAAGAGGTATCAGATGCACATTTAATCCTCTGTGATTCTGAAAGAGACTTCATTCCGTTAGTTTTATCAAACTGCCAATACACGCTAGAAAAAGGGCAGGAGACTTCATCAGAGTATGACATTCTGAATGTTGAAAGACAGCTTATACGACAATTCCTGAAAGGGAAACCAACCATAACTGACTCCGTGAGTACACTCTCTTCTTAGGTTCTTCATGTGCACTCTTTACATTAAATAGAACTGAACTGACATTCAGGTTTTTTTTACAGAAAGTTCCTAAATTCGTAGCGCGGCACGAAAGAGATTACTCAAACATCTTTAAGGAACTCAAAGCAAAGATTCCACAGGTAAAGCTTCTGCTTGGGACACAGCAAAATCCCCAGTCTACAGCCAATTCTTTAACCTCAATTTGCAGCCAGTAAAGGTTGTCCAATGATACAATTTTATTGTGAAGCTCAGGATTAGCTATCAAAGCGGATTTTAACTTGACTCTGACACTTGGGTGTTTGACAGTGCTGCAGCATTGCAGCCAGAGTGAAAGGGCAGGAGAAGTAGATGGCAGATGGGAAAGGGAAAGGTGAGTCGGAGGGAGATGACTGAAGTTGCAGTCAATGGAGTAATTACAGGTAAGGTATGTTGCTTTATCTCTGAATGGAAATTGTATGGAATAAGTAGAGGAAAGTATTTTCTCATTCCCTTCAGGAATCCTTGCCACTCTCGGTCTGTGCTGCAGTCACAGCTGTCCTCAAATCCTATAGTGACAGCTGTGATGCCCTGGAAATCATCGAGATCACTGTTGGATTCCTAGCTACTGCAGGAGGAGCTCCAGATAACCTTCTTCTCACTTACCTGAAAGATACTTTATACATGGCTCAACGGGCAATTGCTTGCGTTAGCAAGGTAAGAATGTACGGTCGTGAATACAGACTCAGGTTCAATACAGTTCCTGCAGTAGAGTGATTGAACACAGCTGGACTTTAAAAAGCTGCTGGCTTCATATAGGTGCATATATAATTAATACTTTAGATACAGCAGCTATAATGTCAAGATGCCTCAAAGTGCTGAACAGTTATTATCCAGTGTAGTGCCTGTGTTTATAGACAAACACAACAGTCAATTTGCACCCAGTAAAGTCCTACAATTCACTTTACAGTGTGTTCTGTGAAGCGCTTTGGGACGTCCTCCTGACGTGAAAAGCGCTATATCAAATGCAAGGATTATTATTATTATTATTATTACAACTAGCCAAGGAACGACTGATCAATTTACCTGAAGGATCGTTGCCCAGAACCCTGGAAGAAACTCCCCTTTTTGAATAGTGTCTTGGAAACTTTAATGTTTACCTGAGTGAACCTGCAGAATGTTCAGTTCTCAGTACTTGCCCTACACAACAGTTCTCCATTAATAATGTTTTTTTTTGACCATTAAGTTCCTCTAAATGTCACCTAATCTCTTGCCGTCTTCCTTCTATAACAACCTCACCTGATTTGTTTCAGTAAATTGCCTAATGACTCCTAATTGACAATTATTGGCTACTTCAGCATTCTCCTGGTCTCGAGTAATTACTCTCTCTGCTATATTCCGACCTGAATTATCTATAACTTCTCTTCATGTACCTTTACGTTCACTTAAGCTGAAGTTGTGCTCCTCATGAACTGCATTGATTTGATGTGGTTTGTACTTTGAATCCAAACGAATAGGGTAACATAACTCTAGTTTTCAGAGCTGGGATCCAGCTTCAGGGAAATGGAGTGAGACAAGTAAGTAGTTTCATGCTGATTTGGCATCAGGATGGTTGTGTAAGCCACTGCAGTTGATGAGAAGTCAGCTTTTACATTCAAAATAATCGTTAAGTTTCCACGTTTCTTGGCAGTTATTTGGGCCATCTTGACGGCCCTTAAAAAAATGTTAAAAAGTCGTCCACTTTCCCGCGGTGGAGAAGGGAGGGGAGAAATTTGCAGGAAAAATAGTTATTCCAAACTCTTTCATGTTAGTTTTGAGGTTTTGTTTCCAATATGCAGTAAACTGACTTTTGGAAGGAAATGTGGGTGGTTTGTATGATCTGTGAATGCTAGGTAGCTCTAGCTGGCAGATGTTGTGTGCTTGGCTGTTTTATAGCACCTGGTTGTGAACTGCAGAATAGCTGGCTTTAAGTGAGAAATGCCATTTAACTCACTCGATCGCATTGTTGAAAATATTTATCAGAGTGCCGCGACAACTGAAGTATGATGTGTGTGTTTCTCGCCAGGCCTTTGAAGGGTGTAGACTGAAGCACACTGTGTCCCTTTGGCAGCTGCTGTCATCTTGGAAATCAGAGTCCATGCTAGGAACAAACAAGGTAAAGGGTGTTAGCCATTACTTGAAGGGAGCACAGCTACTAATAACCCCCCAAAATTAAAGCATATAGGCACAGAAATTAGAAAAAAGAGGTTGGTTGATTAAAAAAAAACAAATAAAAAGCACGTCTTTCCAGGATGTAAACTTGTAGGTTTGTGCAAAGTGGCTTTGAGACGGACCTAACCCACATTCACTAACAAATAAATAGAGGGCGTTCTGACGAAGGGTCGTGGACCCGAAACGTTGACTCACTTTCCTTTCTCCATAGATGCTGCCTGACCTGCTGAGTGATCCCAACGACTTCTGTTTTTGTTGTCACAAGTACACTGCTTAGGCTTAACCAATTGGGATCGATCTTTTGTGTCACACATATGGACAAAACCAGGGCAATTTAATTTCTGTGGCTTTATAGTCCCCCCCCCCCCCCCCCATCCACCCAAGGCAGTATTTTGCATGACTGACCCTTTGTGGACCAGGAGGTACTAAAAGTGCAGTATGCTTCCAGATCCTGCTGCCCAAATGGCCGGCTTCACCAGAAGTGATGTCAGCGTCGACCTGACAGCTCGGAAGCAGAACCAGCAGCCATTTTTCTTGTGTTATTACCCAGAGTCTAATTTTATGATTCCAACTCCTTGTGTTAAACTATGTGTCGCCTGTGGTAGATAAGGTAATTTCCTCTGATATCTTTTCAAGGACCCATTTGAGAGGATTCCGAAGGAATACAAAGAGCATTTACTCAGTAATGAAGAGGTGGAGTTGAGGACATTCTTTGCCAATACTGACATCAATACATTTCTCTGGGAACTGCATGAAATCCTGGTCTTAAAGATTGGTCAACCCAATCTAGAGAACAAATTTCGACCAGACTGGAGGTGATACTCTGCAAAGAAAAGATAATTCCAATGAAATGCTTTGAGATGATTTGACATAAGATGCTACTAAAATACAAGTACCTTCTAAAACCATTACTAGAAGTAACAGATATAGAGAAACAGTAATAATAATTAATTGTTGCATTTAATATAGAGCCTTATCACACCATTGAGATGTCTCAAAGCGCTTCACAGGATTTACTATAAAGCATAGTGACTGTGTATTTTGTGGGCGAATGTTGCAACCAATTTGCGCACAGCAATGTCCCACAAACAGCCAAGAAGTGAATGTCCGATTGTATCCGGTATCAAGGCTTATCACATTGGAATGACGTCGGAAAGCGCTTCGCAGGATTTACTGCGAAATGAAGGGATTGTGTACTTGTAGGAAAAAGTGGCAGCGTAGTTGCGCACAGCAATGTTCCACAAACAGCTATCGGGGAGGGAGGGAATTGTTGGCCAGGCCATAATTAAAAAATAAATAAAAATAAATGGTTTATGTAATTGTTTTCTTTCAGCCTGCGAGACACTCTTTCTGTTTACCTGGAATCGAAGGGTTCTGATATCCCTCCCAGGCTAGAGGACGAATTTCCTGAGCACCTCCTTCTAGAAAAGAGCATCCAAATTTGGAAGCTGGCAGCAAACTTCAAGAGGAAAAATCGATAGCTTAACTCTCAGAGAACCTCTTGACCACCCACTGCTTTCAAGATCACAAGAGGGGCTTGAATGAAGAAGGACAATTTGATCTTACCTTTTCTCAATATCCACCCCACCTTCCTCCCATCACAGCATCAAGCTATTTCGCAAATGAGTCCAGTGGCTTCAATCATCCTTCTGTTAACCTGTTCTGTTTGTTACTTACTTTCCAGGTAAAGAAATACTTCCTGGTGTCTGATCTGAAATTGCCCCTTGCAACCATAATAATGTGGTGATGCGTTTGAACAGTAAGGAAGTCCTTACTTTAATCATGAATCAATTAGGTATTGTAACATTGAGGATTCTGATGTTTTATATGACTGAAAAGGTTATGCATTGGGTTATAACAATGACTCAACACAGTTAGAATATTACAACAACCATTTGATTTATTTTTCATTCTGCTGTATCCTGGGCAATCACTTGAATGTTTGGGGTGGGGAAAGGGCGTAGGAACTTTTGAGCTTTTAAAATCCGAAGGCACGTTCCCTGCAAGTCACATGTCTGTACACTTACTGCCTTTCAACGGTTCAGTGATATGAACAGGTTTCAATCTGTGTGCAGTTCATCAAAAAAAGAACACAGTACTTTGACTGTGGGGAATACATGCCTCTTTGCTGCTGTTTTTTTATATACTTAAACACTCTTACTACTCACATTCCATTTCAAAAGAAAATAATTTTGCGTCCCTCCCCCTGGGTTCATTTTTTGTCTTTTAAAAAATGTTTTAATTAAATATGTCGACCTCTGCAGAAAAACCCTCTTGCCGTTTTTCCTGATAATTTCGAAAATATTTATCGTTTCGTAATTTCTTAGTCCGTTTCTGGTCCCCGCGCGATTCTGTTTAACAAAAGAAATACTCATAAGATTTTGACTAGCGGTCGGAATTCAGGCCCAGTCCTTGCCAACCGCTCTGAACAAACTCACGGGCTGAATGCGTCCTGTCACAATGGAGCCTATTGGCGTTATTTTACCTGTAGTTTTGTGGGAAGCAAATAAGAAAGAAACAAAAGCGGTTTTGGTGAATGTATCAATAAAGAGCGACAAAAGATCAAACTGTTGTGCCGATTTTGTTCTCTGGATCCTGGAAGCTCAGCAGTATTGCTTTTCATCCTCAATGAGTCGTCATGACCCAACAATCTCTTACCTATGGCACCATGACATTCAACACTGGCTTATCAGACAATAGAACACAGCAACTCACGAGGCGGCTACATTCTGGAAAACCGCTCCTGAATTGATTTACACCACTTTTATCAGGCTGGGGAGCAGGGGGGGGAGGGGGGACACATCCATTTGCCCTTACCTTATTAAAGTGGTTAGAGCGCTCACCTTACAAGCAAGAGGACCCGGGTTTGATTTCCCGGCCAGGGAGAAATTAGACAAGTTTCCTTACTCCCCACGCCTCTGTTTACCTAGCAGTAAGTAGGAACCCAATTGTTAGTAAATTGGCGGATCGCTTTCCGGAGGTAATAATTCCTTCAAAAAAAAATTGGATCACTCAATCCACGACTGTTTGTGGGACACTGATGTGCACAATTGGCTGCCACGTTTCACCCGCCAAAAATACAGTCAATTCACTTCACAGTATGTTCTGTCAAGTGCTTTTAGACGCCTCAAAGAGGTGATAAGATGTTATGTGAAATGCAAGGATTATTATATCATATGCAAGCATTATTTTCAAGAGGTCTACTGTACACTTGGATGGGGTTTTTTTGCACATAGTAAAGGGATGTGGGAGTTTTGTTGGCTCCATTTTTCAAAGGTGGCCGTTCACATTATTAAATGGGTTGTGAATAGTATGGAGTCTGTTTTGTGTTAAAGAGCCAGCCCAATGGTTGTGAAATGCAACATATCACAAGCTTGCACTGCCCTGATTTACCCATTCTGCTTGGTTTTAGTAAATTATTTGGATCAACTGTTCATTAAAAATGCGTTGTTCATGTTAGAAAGATTGTTTCTGTTTGAAAAATAATCCTGAATATCACAAATGCCTTCCTGGTATCCCAGTTCCAGGTGTTCATTCCTTTTGGCTGAAGAAATGAAAAGGAAACACTTGTTCATTATTATTACTTTAAACTTCTGCATATGGCTCAAATATCTTTCAAGTTAGTGCACTCCTTTAAATGCTCAGAATTTCAAGATTGTTCAACAACAGCTCACATTTACATAGCGTTCTCATGCAGGGTAACATCCTGGAGCCCTTGTTCGCCTTAAATTAAAACTACAAGGATGTAACTCAAAAGTTTAGTTCAAAAGATCCCTGTGCACATGTGGTTTGGATCATTCCTTAATGAATGCATTGAGTAGTAAAGTGCCGCAGGTTCTGGCCTTTGTTACTCGGCAACCAATTGCTGGTGGGTGAAAGTGGCACTTAGACTAAATGGCACTTTTCATGCCTAATGGATAGCAGTTAACCTCTGCTGATGAGCAGAGTAAAATTTGCAACTTGCTCTGCATGGCGTTATCAATGGAAATGCATTGTATCGCCACTTTGCAACAGTAAATCTCATTAGTGCCCTTCTAATCATCGCAACAGGCAGAGATCCTCCACCTTAATGAAAAGTTGTGGTGCACTCAGTAATGTCTGCAGGTTTCTCCCTTGAATAATGATTAGGGTCTTATTACACCTGCATGTATGGGGGGGGGGGGGGTTACAGCTAAATACATTATGGAGATGTAAATAAGCACCTTCAGGTGAAAGTGAAAGCATTCCAGTCCCATCCAGTCAGTACAAGTATAGCTTAAAGATTTAAAGGAATGCAATGTTTGGAGCTCTAGAGCTCTAATTCAGGTATTCAACTTTATCACAGGATGAATTAGTGACTGAAGTTTTTTTTTGATTATTTTTTGTCTAACATAACACTGTACTTAAGAGTATCTAAATCAGACTGAGAATTCCATATATGTACGACACCTACATGTCGGAATTTTCCTGTGTCTGAAATAGAGAGCATTTTGACATGTTGATGGGACAGATCATGCCTTGATACCCGAATACTGATCACTACTGTGAACTGGACTCTTCTAATCTACCACGGTTTGACTGCACACCTCCGAAGTTCACTTTATAATTAATCTTTTTTGCTGCAATTGTGTCCAGTCATTGCCCCTTCAATCACTGACATTTGTAGAGCACAGTGGATCTCTTTGTGGGTTAATTGAATCAATGTTCCTCTGGTTTGGCTTTCCTCCAGTGATGGGCAATATACTGCTTATATCAATTCTTTTGTTGGTAGCTTGTCACAGTATTGTCTGTGGTTTCTTTGAGCATTCTAGCATTCTCTCCGGTTACCATATTGATTTTGTGTGCTCTGTCTTTGTTCCAGTGGGAGGCTAACATCAGGGCTGTGGGGATCAATGATGCTTCCTGAGGCATTGGTAAGTCATTAATAAACTTTCCTTGATTCCTTCACTTGCCACTCGAGGCATGAAACTCACACTTGCTTGGAATGCGATCGCTCAATAGAGGATGCGATCTGAAATAGACAGAACAAATATTCCAAAGATAGTCATGGTTCAGGGCTGAATGCAGAAACACTACTTCAGTGAGCAAGTAGTAAATGTATGGAACAGGCACCCTAGGGAAGCAGAAAGTATTGATTCTTTCAAAAGCAAATTAGATAGATTTCTTATAGGGAGTAATACTTTGGGATACAGTATATAGTTTGGGTCACGTGCATGTGACTGCCAAAATGGTAGAGTGAATTGAATGGAACTTGGTTTCCTTTTGTCCAGCAATTCTTATGTTCTTATGAAGCAACGTCTTCACTGAAAATGTAACAAGCAGTGATGTGTTAAGAGAATTTTTTTTACAGCAATTTTCTCTTTTGGAGAAGGAGCAATACGTGGTCATTGTTGGCGACAATAGGGCTTGTTAGACTGTTATATAAAATAACCCTCGCTCATAGATTATTTTTCTGGTGGCATTCCCTGTTTTGTGCCGGAAGAGCTTTTTTTTGGAGAAGAATGCACCAAATTCAACAAAAACAGCAAAAATGGCATCCATTCGAAAGCTTAAATTGAAGGCACTAAACAGTGTTCACAAAGAGACAAAGCCAAGTTCATGTATCAGTTTGTAACCCTCTTCCCCCCCCCCCCACCCCGAGTTGTATTTTGCCACATGCAGAGCCAAATCGGGGCAGAGACTCAGGTCATTTGTTTTATTGTTGACGTGAATACATATAAACTATATTAATGAACACACAATAAATGTGCGATAAAGGAGGATTGTACACTGTTCAAGCTATAGATTTATTGAACTATTGTGAATGTCCCGTGAATCATTTATTGTACTTTTACTACATAGTGCTGAAGAATCATTTTTTTTCATGGTAAATCCTCTGACTTGAGCAGAAAAGGATGATTCGTCCTGGAAGAATCTGACATTTTTAAGGCACTATATGAATAACTTGCTCTAAAATACTTTGAACGAAAATGTTGTTGATAATTCTCAACGTCTCAGTCCCACAAGTCGAGCAGCTTGTCCAAGCAAAGAAATAGTTCTAAATGATGAACTTGCACTTCCCTCCTCATCGGCCTTCCGAACTCTTCCCTTCACAAGCTGTAGATCATCCAAACCTCTGCAGCTTGTCTACTCTCACGCACCAGGCTCCGCGACCCCATCACTCCCACTCTCGCCCGACTCCACTGGCTCCCCATCCCCCAGAGGATCGAGTTCAAGATCCTCGTCCTCACCTTTAAGGCCATCCATGGCCTCTCTGACCTGCTGATTCCCTACCAACCTGCCCACTCCCTCCGCTCGTCAGGCTCCAGCCTGCTCTATGTCTCCCACCTGACCCGCCCTACCATCGGTGGCCGGGCTTTCAGCCTCTCTGCCCCCACACTCTGGAACTCCATCCCACGGTCCCTTCGCCTCACTTCCTCCCTCGCCTCCTTCAAGGCCGGTCTCAAGACCCTTCTCTTCGACCGTGCTTTTGGTCTCCCTCCCACCTCTCTGCCTTCCCTCACCTCTACACCACCCCTCCCCCATGCTCGGGCCCCGACATCTGACTGTGCAGCGCTTTGGGACGTCCTCCTGGCTGAAAGGTGCTCTATAAATGTAATTTTGTTGTTTTATTCAGACATTTTTCCTTTAAAAATAAAACTGTGCTGAATAATGAAAGCATGAGCTATTTAGCTGTGTCGATGACAAAAGCATTTTAATTCTTTCTCAAGGAAAGTTGCTTGAATATTATCCCAGTCGTCAGCTATTTCTCCCCTCCTCTCGTGCTAGGATATTGTGCCACTGGCTGCCCTTTGATAACTCGACAAAGATTGGCCGATCTTCAGTCGTGAGTTCAGTACCTTGGTAGATTATCCAAGCATGAAGCAAGGCCAATCCTGTGCTCCCTCACTTTCATGTTGTGTGTCAGCCTGACTTGGTCAGTAGGGCTCTTGCTTGAGTCAGAAGACTGTGGGTTCAAGCCACATATAGGGCCTTTGACCTCACAGACTAGACTGAGATTCCAATACATTGCTGCGGGTGGTGTTGCGATTTCAGAGGTGCCGTCCTTCAGAGGAGATGTTAAATGTCCTGTTGAGGTGGACATTAAAGACCCTTGTCACTATTCAAAAAAAGAGCAGGGAGTTTCTCTTGGTGCCCTGCCCTGGCCAACACTCGCACTTACTGCTGAGATCACATTTAGTTTATTTGGTCCAGCAGCGATCAAATAGACTAGAATTTCTTGCATGTTACCACCAGAGGGAGATGAGTGTTAATATCGGATGTTGAATTGCTGAAACACAAACGTTCTATTTTCCTTGACTTTCAGAGGATCTGTTATCCTTTTTTGTTTGGTCAGCTGGGTGTCTGACACATGTGTAAACCCATCACCTTGCTTAATGGTATCCAAACCAAGTTGAGATTTCCATGCATCCCACCTAGATGTGAAAATCCCACAGTACTCCAGATGGCAAATTGTTATGTGGAAAATTGGGAAACCAGTCTTAATTTTGCATCCAATTTTACAGAAGTCCAGCTTCAAAATCAAAACTGAATTAGTCAATTTCTGGAAACTCTGAAATGCTAAGAGAATGGAATAAATCTAGACCCA